TCTTAGCCAAGTTTTGGATGAAAAATTTTCGATCAAAAATCGATATTTTGGTAGGTTATAGCCTTTGCCTTTTTTACCGAAAATCCTTCTCTAAGAAAACTGCTAATTTAGAGGCAAAACAACCTAACTAAATAGAGTCATGATGGATTTAAACGAGATTAGCTTATTTAGAGTATTTTAGCCAAATTTGGATGAAAAAATTTCGTCAAAAATCGGATATTTTGGTAAGGTTATAGCCTGCCTTTACAAATTCTCTAAAAAACTGCTATTTAAGCGAGAAAAAACAACCTAAAATAGAGGTCATGAGTGGATTTAAACGAATTTAAGGCTTATTAGAGATATATTTAGCCAAGTTTTGGATGAAAAATTTTCGATCAAAAATCGGATATTTTGGTAAGTTATAGCCTTGCCTTTTTCACGAAAATCCTTCTCTAAGGAAACTGCTTATTTTAGAAGAAAGAAAAACAACCTAAAATAGAGTCTGAGTGGATTTTAAACGAATTTATGGCTATTTAGAGTATTATTTAGCCAATTTTGGAAATGAAAATTTTTGATCAAAATCGGATATTTTGGTAAGGTTATAGCCTTGCCTTTTTCACACGAAAATCCTTCTCAAGAAAAACTGTATTTTAGAGCAAAACAACCAAAATAGAGTCATAGTGGATTAAACGAATTTATGCTTATTTAGAGTATATTAGCCAAGTTTTGGATGAAAAAATTTTCGTCAAAAATCGGAATATTTTGGTAAGTTTATAGCTTTCCTTTTTCTGCGAAAATCCTTCTCTAAGAAAACTGTTATTTTAGAGGCAAAAAAAACCTAAAATAGAGTCATGATTTGATTTAAACGAATTTATGGCTATTTAGAGTATATTTAGCCAAGTTTTTGATGAAAAAAATTTTCGATCAAAAATCGGATATTTTGTAAGGTTATAGCCTTGCCTTTTTACGAAAATCCTCTCTAAGAAAACTGTATTTTAGAGCAAAAAACACTAAAATAAGTCATGAGTGATTAAACGAATTTATGTTATTTAGAGATATTTAGCCAAGTTTTTGGAAAAAAATTTGCGTCAAAAATCGGATATTTTGGTAAGGTTATAGCCTTGCTTTTCACGAAAATCCTTCTCTAAGGAAACTGCTATTTAGAGCGAAAAACACCTAAAATAGAGTCATGAGTTGGATTTAAACAGATTTATGGCTTATTTAGAGTATATTTAGCCAAGTTTTGGATGAAAAAATTTTTTCGTCAAAATCGTATATTTTGGTAAGGTTATAGCCTTGCCTTTTTCACGAAAACCTTCTCTAAGAAAAACTGCTATTTTAGAGCGAAAACAACCTAAATAGAGTATTGAGTAGATTAAACGAATTTATGGCTTATTTGAGATATTATTTAGCCAAGTTTTATGAGAGAAAAATTTTCGATCAAAAAATCGGATTTTGGTTAGGTTATAGCCTTGCCTTTTCACGAAATCCTACTCTAAGAAAACTGCTATTTTAGGAGCAAAAAACAACTAAAATAGAGTCATGAGTGGATTTGAAGGAATTTGGATTCTTATTAGAGTATATTTAGCCAAATTTGTGATGAAAAATTTTCGGTCCAAAATCGGATATTTGGTAAGTTATAGCCTTGCCTTTTTCACCGAAATCCTTCTCTAAGAAAACCTATTTTAGAGCAAAACAAACCTAAAATAGATCATGAGGATTTAAACAATTTATGGCTTATTTAGAGTATATTAGCCAAGTTTTGGATAAAAAATTTTCGGTCAAAAAATCGGATATTTGGTAAGTTATAGCCTTGCCTTTTAACGAAAATCCTCTCTAAGAAAACTGTATTATATTTAGAGCGAAAACAACCTAAAATAGAGTCATGAGTGGATTAAAGAAATTTGTGCTTATTTAGATATTTAGCCAAATTTTGGAATAGAAAAAATTTTCGTCAAAAACGGCATATTTTGGTAAGGTTATAGCCTTCCTTTTTCAACGAAAATCCTTCTCTAAGAAAACTGTTATTTTAGAGCAGAACGAACCTAAATAGAGTCATGAGTATGATTTAACCGAATTTATGGCTTATTAGAGTATATTTCAGCCAAGTTTGATGAAAAAATCTTTCGGTCAAAAATACAGATATTTTGGTAATGTTATAGTCCTGCCTTTTTACGGAAAATCCTTTCTCTAAGGAAACTGTATTTTAGAGCAAAAAACACCTAAACATAGAAGTCATAGTGGATTAAGTACATATTATGGCTTATTTAAGTTATATTTAGCCAATTTTGGATGAAAAAATTTTCGGTCAATAAATCGATATTTGGTAACGTTATACCTTGCGCTTTTCTTACGAAGAATCCTTCTTCTAAGTAAAACTGCTTATTTTAGAGCGAAAAACAACCTGAATAGAGTCATGATGTTGATTTAAACGAAATTTATGCTATTTAGAGATTATTTAGCCAAGTTTTGGATGAAAATTTTCGGTCAAAAATCGGATATTTTGGTATGGTATAGCCTTGCCTCTTTTTTAACGAAAACCTTCTCTAAGAAAACTGTATTTTAGAGCAAAACAACTTAATAAATAGATCATTGATGGATTTAAACGAAATTTATGGCTGATTTAAGTATATTTAGCCAAGTTTTGGAATTGAAAAAATTTTTGTCCAAAAATCGGATATTTTGTTAAGTTATAGCCTTTGGCCTTTCTTACAGATAAAACTCTTCCTCGAAGAAACTGCATATTTAGAGGCAAAACACCTGAAAATAGAGTCATGAGTGGATTTAAAGAATATGTATGTTTTAGAGTATATTTAGCCAAAGCTTGTGACATGAAAAAAAATTTCTGGTCCAAAATCGAATATTTTGGTAGAGGTTATAGCCTGCCTTTTTCTTACGAAATCCTTCTCCTAAGAAAACTGCTTATTTATGGAGCAAACAACCTAAAATAGAGTCAGAGTGGATTTAAAACGAATTTATTGCTTGATTTAGAGTACTATAGCCAGTTTTGTATGAAAAAAATTCGACTCATCAAAAATCGGATATTTTGGTAAGGTTATAGCCTTGCCTTTTTCACGAAAATCCTTCTCTAAGAAAACTGCTATTTTAGAGCGGAAAACAACCTAAAATAGAGTCATGAGTGGATTTAAACGAATTTATGGCTTATTTAGAGAATATTTAGCCAAGTTTTGGATGAAAAAATTTTCGATCAAAAATCGGATATTTTGGTAAGGTTATAGCCTTGCCTTTTTCACGAAAATCCTTCTCTAAGGAAACTGCTATTTTAGAGCAGAAAGCAACCTAAAATAGAGTCATGAGTAGATTTAAACGAATTTATGGCTTATTTAGATTATATTTAGCCAAGTTTTGGATGAAAAAATTTTCGATCAAAAATCGGATATTTTGGTTAGGTTATAGCCTTGCCTTTTTCACGAAAATCCTTCTCTAAGGAAACTGCTAATTTAGAGCAAAAAACAACCTAAACTAGAGTCATGAGTGGATTTAAACGAATTTATGGCTTATTTAGATTATATTTAGCTAAGTTTTGGATGAAAAAATTTTCGATCAAAAATCGGATATTTTGGTAAGGTTATAGCCTTGCCTTTTTCACGAAAATCCTTCTCTAAGAAAACTGCTATTTTAGAGCAAAAAACAACCTAAAATAGAGTCATGAGTGGATTTAAACGAATTTATGGCTTATTTAGAGTATATTTAGCCAAGTTTTGGATGAAAAAATTTTCGATCAAAAATCGGATATTTTGGTAAGGTTATAGCCTTGCCTTTTTCACGAAAATCCTTCTCTAAGAAAACTGCTATTTTAGAGCGGAAAACAACCTAAAATAGAGTCATGAGTGGATTTAAACGAATTTATGGCTTATTTAGAGTATTTTTAGCCAAGTTTTGGATGAAAAAATTTTCGATCAAAAATCGGATATTTTGGTAAGGTTATAGCCTTGCCTTTTTCACGAAAATCTTTCTCTAAGAAAACTGCTATTTTAGAGCGGAAAACAACCTAAAATAGAGTCATGAGTGGATTTAAACGAATTATGGCTTATTTAGAGTATTTTAGCCAAGTTTTGGATGAAAAAATTTTCGATCAAAAATCGGATATTTTGGTAAGGTTATAGCCTTCCCTTTTTCACGAAAATCCTTCTCTAAGAAAACTGCTATTTTAGAGCGGAAAACAACCTAAAATAGAGTCATGAGTGGATTTAAACGAATTTATGGCTTATTTAGAGTATTTTTAGCCAAGTTTTGGATGAAAAAATTTTCGATCAAAAATCGGATATTTTGGTAAGGTTATAGCCTTGCCTTTTTCACGAAAATCCTTCTCTAAGGAAACTGCTTTTTTAGAGAAAAAAACAACCTAAAATAGAGTCTTGAGTGGATTTAAACGAATTTATGGCTTATTTAGAGTATTTTTAGCCAAGTTTTGGATGAAAAATTTTTCGATCAAAAATCGGATATTTTGGTAAGGTTATAGCCTTGCCTTTTTCACGAAAATCCTTCTCTAAGAAAACTGCTATTTTAGAGCGGAAAACAACCTAAAATAGAGTCATGAGTGGAATTAAACGCATTTATGGCTTATTTAGAGTATATTTAGCCAAGTTTTGGATGAAAAAATTTTCGGTCAAAAATCGGATATTTTGGTAAGGTTATAGCCTTGCCTTTTTCACGAAAATCCTTCTCTAAGAAAACTGCTATTTTAGAGCAAAAAACAACCTAAAATAGATTCATGAGTGGTTTTAAACGAATATATAGCTTCTTTAGAGTATATTTAGCCAAGTTTTGGATGAAAAAATTTTCGGCCCAAAATCGGATATTTTGGTAAGGTTATAGCCTTGCCTTTTTCACGAAAATCCTTCTCTAAGAAAACTGCTATTTTAGAGCGGAAAACAACCTAAAATAGAGTCATGATTGGATTTAAACGAATTGATGTCTTATTTAGAGAATATTTAGCCAAGTTTTGGATGAAAAAATTTTCGATCAAAAATCGGATATTTTGGTAAGGTTATAGCCTTGCCTTTTTCACGAAAATCCTTCTCTAAGAAAACTGCTATTTTAGAGCGGAAAACAACCTAAAATAGAGTCATGAGTGGATTTAAACGAATTTATGGCTTATTTAGAGTATTTTTAGCCAAGTTTTGGATGAAAAAATTTTCGATCAAAAATCGGATATTTTGGTAAGGTTATAGCCTTGCCTTTTTCACGAAAATCTTTCTCTAAGAAAACTGCTATTTTAGAGCGGAAAACAACCTAAAATAGAGTCATGAGTGGATTTAAACGAGTTTATGGCTTATTTAGAGTATTTCTAGCCAAGTTTTGGATGAAAAAATTTTCGATCAAAAATCGGATATTTTGGTAAGGTTATAGCCTTGCCTTTTTCACGAAAATCCTTCTCTAAGAAAACTGCTATTTTAGAGCGGAAAACAACCTAAAATAGAGTCATGAGTGGATTTAAACAAATTTATGGCTTATTTAGAGTATTTTTAGCCAAGTTTTGGATGAAAAAATTTTCGATCAAAAATCGGATATTTTGGTAAGGTTATAGCCTTGCCTTTTTCACGAAAATCCTTCTCTAAGGAAACTGCTTTTTTAGAGAAAAAAACAACCTAAAATAGAGTCTTGAGTGGATTTAAACGAATTTATGGCTTATTTAGAGTATTTTTAGCCAAGTTTTGGATGAAAAATTTTTCGATCAAAAATCGGATATTTTGGTAAGGTTATAGCCTTGCCTTTTTCACGAAAATCCTTCTCTAAGAAAACTGCTATTTTAGAGCGGAAAACAACCTAAAATAGAGTCATGAGTGGAATTAAACGCATTTATGGCTTATTTAGAGTATATTTAGCCAAGTTTTGGATGAAAAAATTTTCAGTCAAAAATCGGATATTTTGGTAAGGTTATAGCCTTGCCTTTTTCACGAAAATCCTTCTCTAAGAAAACTGCTATTTTAGAGCGGAAAACAACCTAAAATAGAGTCATGATTGGATTTAAACGAATTGATGTCTTATTTAGAGTATATTTAGCCAAGTTTTGGATGAAAAAATTTTCGATCAAAAATCGGATATTTTGGTAAGGTTATAGCCTTGCCTTTTTCACGAAAATACTACTCTAAGAAAACTGCTATTTTAGAGCGGAAAACAACCTAAAATAGAGTCATGAGTGGATTTAAACGAATTTATGGCTTATTTAGAGTATATTTAGCCAAGTTTTGGATGAAAAAATTTTCGATCAAAAATCGGATATTTTGGTAAGGTTATAGCCTTGCCTTTTTCACGAAAATCCTTCTTTAAGTAAACTGCTATTTTAGAGCGGAAAACAACCTAAAATAGAGTCATGAGTGGATTTAAACGAATTGATGTCTTATTTAGAGTATATTTAGCCAAGTTTTGGATGAAAAAATTTTTGGTCAAAAATCGGATATTTTAGTAAGGTTATAGCCTTGCCTTTTTCACGAAAATCCTTCTCTAAGAAAACTGCTATTTTAGAGCGGAAAACAACCTAAAATAGAGTCATGAGTGGATTTAAACGAATTTATGGCTTATTTAGAGTATATTTAGCCAAGTTTTGGATGAAAAAATTTTCGATCAAAAATCGGATATTTTGGTTAGGTTATAGCCTTGCCTTTTTCACGAAAATCCTTCTCTAAGAAAACTGCTATTTTGGAGCAAAAAACAACCTGAAATAGAGTCATGAGTGGATTTGAAGGAATTCTTGGATTCTTTAGAGTATATTTAGCCAAATTTTGAATGAAAAAATTTTCGGCCAAAAATCGGATATTTTGGTAAGGTTATAGCCTTGCCTTTTTCACGAAAATCCTTCTCTAAGAAAACTGCTATTTTAGAGCGGAAAACAACCTAAAATAGAGTCATGAGTGGATTTAAACGAATTGATGTCTTATTTAGAGTATATTTAGCCAAGTTTTGGATGAAAAAATTTTCGGTCAAAAATCGGATATTTTGGTAAGGTTATAGCCTTGCCTTTTTCACGAAAATCCTTCTCTAAGAAAACTGCTATTTTAGAGCGGAAAACAACCTAAAATAGAGTCATGAGTGGATTTAAAGGAATTCTTGGATTTTTTAGAGTATATTTAGCCAAATTTTGGATGAAAAAATTTTCGATCAAAAATCGGATATTTTGGTAAGGTTATAGCCTTGCCTTTTTCACGAAAATCCTTCTCTAAGGAAACTGCTATTTTAGAGCAGAAAGCAACCTAAAATAGAGTCATGAGTAGATTTAAACGAATTTATGGCTTATTTAGATTATATTTAGCCAAGTTTTGGATGAAAAAATTTTCGATCAAAAATCGGATATTTTGGTTAGGTTATAGCCTTGCCTTTTTCACGAAAATCCTTCTCTAAGGAAACTGCTATTTTAGAGCAAAAAACAACCTAAACTAGAGTCATGAGTGGATTTAAACGAATTTATGGCTTATTTAGATTATATTTAGCCAAGTTTTGGATGAAAAAATTTTCGATCAAAAATCGGATATTTTGGTAAGGTTATAGCCTTGCCTTTTTCACGAAAATCCTTCTTTAAGTAAACTGCTATTTTAGAGCGGAAAACAACCTGAAATAGAGTCATGAGTGGATTTAAACGAATTTATGGCTTATTTAGAGTATATTTAGCCAAGTTTTGGATGAAAAAATTTTCGATCAAAAATCGGATATTTTGGTAAGGTTATAGCCTTGCCTTTTTCACGAAGATACTTCTCTAAGAAAACTGCTATTTTAGAGCGGAAAACAACCTAAAATAGAGTCATGAGTGGATTTAAACGAATTTATGGCTGATTTAGAGTATATTTTGCCAAGTTTTGGATGAAAAAATTTTCGGTCAAAAATCGGATATTTTGGTAAGGTTATAGCCTTGCCTTTTTTACGAAAATCCTTCTCTAAGAAAACTGCTAATTTAGAGCAAAAAACAACCTAAAATAGAGTCATGAGTGGATTTAAACGAATTTATGGCTTATTTAGAGTATATTTAGCCAAGTTTTGGATGAAAAAATTTTCGGTCAAAAATCGGATATTTTGGTAAGGTTATAGCCTTGCCTTTTTTACGAAAATCCTTCTCTAAGAAAACTGCTAATTTAGAGCAAAAAACAACCTAAAATAGAGTCATGAGTGGATTTAAACGAATTTATGGCTTATTTAGAGTATATTTAGCCAAGTTTTGGATGAAAAAATTTTCGGTCAAAAATCGGATATTTTGGTAAGGTTATAGCCTTGCCTTTTTTACGAAAATCCTTCTCTAAGAAAACTGCTAATTTAGAGCAAAAAACAACCTAAAATAGAGTCATGAGTGGATTTAAACGAATTTATGGCTGATTTAGAGTATATTTTGCCAAGTTTTGGATGAAAAAATTTTCGGTCAAAAATCGGATAGTTTAGATGATTTTAACGTGATTGATAATTGCATAGGAAATAACAGAAAGAAATAAAAACAAATGTTAAACGTTAATACATTGAAATTAGCTGTTTCTACATCCACATCTACATCGATACTGAGCAGGAGCGAGTATTGGTATAACGCTCAGAGTGCAAGAAATAATGAAATAAAAGTTTAATGGATAAAACGTGCTAGAAGATGCCACTGATCAATGATAAGATTGAACATTTACATGTCAAATGAGAAGCTGTAATTTTGTTTGTCGGCAAGACTGAATCAAAAAGGGACTGAAAATTTGTCACAATAAGGTAGTAAACTACCAAATCTCGGACATTAATTTTCAAACAAGTTAGCCTTCTTAGTGTGCTGCAAAGTTCTTAGTTTCAAACAAGTTAGCCTTCTTAGTGTGCTGCAAAGTTCTTAGTTTCAAACGAGTAAGCCTTCTTAGTGTGCTGCAAAGTTCTTAGTTTCAAACGAGTAAGCCTTCTTGGCGAGCAAAAGTTAGGCTTCCTTGAGTTCCAGAGAAGATGAAGACTGTACAACATCAAAACTGTTTGGCGATGACAAAAATCTTGCTGGTAAGATTGATTGAAAGTCAAAAAGCAGTTTAGGATCGACGGATTCTTTTTCATCGTGGCGGCCTAGACAAATTGAAATTAGGAGACGCATATCTGAATAGAAACAGTGAATGAAGTGGGGACTCAGAAAAGAAAGTTGCTAAAATCATGGCTGGTATAGTGATGATTCTCTGTGAGAGAGTGAAAGTCTTATTTGCTAATTGAATGTTGCATAAGTTCTTTTGTCTCCAAAATATCATAAAACCATATCAATTAAACCATGATAGACATCTTATGAAATTCGCAGGTTTGATAAAGTTTCGCAGCTAAATCACAGCTGATACCCACCTTCCAAAGAGACACCAAACATTTGACCTCAGTAATTGGCATACCCTTGCTCATAGCTTGGTCGGCATGGTTGCCAGGTCAAAAAACAAAATGTCATCACCTTTGTTGTTGTCATTAGCCTTTGTGTCATTTTTCGCTGTCAAAGTTTAGAGGGACTTTTTTTAAACCACATTAAGTCAAGACAAAAGAGTCCCACTTACCTGTTACTATGGAAACTAGCCAACCAATGATAATCGTCGAAAAGATTCCAATCGTACCATACCAGTAATGAGATAAACTGTACAGTTTTGCCAAAGGAAAGCTGCGTGGATAAAACGTTCAACATAAACATAGTATATGCAGACATAGCGAAGTATTCACGGCATATATCACTAAAATTTTTTATCTCTAAGTTTCATGGAAATTCAAGTTTTCTACGGACAATAAAGTCCATATGATTTTAAAGGCACGGACAATAAAGTCCATATGATTTTAAAGGCACGGACAATAAAGTCCATATGATTTTAAAGGCACGGACAATAAAGTCCAAATGATTTTAAAGGCAACAATTCTGCAAAGCAAGAAAAGAAGACAGTAGAAAATTTCAAATTCAAATCATTAAAGTTTAAAATTTTTTGTCTATATATATGCAGCGAATACTTTTTGAGGTGATGGTAAATTCAGATGCAAATTTGGACTCTTTAAGTCTGATGTTCTTTTAAATGGGTGCAAGTTTCTGATCAAGGATACTTCCTCAGCCTATGCAAGCTCCTTAAGAATAGAATATAAAGCAGACCTTGAGGCTTTAAATTTGACACAGTCAACACGTCCTTGGAACAGAACGGAAAATGACAAAGACAAATTACTATAGGAAATTATTGCACTTACTCGTGTGGTTTGAAGTTGTAGATGACCTTGCCATCAACTGTGTTTGGAAAATTTGTTGCATTGTAAATACCAAGAGCACTGCAATTCGTGACTTGTACCGGGGCAGGAGCCTTGTCTCCAGGGAACAAAATACCGCCCAATGATATCCAGGCAGACATTGTTACCCCAAATATCACGCCACAAAAAGCACCCTGCAAGATTGATGGATAATTATAAGACAGCTTATAAATTTAGAACAAAGATAAAAAAGACGCTTTTTACAAAATCCGTCATTTGTAATCATCGATCGTTGAACATATTATGGATCAAGGAAGCTAAAAAGTTCATTAAGAGCTTAACATTTTAAAACCTGAAAGAAAAGCAGGCATCTCATGGATTTGAAAATACTTGGAAGTTATTGGGAACTAAGTTTCAAGAGCAATCTTGCTGCCGTCGCCCCTGATTGCAATCAAAACAAATCTTGAAATTCAGATCAATAAATGACGTGATGTCACAAGCATATTTTAAAACTTCTTAAACTTGAATGCACAATGCAACTTATAGTGAACCAAGGGCCTATAATTTCATTCAACTCTCGCTATCTCATGAAAAGTTCTTGAAGCCACCTTTTGAGTGTTTTCACTATCTAACAAAGATTCTTTGTGAAGTGTAAAGATACATCCTTTAATTTCCATAAAGAAGCAAGCTTAAAATCCAAGATTGTACACCAAAAAATGATCAAGATTATTCAAACCAAAGTAAGTGCTTTACTGGCCTAAGTCCAGTTATGTCTCAAATAAAACGGATCAAATGCACTGCACTGTTGGAGAGCACCAGACAGAACTTAACATTTTGAATAGATTTTAAATTTTTCATGATATCTTGAAAAGAGTTCTTACTTTAGAATTTGCCCTCTTTGAAAGCATGCCAAGGGTAAACATTCCAAAAGATGGAGAACCAATGATACCAGCAATGGAATAGGCAAGCTGAAAAGAAAATTATATAAAAGATAAAGGGTTTTCTTGCTCACAACAACAATCCTGCTATTAATCAACGAGGTCAAAACAACAAATAACTATGCATGTTACTGCTAAATGCATTTACATTTCATTAACTTTTAGAAGACTTGGTTTGTTTTTGGTTTTTGAAGATTTCTCAAATTATCTCGCTTCAAGAATTATCGCTTCAAGAATCCTTTTTTGTAGTCAATCATCAAATTATCAAATTCGCATTGCTGCTACCTAAACTTTAAGATCCTTTATATCATCAAATTTATATTTCTAAAAACACTCAAGCAACAAAAATGTCGTTTTCCTTGAAAAGTACCGGACTGGTACGTATCAAGATTTTAAAAGATATTAAAGGTATGTTTTAAATTTTGCAATCTTTTACGTCTATCTAACATGAACCATTCTTGCTAATGGACACAAAACAGTGTTGGAAGAAAACTTTATTGTAACAGCTACCAGTCCATTGTGAATTCTCAATTTGAAATTTTTTGTGATTTGTTGTGCTACAACAGGCACCGCGGAGCGTTGAGAAAAGTAGGGGGTTTAAAAAATGTGGGGGGGGGGGCTAAAACCGTATAAGAAGAGGCTTTTCTGGTAGTTTGATACTTGATATTTTGCTAAAGCCCCCCAGCCCTCCCTGCTCCGCGGTGCCTGTACAAAGCACGTAATTTGTTGCCGATGTTAGCGTATTCACACTGAAAACGGAGCGTAAAGTATCCGTTTTCATTAGCGTTTTCAAACGACTCCGTTTTCATAGCAGAGTAGTGTGAGCGCAAGGCAAAAAACGGATTAGTTTGACTCCGATTTCATTTGAAAAGTGTGAACGGCCCTTAGTGCTTTTGAGAGCCTACCTGAAGAACTTGAGTACCAACGACGGAGACGAGAAAAGAAAGACTGATGACAAGAACTCCAAAAGCACAAGCTGAAAAAAGAAGAAAAGAAATCATTTTATGCAGATATGAAACCTGGGTGATTTAAGCTTCAGTGCCGGCTGATTTACGCTTCTATACAACTCTTATTTTGAAGATTGATGGCAAGAAAATGCGTAAACCGGTCATGCGGTGACATACACAGCACTTTGAAATCTGGGAGGATTATGTGTAGCCACATTCTTTATAGTCGCGGCAAAAGGGATAACGCTCTTTAGAACAAATAGGAACCTAGCAACTTCCCTACGATTACCGAGCAATATTGAGATACGATTAGCAAATATGAAAGGTCATATTAATCAAAGACTGAGATTCAACTTTGTGCTGGGGGGAGGGGGGGGGGCAGCCTTGATAAAAACAGCTATACTTCGCAGCTATATTTTACAAGCAGTGTAAAAACAGCTATATTTTTCTAGATGAAAGTATTTTGCTCATGCTACTTAAGTTTTTTTTGGGGGGGGGGATGTTTCAAGGTCCCTCCGGCCCCACAGCTCCCGCCCCTCGATATCTCAGTCCTTGATGATAATGGAATCAAAGTAGAACGTGGTGATACCTATCAATTTGGAAACATGCATTGCTTTTTCGTCAGTCAAAGTTGGATGTCTTCTTTTGATGATATCCTCAACAACCACAGCTGTCAGCGAATTCAACCCAGAAGATGCAGAGCTACACAGATGAAAGGGTCTCAATTAATACTAAACGATGATAATAAAAGTTTTGTAAATGAAATCATGGAAAACGAAATATTGAATCATTTGAATGTACAGCACCCAAAATATGAGACCCAGGCATTGCGAAGTCTATCAAGCCTGGAAGACTTAAGATATGGTTGGGAAGGGGTTTTATGAAAGAGCCAATTAATACATAGCCCCCCTTCCGGCATAGGAAACTAAAGTAACCTACCTTAGCGCCCCGCTGAAAAGACAAGCTGTGTATAGTCCTGGCACACCCTTTAGATGTGACAGCTTATGAATCACGAAGTACGGGATGATCTGTTGTTGAAGAGATCAGGCGTTAAAAGAATATTCAATTCAGTGAGTTACATAATAAATACCATTGGCATTGTCATTTATGGAACTGAAGAAAGAACATTCATGAACGCAATTTACGTTAACACACAAAAAAGAAAGATAGAGGAACAAAAATGTATTTTAGACTTCATCACAGAGTATGTAATGCAACATCAATGAAATAGTAGCACATTTAATTTCACATTTAGGAATTTTTATTTTTGTTGCAAAGCAAAGAAAAAATGGCATGTCTACATTTGACCGAATCGCGTTCTTAAGTTTCCATTGCTAATGGGTTGCGCCTAATCTTATATGTTGTACTATAAAAAATCACATAAAACCCTTAAATATCCGTCCTGGAGAAAAACAGCAAGAAGAAGAAAGAAGGATTCCGAAGGAGGGCTTGCCGCACTGAGAATAAATCCTTAAATTAGCAAACCTGGTCATTGCTTTTGATCTCTTTAACACTGCGAGGGTCACATTTTGAGTATACAGCGTACATCACCAATCCAGAGAAGCAGCATACAGAATATGTTACGAGAAAGAAAAGAATATTTGTAAATAGGGCCCTGGAAATGAAAAGAGTTTCATAAAGAAAAATAGGTCAAAAACCCTGAAGCAATGAAATGGTTTAACATATATATTTTAAAGACATTTTTTGTTATCATAGAAGGGTATAAATTGATAATTCTTTTAGGAACAAAAAACCATCTATTTTTTGGTCATTAGCAACTAATTCAAGTAAGCAGTTGAACTACTTACTTATTATGCCTTGAACTACAATCTATTTGCCAACAACGCTTAGGCCATAACAATTAATCAAAACAATGTTAGCACAATCATTTATTCATAGCATCATCTTCACAAGTTTTGATTTTTTGCATATCGGAAAAAACTGTCAAGCATAAAGAAGACATTATTAGAATGTCAGCTATCCAGTAAATATGAGCTAGTGTTTGTAAATAAATTGTATTCCTCAAAATAAAGCAAACAAGGTTACTTTTTGACGTTCTTCAGTGAGGAGGCAGATAAAAATCTTTGCACCACGACTTGAGATGTTGTCCACGTTGAAATAAATGAGAATGTGGCTCCAATGAACAATGTCCAAAATGTGTTTCTAACAGTAGGATCTGGGTTGAAACTTGCAAAAAGATATCAGAATTAACTTTTTAAAATCATGTTATTTCAAAATACAAGACTATACGCACTAACGGAATTTTTTAAATCTTACTGCATCTACTGCATTAATAATCATTGTAATGTACGACGTATAGAAGCACTTTGGCGGGCATGCATTGTCTCTGTTATTACTACAGTAGCTTTCAACTCTTTATGCATTCACTTAGTTTAGCTTCAACTGTATATATGTTTAAACATTCTGTTAATAAATATGTTTTCATTGTAACTTCAAACGAAGCAAGCCACTAGAAGTATAGCTAAGCCCAAATGGAATCGGTTTGTAAGCCTATACCGTAAATCCTCGAATTAGCCCCATGGGGACTTATTTATTTTGATATTTTTGGACGGGGGCTTATTCGAGGGAGGGGGGGGGGGGTTATAAGATTATTGTAGACATTAAGGAGACATTATTAAAAGACATCGTTTATTTTAGTAGGAATTTCTGTATGAGAATTCAATTAATTAATACCAAAAGTACGAAATTGTCGTGCTAATTCAATAAAACGCCATAGGCAACATCAGATGGCAAAAATCATCAAATTGAGGGGTCCAATTCGAGAAATTACGGTAGCAGTGGGAGCTTACTTGAGGGAGGGGGTCTTATTGACAGTTTGTAGTTCTAGGGTGGAGGCTTATTCGAGGGGAGGGGGCTTTTTCGAGGGGGGGGGGGCAATTAGAGGATTTACTGTGCCTGAATTAATTGTCAACAGAAAACCACATATATTACGACATGAAGAAGGGAAAAGACGTAAAGAGAAAAAAAAGACTCCTTACTCAAATAATTTTAGACGTTCCCCATCACGTGCAATGTCAATAACATTCTTGATACCTCCGACTTCATTTGTGCCTATTGCAATTATAACAATGACTCCCAAAAGCATCACAAATGTTTGAAAAACATCAGTCCACACAACACCCCGCATTCCACCCTGTATTGAAGAAAAAGAGTCTTATTTTTCAATACAGCCATAGAGGTAATGGGTTTTACATAAACATTAGCATTTGAATAAAAGGGAACATGGAAATCTGACGAATGCATAATTTTTGCGTCCAATTTGCGTTTTATGTAAACGGCTAATATTCCTTCAAAAAACTTTTATTTACACGAAAACTTGTTTTAATAGTGATTTCTCTTACAGTGAAATGTCACAAGCATTTGAATTCGCTAAAAGATGCGATCAGAGTTTGGCACTGAATCAGCTGTCCCTAACTTCATCACCATTAAAATACCAAAATAAAAGTAAGAAGAAGGGACTATACATGAAAATAGACTATCAAAATTGCCCAAGTGCCCCTTGTACCCAAAGTTGTCAATAAGTGCCCCTTGTACGAGTTCAACGATTTTACCATCGTTTCTCAAGTCTAGCATGTTTATAAAAATGCAATGTATGATAAAGAAGGTAAAGACTAATTTGTGGTATGACGTCAGCAACAAAATGAAATGGTGAAATAAACAAACCAGAGTCGTGTAAAATGTGCAAACAACACCCGTTGAAACGATCGATGCTGCCAAAGGAACGCCAGCAACTGTTTTCGAAAGGAAAGGAAAATAATTGCGAATGACTGTCACAAATTACATAGTGACGTGAAGAAGTAATTAACGTGTTTTGATAGATGCAATGAAACTAGTCTTTTTTTAAAAAACCAGCTAGCTAGAAATTTTTTATTCTCTCCACAGGATGGGCCTTTTACAAAGGTCGATTAAGTAATAAAAAGAGTTTCCTATGCAGGGATTTCTGAAGGCGATTGGCATTATAAAATTGAAAACCTCACCTGCTTGTAATGCAAGACTTGGAGCGTATATAACAACTGCCAAGTACAACACCTAAAAGATATGAAAGGTAATTGAAGCAATAATAACCCTTTTCATCAAACTGGGGAAGATGATGCTGAATTGCTACCGTCTTTAGAAACAGAGCTATTTTCTGACCGGTAAAAGATGTTCGAAAATGGTACCAAAGTGGAGCCTTGTCGAACACAGTGCGGCAGCAAGTAAGAGAGCAGAATAAAATGCATGACAAAGTAAAGAGGATTTAAATTTCTTATATAAAAGGCAATAAAATGCAGCATATTACTTCGATGCAATTATACAGCTCTCTTTTTTACAAGATAAAATTTCGCCGGATAAACTTTAAGGGATTTTCATTTATGCTTTTTTATCGCAAAGCAATATTCAGGCACCGCGGAGCAGGGGGGCTGGGGTGGCTTTAGCCCCACTTTTTGCAAAAAATGCCAAATATTAAGTATCAAACTACCAGAAAAGCTACTACGCCCTACTTTTCTCAGCGCTCCGCGGTGCCAGATATTGATACATATGAAGCATACAAAGCAAATATAAAACGAGCTTTCTTACATTCATTCAGGAAATACTTACATACTGCAAAATGAACATGATACAGCCTACAAGGCGAATCCCATAACTGAATCTCTTCTCCAAATACTAAGAGAAAGTAACGTCACTTTATTATCCGTATAAGTAAGGCTGTTTTATTATTAAAATTGCTGTTAGTCCATGTTATGGTTTTAAATATCCTATCTGCTTCTTGGTTGTCAATATTCAAATTGCCGGGCTTGTCTTTAATCCCCCTCCATTTCATCTTTAACTGCTGTACGGTGTTACGTCATTCAAACTTTTTTATTTAGCGCATTTCTTTGACTGGTATTCTCATTCTGTTAAAGGATATACCGTGCTTGCCGAAAGATCAAGTTTTTCCGAGCAGATTCCAGAAAAGTTGTCAACCTTCCAAGTGTCGCATGGTCGCAATCAAAGTGTCGCATGGTCGGTTGGCGGGACAAATTTTCCACGTCGCCATTTGCCCACAGCTTGCAGGCGCAAAAGCTCTTTGCACAGCGACTGCAAACATTTTTGCTCTATGTTCATTGGTCAGTCTTATCAGGGATGCTCTTTACCACGTGCATCCACTTATCATTTTATCAATCACCCATCCCAACAGACACCAGGCCTTGTGCCCTCGCTGTTGACCAGTCAGCTTCTAGCACCCAGTGACGTACCCCAAACGTTCAAGACAGGGAGTTAAGGGTCAAAAACAGTAAAATTGACTGACAAAGACATCGACGAAGACAGTTTTGTTATTTTCACCCTACCTTTGGGTGATTTACCGATCATTAAAAGATTTTGCCTGCCCATCGAATATTTACTGACCGGCTCACGAAAAAACTGGGATGTCACATCCTACCGACATCAACTTATGTTTAACATAAAAATACATAACAATATCGCTACCTACCTCGTTGGCACTTGTCACTTGCGTTTTGTAAAATATTGGCGCATAAACCAAAGCACCAACTGAAAGCATTATAACAAATGATAAAACCGTGATTAAGTATTGTATACCATAGGTGTAAACCTCAGATGGTATACCCATTAATGCAATGGCAGATACGAACGTTGCAAGCATGGATATAGAGATAGGTAGCCAGTGCATGCTGCCGCTTGCCGTGAGGTATTCCTTCGTGCTTTTCTGCTTGCCTTTGATGCCATAGTAGATGCCAATCGCGCTGGACAAGACAAGCATCAAAACAAACACAATGTAATCAACTGCAGAAAGTGAGCTCGCCATTTTTGTCAAATAGATTCCGCCAAAGATCTCTCGTCATTTGCGCGTACTTCTCAGATAACAATCAGGTAACCTGATTCAGATTTACGTCTACTTCCGGAATTGGTGTTTATGGGCCGACGTTGCTAAAACGAGGAACAAGCGGAACAACCCAGTAACAAGTGGAACAACCCAGTAACAACCCAGTAACAAGCGGAACAACCCAGGAACAAGCAGAGCAACCCAGTAACAAGCGGAAATGTGAATCAATTGTTTAGTAAATAACACATAGGGGCGTTTATAATCCAACTCTCTGAAGTTCGTGTGGGCTAGAACTATCAAGAGGCCGTCAATCATGTTTTCGTCTGTTTCGGAGGATACAATCAACATATACGCTACGAAGGAGGACACACAGACCCTATCAGAGGACATTGTTAGCTCGGTTCTGAATACCTGTAGCTGATTTGCTTTTCCTAAATGTGGTATAAGCCATGCTCTGTTTTACTGATTTTTATTATAATTTGGTGTAACCCATACAATATGTCATTCAAATGTTATAATTAATCGATTTCGTCAATCGAATACATTTGCTAATTTTTGGAAACATTTTATATTTATGCATTGTTGATTGTGCATGTTACAGATGTAACGGTTCTAAAATTAATGTTTTTATCCACCATGTAGTTAGGAAATTTTACTTACTGCGCTTGCGCAATATGACGTCATTATGTAATGGGTAAATTTGGTTTATTTTGACGCGATTTGGCCTATTTTCATAAACAGTTTGGCTACATAGTACCCAGACCACCCTGGCAACCCTGTTCAAAACATAGTGCGAACAGGGCCTATGTTAATATTCATTCATTACCGATGGTTTGCACTCTATTGACAATTTATCATTTTCAAAATAGCCGCAGCTGCTCATTAATTGGGGGGCTTTCAGGTGTATAGCGTCTTTGAAAGATGCAATATTTGCAAGCTCTAATTCCGTTGGTGCAGCGTCGTCCAACAAGAAACTTCTGAGATTTAAAAGGAAGTCCGCTCGCTGAAATTTAAGAAGAAAGAAAACCTGGAAAAGTTTGATAAATTTGATTAGATGTTGTTAAGAAAGGATGGTACTATGGAAAATGGAGAAAAAGGATTCTCAATCGTATCAATTACTCATTTTTTAATTTCAAAGACGAAACTGGCAATTGTACACCCCCGGAAACAAAAAACGATGCAACACCATGCTACTTTGTGCAACAGCACATCGTGATGCACCGGGATGGCCAAACGTCGTTGCAGTTGTTGCATCGTTACCCTGGGTGCCATCATTTGATCTCAAAAATATACAAAAAATATTCTTTTGAACGAGGATTTCATTCTTTGCCACCGCAGCCGCCTTCAATACTTTATCCCTAGATTCACGAGGCTCTGGTACCCAGGGTCTGGGCAATGCCTTTTAGCTAATTTTGGGCTTATACCATTGCTTCCTAAAAATTGTTGTTATGTTAAAGTGACATGGGATTCTTGTCATTATAAAATTCATGAAATTTAAAAAAATGCATGGTATTTTCATGTATTTTATTAGTCGGTTTAAGAGCACGGAAATTAACAGCTGCGTTTTATAAAATAATAAGTAGCTTCATCTAGAAAAACATGAAAAAGCTTGATACGACATGTGAAATCGTTATATGCCATGCAAAATTGTCATGAAAACTCTTTGGAATCACAACTTTTCCCCACTATAAAATAACACGCCACCTTTTCAGGTATCCGTTAACATACAAAATATTGAGATTTTGAAATACATTGTTTATCACTTGCACTGTACAATTGATGCAATACCATTAAAATTTTCATATATTGAAATTCCCAGAAAAGATTACGTGTTAAGTGGAATTGCGGCATGCTATTGGTCATTGCGAAATCTAGGCAGCAGGATCGTTACTACGGTGGGGCGTGGGAGATGCAACACCCTCTTGGATAAACATTCCGTTGCTCAAATGAGGTGTTCTTTACATCCAGAGGTCTTTCATCGACAAATTTTGAAACTTTTTGGAAAATAAAGGCTGGCTCACCCGCTCTGTAGGCAAATTGGACCTAAGCACCCCTTTGAGCACAATGGCTAGCGGTGGCATTGTTAGGCATTTAGAAAAGGAATCGGACACCGATTGTTTGAATTTAAGCCAGGAGGAGCGTGTGGATTTATTCCAAGTAACTTCCTAGAGGGAAGGTGGAAGGGGGAAGTTATTTACGCTCTGATGATTTTTGTGAAAGCAGCGTCTGCTACGCATATGATATGGTTTCAGAAGAAGTTGTCTGAAAGATGGAAGTGTTGGCAAGAGAAACCATGTAGGTAATAGTGGTCACAGTATGACAACCCTCTTACCGGCTTTACATCGATTGCTTTCAGTAGTGTACAAATCAAACAAGCTCAAGTTTAACAAAAGTTTTTCTACACTTGCGAAATGAGTATCTTGTAACTATTTTACGAAAAATTAAAACTGATAATGACAAAAAAGGAAAATAGAAATTATTTCGAAAAAAGGAAAGGCTGCCTATGGTTAAACCCACTTCAACTGGATTGTTTGCAGAAGCCTCTGTTGATTTGTTCTTGTGAAGAAGTGTTACCGTTGCTAAGATTGTTACTGTTGTTGCTGTAGATAATACAAAAGTTGATGCTTATGATATTGTTAAGAATGCTGTTGCTAAGGCATCTATTGTTGTTATGGATTGATTTTATTATGGTTATTGTTGCTGCGGCTGTTGCTGCTGTGGTGGTGGTTGCTGTTGCGGCGGTTGTTGTTGCTGTGGTTGCTGTTGTTGTTGCTGCTGTGACTGTTGTTGTTGTTGTTGTGGAAGATTTTGCTGTTGTTGAGGCTGTTGCTGAGGTTGAGTTTGCTGTTGTTGTGAATCTCTATGATTGTGCTGTCTGCCTCCTAAAAAGAATCCAAGATTTGTTCTCGAAGCTGGCAAGTGTTTCCAGAGGTATAAAAACACAGCTTGAAAACATACACCGAAGCACTAAGGCCAATGCGATTTACTATAGACCTATAACATAACGAACTCACCCCGTTGGCTTGAAGGCCTGTAATGATGCTGGTGAGGTCGATGATGGTGATGGTTGAAAAGATGGTTGAAGTGGAACAATCCCCTGGCGGAAGGCGCTGTCGAGTAAAGTAGAACGGGCTGGAAACCCCGAATAAATCAAGCAAAAACAACTTTAATCGAGTATTCAATGAGCACTGCACGTGACTAAAAGGAATCACTTTCAGAATTTGAGAGAAAATACTTTTTATGCTAATTAAAAATTGGCTTTATCAACATAACTACCAGTTTTATTCTTGAAAATGTAGCCTTTCTTCTAAATATTTTAGAGAAGAAAAACTAGATGGAAGGAAATATTAAATAATGGCACGAGAATGTAATTTATTGCAGCGATGTCATTACTCGATTGACAATGTGAGATTCGAAGGCAACAACAAAATCTTTTGAAAATCTTGTTACTTTTCCAAATCATTCATTGTTAGAGTTGTTTCACACAGGAAAACAAAATGTACAGTTGTTAAGGGTATCAAAATATTCATGTTTTAACAATATCTTGAAAAAAATATGATAATAATTTATCATCTATGAATACTTAAAAACTTTGCTTAATAAAAGCATACAGCGATGGCATTTATAATCAACCTACCATCGAAGCTTCTTTTCTAATAAATTAGGCTTTTTCAATTAATAAATTAGGCATCTTTACCATCATTTTCTATTCCAAAAGGAATGCCAGTCATTGAGCCTCTAATGGAACAATTTATTTTGTGATCGTGACAACTTAACATAAAATAAATTATGCAAGGCTCTCTATTTATGATAATTCAAACCCAAATAATTACATACTTTGAGATACGTCAGATCTAGCGTTCATTTCTTCGTCAGCTTCTTCATCTGCAAATTTCCCTTCGATTATTTGATGATTCTGGTCCCTGAGTTTCAATCCGCCAAGACCTCGAAACATCATACCATCTATGATAAGAAATAGGGGATTTCTAACGGATACTGTAAAATCAATGATTTGCATACATGTTTAAAGACAATTAAAAATATTCCATGCTAACTTTATCTAATTTCTGATCTCTCTAGTCAAATCCCACGTTGTAGCATAGCAGAAAGTACAATATTCTTTACATATGTTTAAAATGCGCAGAAGATCTTTTAATGCTCTATATCCTGAGTTAAAATATTGCTTTGTGAAGAGTTATAACAATAGCAAGTAATGGTGTCATAAAAATTGTCTTTTCAGAGCTTTTTAATACTATTTTTTACATATAAAAATTATTTAGGATAGATGTGTTGAAAATTGCTGTGTAAAACCTACTTAGAGTCTTCCAAATCCACAAAATGGGCGAATCCCCTCTTTAAGTGAATTAGTTTTGGGAAAGTATTGAAAAAGTATCTGATAAAATATACATTAACGTACTATCAAGATCTTCCTCTGATATCTTGTATCCAGCTACGGAATAAAAAAAATAAAATAAGAGAGTTTATAAGAAACATTTATAATTTGCATTGACTCTTCAGCTAAGACGTCAAAACGGAATCAAAATCAGCAATGTATCTGACCTGCTACAAGTTTCAACAAAATTAGTTCCTCGGTTGACTCAAAAATAAAATTGTCACTGATGCAAGCAACAGCTCTGTTAATCTGAAATACTTCAAAAGTTCAGAATGTGATAATTATGATGTTTGTTGATTAAAAAGTGCACTACAGAAATACCTTCTAGGTTTGATCGCGATCTTCCAGTTGTCTCTTTAGGTTTATCTAGAAATCCAAAGGTTTATTGGCTGTAAAAGATCTTCACATTTTCCACATAATTAGATTATAGAAAATGCGAATACTTTAATATATTAGCAAAAGATGTAAGGGTTTAAAATATCATCATTCAGTTATCTTGGATAAATACTTACAATCTTTATATGAATACGTTTACAAGAATGGAACTCTGAGTTGAAAATTAGAACTGTGCTGTTCACACACCAAAGCATTCGCAGCTATGTCTATATCATAGCTATGTCTAAACCCATTCAAAACACCTGGAAATGAATGACTTTTAAAATACAAAGCATTACGAATTGAAGTGATGCATATGCTTCTTACCCTGAAAAACGTCCTCATATGTCATACCCCAATGTTTTGATACGTCAGATTTTCTGTATGGCGTCTGGACATCAAGTTTAGCATATTCATTCATATCTGTTAATAACGATAGTTCGAAAAAAGAATTAGTGAAAGAATGAACAAATGAATAAATAGATCACAAAATGGACGAATGAATGAATAGATAAGTGCAGGAATGAGCAAATGAATGAGCAAATAAAGAAATGGACGAATGAATGATGAAGTGACTATTCAATGGCCTCTACAATGAGAACAAATACGCAAGAAAAGATTTTCTTTCACCAGTAAGGGGAGAGATTTCAAAAGTTACTATTTTTATACCAAAATTTTCTCTTACTTTCAAGATTCAAACGATCGGATCTGCCACGGTTCGCTGCAAAATAAAGAACATTAAACATTTGTTTAATTAATATTATTGATAATTTCTGTTATGGGTGGCAGTTGTTACGAGAAACTGTTGTTGAACTGTTGCTATGAGAAATTATTGAAATGGGTTGCAGTTGTTATTAGGCCCGTCGCTAGCTATTGTGGTCAAGGGGGGTTTCCAGGGCCAATTTGACGACAAAGCCGGCGAGCCATCGTTCATTTTGCGGATAAATTTGAGAATTAGCCAAAAAAGCGTCTCTAGGTGGCCAAAACTCTTCGTTTTGCAACAAGTTATGACTTAATGCTCAGTTTACCCATCGCCATCTATTCTCTGATAAGGCTAATTGTAAAATTCACAGAGACGAAGAGAGCATTTAGAAAATTCAACGGCTCAGCAATTTGGAGGAAATCTATATAATTCTTTATTTCTTAAGATAAAAAATTATTTTGTATGTGGAGTATTCATCGACCTGCAAGGAGCTTCAACACTAACAGCCACAAAATATTACTAGGCACACTTTACCACAGTGTCAAAGGAGCCCCTCTAAAGATGACAATAGTACTTTTATAAAGAACGAATAGAAACAAGATAATATTTCAAAATTTAGATTGAAATGATGTTGCACAAGGCTATACAGTGAATTGAAGTGGGAGTTAAATGCTAGGAGCATTGTCTTACCGTCAGGAACATCACTTTTCTTTCCTTTTTTGTTTGCACCTGTAAGTGACATAATAATTATTTTCTGTCTTTTTATCAAAAAGATAAAAACCATAATAAAATGCCACAACGAGCATTGATAGGGATGCGTTTCTTTACTGGAGGTTACTGGTTCACTTTTTACCATAAAGGGTTTTTTATGCGATAGATAGAAAGCAGTAAGAAAAGGGGGTTGAATTTATGCAGCTTGAATGCATACAACACCATACTTAACACCTGACGAGATACACTTGAAATGAACCATTTTGAGGAAAAAAAGGTCTTCACAAACAGAGCTAAGGATGTTTCGTACGGAAAAAGCATAAAAATGGAGCTGGCAAGCCTTCAAAGTAAACCTTTATGTTACCAAATGATGTTCAATTATTTTTTCTTCACAATGTTTGATAGAGTCTTAATCTATTCCTATCATCAATACTTATACAAACCAGTCCAAACTAAACGATTTATTTTCTTCTTTCAAACCCGCCAATGTAGGAATTGTCAACTAAACCGACAGAGGTTCTAACCGGTTAGTGGTTAGGGGTGTACGGTGTGTTCTTTAACCTACCTTTACTGACATGGTAAATTGGTAGATCGACACCAAATGGCATAGCAAAATGAACTAGGACAAAATAAAAGTGCTATTTCACATGCATCTGTCTTTGCATAAATTCCTTTCATTCAATCTACACCCAAAATTCTTTGCATTCAAACAAAATCAGTCCTTAGTCAACTGCAAACCACCAGCCAGAATTTCGGGAAAAAAGAGCCACCTTAATACCAAAAGAACCTTAAGTACTCTGATCGATTTATAACACTTAAAATGACGCCACCTAGATTTACAAGGGTACATTCTCAACGACAAGACAATGTAAAACGCAATCTCAATGACAAACCAAAAAACCAGATAACATAGAACAAGTTTGTGTCCCAGAAAAATTATTTTTGTGGCACATATTAAGATGTAGCAGTGGACATTGAGAAAAAAGGGCTCAAGAAGAAGCCAAAAATCCTGCTCACCTCTATTGATCAAGTTTTTCTTAGTTGTTTTGGTTTTTGGAGTCTTCAGTGCTAAAAAGAAAAAGTCGGCGGAGATAACTAGCAGGACTATCTTTAAATGGCAAAATAAACATGAACAGAAATTCAGTAATTCACGCTGGCAATGATAGTCCCAGTATAGTAATTATCCTAAGAACAAACACCCAGGAAGTTGGCAATTGCGATAACGACCGTCCAGTTAGAATCGATGCGATCCAACGCCTCCAGAATTATATGTATTGTAGAACGGACAACACAAAGCGACCATGAACATCTAAGCATAACAGCAAGCGAATTTGTAATACAAAATTTTTATTAGTTAAGATTTAAGATTTTTATATAGCCAATATGATGAAAAATGACATGGCCTTACAAGACAAGGGAATCTAGGCTAGGTTAACAATATGGTGATAAAAAGTTGTGAAAAAAACAGACTTACCAACTCCTTCTTCTTCGGATGTAGCTGTAAAAGAAATGCCAATTATATTACTTGTCATAAACTGTCACAAATGTGAAATTTGGAATTTGGGAAATAAGCAAAGAAAATATGAATCAGCAATGCTCATTCAACAGAATTGAATATAAAAAGAGAAAAACATAAACGGATTTGAATATTGACAAAAGCAAATATTTGAAGAGGAATTAAATCAGCTTACCTCTTTTGTGCTTTTTCTCTTCATCATAACTTGGAGGCATAGGAATTTCTAGTAAATAAAAAAATTGACAATAGAAAGAAAGTATGCCTGGACTAGACTGTGCCTGGATAACAATTCTTGACAGACATGCCAAAAAAAGGTTCAGGCTACAGTAAATTTTGGCGTGTAACGTAACATCAAAGTAATTTGTTGTAAATAAATACCATTTCTATCTCTGTATTCCCCATTTTTCCAAACAGGCGTCCCTTGCTCATCTTCACCGAGCTCAAGTACTTCTGGAAACAAAGTACAAATACAATCAACATACTGATGTTCTGGAAGGATTGACTTCAACGGAAGGGCAACACCCAACAGAAAATCAGATACTACTCTATCTATATTGGCAAATTACTGGCATTCAACTCTGTTAAAATACATATAACTATATGAAGTTTATAACTATATGAAGTAGCAATTTTTCAAAATATCATAATCTCATGCTTGTAACTTGATATAATTATATTCTAGAGCAAAGAGGAATAGTACGTACCGGCATAAACAATTGATTGATACAAACAAACTGCCAATGCAGCTAACATTGCCTCGAACTTCATGTCTTTACGACTGAAAAAGATTGCATATACAATAGATTTTAAAACTGAAATCTCCAAAAGAAATAACGGTTCAACAAAAAGTGTCTCAAAAAGAATAAGTGACCCTAAATAATAGTTAAGCCAAAATCAAGTCCCTGCAAGGGTTTACATCAGTATGATTATAAACTTTCACGAAGAGAAAGTTAACATTTATTAGAGTATTCATGACATACTAAAAGTAAAACAACTTTATTTACGAAGTACTTCTTCCTGTGCATGCCTTCTTCCTAAATGTACTGCCTTCCATCCACGTTTTCCGCAGATAATTTTCCTAATGATATTTTGGCAGTACTGACTTAGGATAACTATTCTAGCATACCTGACTTGGCATACCAATTTTGCATACCTAAAGTATGTTCAAACTGCATCGGGTTTTAACAGATAGGAAAGACAACTGTTTGAAAGTAGGGGTAACTGCTTCACTGAGTATGCAGCAAGCATCTATTTCTAAGAAGCTACAGCGAAAAATATTATTTTTTTGTCAACGTTTGATGTCTATCTTTTGTCAGCGTTTAAGGTCATTAAAAGACAATATGACTCGCAATATGATAACACTATTTACAATATGATAGATAAAAAACGTAATGATTGTACTTTTAAAAGAGTACATTAAAAATAGTAACAGTGGTAGAAAGGGATGTTAATTGGAACACATTCTTTGCAGTGTGAATAGAACATTTATCTAAACTATAAACTTTATGCTAGCAGTTAATTACCATAAACAACCATGGAGTTTGTACTGCCTCGTTCACTACTTGGATGATAAGGGTTACGTATTTGTATGATTATTTAAACGATGGCAGGAAAGCTATCATTAAAAATTTAGAAAACAAATCAAATGAAATTTTTCAAAAGGATAGACCAGATCAATTAATTAGTAGCCTAAGGTTTTGCGTCTTTAAAGTTGTAGCATTCTTGATTCTAAAGTTCCTTTTTGTACTTGTTTGTTGGATCAAAATATCAAACACAAGAATTTCCTTCTAGTGAGAGCTTACCCCATGTTCCAGTAGTAACCGACATATCACATCCTAACTAACATGGAATTAAGCAGTGAAATATACGCGAAAAGGTTTAAGCGAACCGGTTAACAGAAATCAACATAATCTTTACCTTTAATATTGAGACTCGATAGTTCTTCTATATCATTCAAGCAGTTGCTAATTCCTCTTCAACCAATTTATCAACTACAGTATAAAATAATAACTTCAATGAAACAGATTTTATATTTCAAATCTCTTATTTTGGTATATGTAGCAAACCATAAATTGCTAGGCAGCCATATTGCTTGTGGCCGCATTGACAAATTACGTGACCCGTGATCGAGTTCATGTTTTCGAAATAGATTAAACTACGCTAAAACACTTTTCGGTAACAAAAATAAATAAGAAAAATAAGAAAGAATTGATTTTTAACGAAAACACAGCAGTCTGCTTCTTGAGAGATATTTATGGGAAACACTGGTGGAGGTAGCCGACGACAAAAAAGGCAGAATTGAATTTACTAGATACTTTTGAAAAGTCGCCGAAAATAATGCGAGGTTACGGTCAATGGTTAAAAACGAGGCAACTTAAAGGAAATCAGGCCGTAAAATGGTGTCTATGGGGGGCGGGGGGGGGGGAAGGGCATAATGACACAATTTCATATTTTGACCCCCATATGTTCACATGAAAAAGCATCTATAGTTTTGCTAAATATCTTAATATTCTTGATGTATATCACTGCAATGCTCCTTCGTTTCATCTCCTTTTTCAATCATAGTGTGGAATTATCAAGCTGATGCATGATGCGATCCTAGTTCTTTTCTTGCTCAGTGGCGAATCTAGCCTTAAAAATTTGGGGGCTTGGTGGCTCAAAATTAGCTACATGGCACCAATTTTCAGCGCCCCCTAGATGAGTATGTCCTTGGTACAGCTCTTCAAGGCTGTTATCATTGTGCCAAATAGTTTTATTAGTGGCATAACGAGCAGCCGAGTCCACTAGGAAAAATGACAAAGAAAAATTGTTGCTGGAGGCCGTTTGTTATTTAACTAAAGACAACTTTTCTCCGTTACTCCACTGAGTTTTACCTGTTTAACAATAAGGCATAAACATTAGAATAACTACAGAAAAACTATACTTCTAAAAATAAATTGCTAATAGCTTTGTAAAGTTGATTGGTAAAATTTTTTCATTGTAGTTCTGTCTTATATCCAACCTCTATGCGATCAAGCAAATCATTCTGTTACACAGAATTTCAAAGCATAGAATTTAGATAAGCAATAGTAGATTGACAAGGTATAATGACATGATATTGGTATTCCCTTGCGCTGGGTTCTAGCGCGAAAAGGGCTTTCAATGGGATGCAGAGAATCTTGAAAAAAAGCAACTAGAAAACTTGAATGATGAGAGAAGTAAGCTTCCATGTACTGAAACTTTGTACTGAAAATCAAAGCCTGTAATTTATCAATAAAAAATCAGAACAATGACACCTGTTAAGATGATATGCACGCAGAAATATGCATGAAAACGCGTCACACTGCGGGTAAACGCGAGATTTTGTACTAATACTTTTATAGCCCCGTCAATGATAGCGAGCACTACATTTTTCTAGAAAAAGATAAAGCAGTTATGGTAAAGTGGGTTTGAGACATCGCAGGGTGACAGACAGAAATCAGCTAAAAGTTCTGACGCTTCAATTCAATTGTAAAATAAGAGATGCTGTTCTTAAAAATATGTATAAGTTGCTGAAAAAAGGATTAAATCTGTAAACCGAAAATCAGAGAAATCTTATAACTAGAGCCAGAAGCAAAAAATACGATTTTGATGGTTTTCCGTGTTACTTGTTGGAGTGGGATTTTATGTCTTATTTTCCAGCGTCTAAAAATCCAATGTTGAAGTATATTTAGCAGTCACAAATGATTTGTGCAGGGAAGTGGTCGCTAGAAACCATTATAATTTCTACCTCTGTCTAGGGCAGGCATCAAGTGAATCCAACCAATCCAATCAGTTGATTAATCACCGATCATGGTGAACTCCCGATCATGATACACCCCCGAAAACCAATTGATCAAAGATGTAAAAATGCTATGGAGATTGTTCAAAGCGGCCGCTCCTCCTAGAAAAAACGTTCAATCGATCTAAAGACGATAAATCATTTGACTTCTGCATCAAAATTCAAGAAATTACACAAACATATCTGACCTGAGGAACAACAACAGCAGCTCAGGAATTTTGGCTTGCACTGCGCTAGCCATAAAACGCCAGGGTCAAAGAGCAATTGGGGTCAAGACTTTATGCATAATTTGAAGAACGGTTCCCATCTGAGTTTTAAAGAAGAGGGGGGGGGGGGGGGGGAGGGAAGTGCGATAGTAAAGAAGCACCGAGGGTTCATCGGTAGCAAGTCACTTTCCCTTAGGTTCATTTGGTTTCGTTAAGATGAAAGGGTTTCATGGGAGATAAGATCTAGCTGTCAAATTTGAGATGACAGTGATTGCTCTTGTGGCGTGCTTTAGAAGTTGTGATCTACCCGCTCCCACCATGAAATTTGGGTCGTACACCAAAGACCAGCGCATTTGTTATACAAAACCAAAAAGATGCGCGCGCATGTTGATACCGGACAATGACGATCGGAGATCAACGAGACAGAAAAATGATACGAATTTAGTTTACTAGACTTTGGTAAAGATTTATGGGATTTTGAAAAATACTATGAATTATGACGAAAGTTTAGTAAATAATTTTGCATTGATGAAGAGGAATTCAAGAAGGGAAATCGTTCCAAATGAGTGAAATCACAAGCGAATTTCATCGTGGATATGTTTGGAAACGGAGAGACGACTGCCACGTTTTTCATACTACTTATTATCATACAAGCCTATGCAGGTAAGCTGGTCAGCATCTTGATGTTTAGGCCTCATCAAAATTCATGACTTTTGCAGAACAAATTCAGATTCCTGATGTATTTTAGAATAACTTGGACAGTTTCCTCAAAGAATTATTTTGTTTCTCAAAATCTTTATGTACAGACCAAAATCCTCCTCAAATATTACCGTTCCTTTCACCCAGAGGTATCTCGCTCCGGCAGCTCCGTTGATCCTCTTTTTAATCAAATTTTTTATTAACCATCATAAGAACATAAAAGGACCGGGCAAGCCGCGCTTCAATTGTATATAAAACATAGGTTTCTGGGATTTTACTAATGTTTTGTGTCTGGAAAAGCATTAACATCTTCTGAAGGCAATACTTCTAGTCATGTTACGGCAAAAATATTGTCAACGTTTAGAAGCATATACGGAGCAAGATCAAAATCTCATTCCATTTGAATTTAAATCTCGCAAATTTCCATTTGTTAAGTTAGAGAAGGTAAACAAACTTTATTTAAGCTAAAAAAATTTTTAACAAATATTCAGGGTTAAAGATTACACTTTGTTTATGCCAAAAGATGGCGTCTATTAACTCTGCTTTAAGAACAGCAGCATATCTTAAAGTTATGCCAACACCTTCATTACCTTTTGGAAAACATCAGTGAGTAAAACTAGGTACGATGCTGTGAATATAAAGTTTAGACCTGCAAGTCTATTCTTGCAGAGGGAACATTGGTTTTTTGTGAATCGACAGTTTATTCTTTGGTAGCAAAATACCGTGAGATTAAACAATTATTATTTTACAAGCCATTGAAAAAATACTTATGGGATCCTCAGATACATTAATAGCTTCAAAGAATTCTACGATTGAAAAAGTTTATTTTATGCTGTAATTGGAACAAAAATTAATAATTTAATGATTAAACACAGTGCGTCAAAAATGTTGCTCTTCTTGAAAATCCAAAACATCTTAAGACTCTTACAAACCAGCATTTTATACAGATACTCAAATATTACAGTAAATGAAACCAAGATAATAAATCTTCATGAGCCTTCTTAGGCTACGTAAACCAGTAACTTAAAATTCCAAGCAGAAGCAGTTAGGCCCTCCAAGCTTGAACGATTTGCTAATCGATTCGAAAGCTGTATGATTTTTGCGAAATGCCTTAGAATTTTATAAGGCTGTTTAAATTTACTTTTGTTTCTCAGATGGCACCTGGCTTTTAGATAGAACTTCATAAGGAGCAAAAACAGGATAGGCAAATAATAATTGTGCGAGTGTTGAACGATCCACAAATACAGTTGTAATGTTGGAAGTATTGCTAAAGAACTTGCTACTTTATAGATTTTGCTATCTTCAACATTTGAATAAGTGCTTTGCCAATCAGAATCATTTTCGACACTTTTCCAAAAAGGGGAATGGCCCGCCCAGCCGTAGTGACATTACTTTGTTTTAGACAATCTTCTTTTGTCGGCTCTTTAATATGGACAAGGGCTTTCTTTCCCAGTTGAAGTTCCCTTACAAAGGCCAGAAAGTACATCGAGGAGCAACCTCATTTTCACAATAAAATCTCAAAATATTCTCTGGGACTTGTTCAACTCGTAATTAAAGAACACAAAAAAGAGATGCAATTGATTTTAGGTCTTTGATTTTAATTACTATGATTAAAAAAATTAATTTATTAATGTCTTGATTCTCAGTCTTTAAATGATTGCAAGATCGAAAGACGAGTTATAAGGCAGAATTTTTAAGAATCTTGAAACTGGTTGATTTTGACTAACAACAGCAATCACTGATCTTGGATTCGGAAGGTGCATTTTGCTAATAGTTTATGACTATCTAGAAGTGCTATACCTATTTGCTAGATATTATCAATATATTTGATAACAACCTACAAAAAATATATAAAGCATTTCCTTCTTTTTTAATTTAACTTTGTGTTTGATTTTCAGGAAAATGGCCACCAGATTATCGAATTTTATCGACAACCAGTTCGGGCGACGGACAAGTCAAAAGATCAAACGACCATGTTTCCGAGACGACGCGCCGGAAACTTTCTCGGGCTCAGGCGATCTTGCGTCAACTATAGACTCGAATGCCGAAGGCAGCGGAATTACCATGTTAAAAGACTTTATGCTTTCCGAGGTGAAAGCGAAGGGTGTTAAGGGGGATTTAGGCCACAACGAAAGAACTTCACCTAAAGTTTTGAATAGCAACATGCGAAAAAACGACAATTTGAGAGAATCTTCTCATAATGCAAAGCTAAACTCAAAATTAGAAAAAAATAGCAAGAATAACAAAAAGAAAGGCGACAACGGAAAGTCGCTTTCCCATTCTGATAAAAAGTGGTTGCATTCATTCTTCGGCCATGATGTTTTACATTCTGATGGGTCACCGAAAAAAACAGAGAAAAGTGACTCAAACTTAAATGTCGTTGTAAAACTTAATGATATGGATGAAAAAAGAAAAGAAATATTGAAGAGCTTTGACGAATCGCAAAGACAAAGTTCGGGCTCATCAGGAGACTATGAAGGGAAAATGCTTGAAAAATATGAAACTGGATCAAATCTGAAGGAGCCTGTTTCCAAAGAGATTTACGAAAAACATCGCAAATTGTACGAGGAGCTCTCGCAGTTTTTTCCGGGGGACAATCAAGTCCGTGTCGAAAATTTACGGCCAAAAAGAAATTTCAAAGAGGAAGAATATCTCAGATCTGATTTAGAGATTTATCCAGTTGAACAGTTCATGGAAGATGATGGTGATGGCGATGATTTTGACGAAGATCCGGATGATTATGGATATGCACATGAAGATTTCGCCACGGCGTTCGGTACAGACGATTATGGGGATGCCTCGGAACGAACGGGGAGGTACCGTCGCTCGGCTGATTTAAATTCGGAAGGATCTAAATCAAATGGCGAAGATTTTAAGCGAAAACTTAATCCTTACCCTGCAGAAAGATATGACCAGTATACAAAAAAGGAATTGCCTTCAGAAGCCAGTGAAACGCCCTACGATGTGCAGAAAACGCAATTTTCTCAAAAAGAAGCTTCAGGCAGCAATCTTGAACGGATATCAAGTAACGTAGGATACGATCTGAAAGAGAGGCAAGAGACAAATGACTACGAGGACATGAAGACAGCTTACTTAAAAATGTCGTCCGGTTCTGGGACAGACCAGCGGGAAAAGCTACAAGCAACGAAAGAAGGCGATTTGAGGCCCAATGCTAAAACGAGTGCAGGGAAACCAGATCCGGTTTCTTTTTTGGCAAGCAGTAGAAACCGGCCCGGTAATGATCCAGCGATTACAAACATGAGGGGTCCGAAAATTGGCACAGACCCTGGAAAACCTGCATATGCAGTAGGTACCAACATGAATACAGAAAAAGAAACCCAAATGCACAGAAAGGGTAGCAAGCATTATAAAGAGCTGACTAAAGACTCGAGTAGGCTAGCCGAATCAGAAATGGAATCGAGGAACAAAGGAGATTCAGTTGATGAAAAGGAATCTCACGCACAGACAAATACGCACCACAAACACAAATCGCACACAACGAAACAATCTAATGAAAAGAATTCCAAGGGAAATCATAAAAATGCAGCCGAATTTGTTACTCCACTTGGAAAGATTGGAAAAGCAAAGTCGAGAAGGAAAAGAATTAAGCTGGTGATGGAGAAAAGAAAAAGAGAAGCAATCAGGAGTCTTGGGATCGAATTTTGGAGTCCAGGAAAAAAGGTAAGATTTTGATATAGGACTTTATGCGGTTGACAGGATAGATCGGATAGATGTATAGGAAGTTTGGGTCCAATGTAAATCAAACTAAGGTAAGAGAGAAAAATTGGGAAATTTACAAAGATTCCGACAAAGATTGCAACGTAACTGTCCGGGGATGGTATTCCTTTGTCACTTGCACGCCTTGCTTTCACTTCCATTATTTAACTGAACAGATTCTTCCCCATTTTATTGCTAAGTTAAAAAAGGATATTGGTTCCGTTGGACAAATCAGTATCAAAAAATTAGTTTTACTCGATTAAAATCCTACGGTTCATACTTATCTGAATGTCGGATAAATACCGCTTGAAGTCTACGAACTGGACACCGCTCTTTTTCGTGACATCATGAGGCTTTGTAGAGTTTTTTATTATTTATTTTTTATTTTTTCTTTGTTTAAAGTTGGCGTACTAAATGAACGTCTGATAGCTAATAAAGAAGCTAATTAAGGCCAACTATCTATGCCTTACATCGATATCGTATTGTTACATCGATATGACTACAATACGACATGACCTCAATACTATACGACCCTAATGCAATATGATTCTAATTTTATATGACTGCTACTCATTATGACCCTAATATGACATGACTTAAGTTCAATTTGATTCCAAATCAATTTGCTTCATAGCATATTGTCAACAGTGGGAAGGAAATCCTATCAAAGATTGCTTTCTGCAGAAAGCATAAAATAGCTGTCCTCCGTTAAGGCATATTTTGAATCGAGGAATGGAAACAAATTTTTTGAATTTCAGGCTTCTAAGAAATGGCGAACTGGTCGGGCATTGATAGAGGCTGCCACTGGAAAGAGGCTAGAGACAAATGAGGACCAAGATGGTGTATTCAAACGAAGCCGAATAAACTTGAGGCCAAAATCAATGAGTCCAAGGGGAATGGTGTTGGACAGCGTAAGGCTTCCCAAACGGAAGGGAAAGAGAAATATTGAGCTGGATGAGCAAAACCTTATGGATATTCAGCGTTCTCTTGACCAATTTCGGACTGGTAAGAACTCTTAAAAATGGCTTGTGTTTAATTTAAAGGGTATCGACACTTACGGTATATCGACGCTAGGGTGCCTTGGTAACAAGCAAAAGGAGCTCATTGAACTATTCAAGAGGCTATATTTTACCCAACTGATAAACTATGCTTTAACTGTCATGTTAAACAGGAATCAGTACACATTTCATCTAAATACAAGACCCATAATTGAAATTATTGATTGAATTGAAATCCCTACAGTAATCCTTGCAAATCATTGCAATCTGGTATCAACAATCTAGAACAGCTTTGATTTCGATCAGCTACATTTCATTCCGAGGAATTGGAGATGGATTAAATCAGCTGCAATTCATTCCGAGGGAGGGGAGGGGGGTGGGGTTGGTCGCGGGTAAAGTAGAATAGGAGGGTCTTTCCAGTATTTTTGCCATAATAGCAAGCATTTAATCAATATTTGAAAGAAAGACGACGCATTAACTTACCTTATTATTGCAGGTGAACAGAATTTTTACTTGGAAAAACCGACAACGAAAAATCGCCGAAGCTTACCGACAAGAAACGCGGTCAAATTCATAAATGACTACATTGATGACTATTCATCAGGTGAAATTGAGCCGGAAGAGTCAGGTACCGACGATGAGGAGGAGACTGAAAAAGCAAAAGAAACAGCGCAGATCCTTGCAGTATCAACAGTCGGGCTGGCAAAGCACGGACAAAGCAAAGGGCAAAACAGTGCAATGGTTACAAGAGATAGCTTGCCCGAGGAGGGTAACAGCTTACCCGAGGGACCCTTCGAAGGAGCAGAAAGAAACAGTGAAATCGTTGAAAGAAGTGACCAAAGTGACGAGGCTTCTGAAGATTCTGCTCGGTTTCATGGTCCGTTTGACCAAAGTGAAACAGACAACGAAGAATTCATTGACACACGATCAAATGTTCCCAAGCCAAATCTTAGTTTGTACAATGGAACAAATGATTTTGATCTAGGCTCTCAAGATTTCAAGGATTCACTCGGACTCTCAGAAATTGGTGATGTTGAGGCTGCACACATTTCCGGACCATCAGCATATAACATGATCCAGAAAGGATTGAGTCGGGATCAGATTGCAAGTACGAAATCGGATATTGAGGATCCGGAAGAAGAAAGGGCCATAAATGAAACACCGACGGTAGAGGTAAACTCACTCTGGAACGATGCGCAGATAGCTGAAGAAAAACTAGCAAATATTCCGTACCCATCAAAAACCGGTCATCTAGGTACAAATGTTTTTGTTAGTGAAGACGGACTCAGAAGAGGAGACATCGGAAAACAAAAGACAGAAGTGGAGAAAATTGATGACCAAGAAAAGGATTATGATCACAACGAAGAGGTGAAGGAGCACAAGAAACTTATTACAGACATGATGCGAAACGTGAATGGTGGAAAAACAATCGGCGAGAAGCTTTCTGGTCATGCAACAAATAAACCGAGCAAAACTGAATCATCTGCGGATGGAATTCAGGTAATCAGAAGCATGAATACAAGAAGATTAAGCAATACAAAACCAAGTAGAATGGATAAAAACAGCGGGAAGTTGGTAGAAAAGAAAACCAATAAAAAGGGAAGCTCAAAAGAAGTCGCACAGCAGCAAGCAAACACCCTTGATCAAGCTACGTTTAAGAACCTGAAAATGACCTTGAAGAAAGAAAAGTCTCCGGTTAAGAATAAAACTTGGGAAGCGGAAGTGAACTCTTTATTTCCTGTAGATGAAAATAAACGTATTACCCTATTAAAAGAAGGTGAAGTTTCTACAAAAGAATCAGGGGGACAAATGGAACAAGCTAGCAAAAAGCATAATGTACATGATTTAAAGACGATAAACAAACCGACATCAAAGGAGACCACAACTAACAAGTTGGAAGCATCAACAAAGAGACAGTGCGTTGGGATCAGCGTAGCAGACTGCATTGGCCCTGACTCGGTCACTTTTAATTTACCAATGAACGGACAAGCCGAGTACGGGGTGCAAGTAAATCAACCAATGCCTGGATTACCCTTCCCGCAAGGGGGGTATGCTATGCCTCAACAGACGCAGTCTATTTACCCGCCAAACCCGAACCAGTATCCACCTTCTCCGGATGTTCTAAGGCAGCAGCAGTTTGGCAGTTTTCAAGGGATGAACGGTTTCAACAATCAAGACAGACCGCATGACTATCCTGGAGCTTTCCCAGACCATTACCCAAATAACACTCCAAACATGCCTGAGTCCAGTCCGGACCATAGTAAAAAACGACCGGCCGTTCCCACTATGAAACCGAGTGAGAATTCAATATTTAAAGCTGGTGCTTCAAAGAAGAAAAAGAAGAAGCCCAAAACTACACCAAAACCAAAGAAAACGACTAAATGTCCAGACTGCAATAAACCAAAGAAGGCTAAAGCATCAGGCGGAAAGATTCCTATTACGGACAAATTGTGGAAGGTTAAGAAGAGACCAACCACAACTGCAACACCGAAAATAAAGAAAACAACAAAAGTATCAACAACCGGGACTAGGTAAGATTTTAAGAATTATTTGATAAGAACTATAAAAATTTTAAGGATTAACTTCGATTTGCAGACAATGAAAAAAAATCTAGAATGCAACGATAACATTAATGAGCAATATTTTTAAAGAAACTCGTGCAGTTTGTTCAAGTCAAGTTGTTCATATACCAAAAGAATTCATACGTAAACAAACATACATACATAATTATCTGAAACATAATAAATTTCCTCCGGACATACCAAACCAAGATCCCAAAACTAAGTCTTAGATATCTAAATTATTGTTACTTTTTTAAAGGCATCGACATGCATAAATACAGCGAATCCAAAAATAATTCGATCAGAGCATGCGCGTTTGAAAGGAATTTAAAACTATTCACGTGAAACCACTCTAGGGTTTCGCCGATTTGCAGAAAGGCGGAAGCTGTTAACATGTTTTTCTCTGTGTGCAATTTAATTGGTCAACCCATCAGGTACAAGTGGCTTTAAGCCATTTTTACCTGTGTCCAATGCCATTAACGATTTTGATGTTAGCTTTGGAAAGTGAATTGATTGCTTAACTACCCAGTTACAACAATCAGAATCCAATACAAAATAAAACCGGTATAAAGTGAACAGGGCCTTAAATGGTGCATTGAATTTCAGCCTCCGTACCGAATTTAAAAACTATATTTTGTCGTGGGAATTCCCATGGACAGTTATGTATGATAACGTTTGTTATCACAAGAAAATTTCCAGCCATAATTGTCATCATTTTGTTAAGCTGAAATAATGGCTATTAATTAACTTTTATTTATAACACCTATTCTTAAAGGCATACTACATTGGAAACAAAGCCACCACCAATAACGCACAGCTATGGAGGAGCAGCAGCTCTCCCCCGCCCTGCAAAGGTCGGTCACAACCAACACCACGCAGGACCCAAGAAAATCCCAAGCTACCAGTCTTCCAATTGGACGCATGGAAGCACGTATGGAGGTAGACCAAGCGGTGGAAAATTCAAAGGCTATGCGGGAGTACCTTATCAAACACCAGCAACAATACCAACAACAACACCAACAACAATTTCAACAGCCACTGCGACGACTCTTTGGACTACAGCAGCAACAACAGCAACAACAGCAACTACAACACAATCAACAACAACGTCAGCAACAACACCATCAACGACACCATCAACAACAGAAACACCATCAACAACAAAAGCGACAACAGCACCAAAAACAACCAGCTCGGCAACAACGACAACTTCTCCTGAGGTTGGGCTTGAAACAGGCACAGGGGAGCAAGTTTCAACAAGAATGACTACCCAGCCAATGACAGAGGGACCAAACACTGCAAAACAAGGACCATTGGCAACATATTATACAAACACAGTTACCACAACCACAAGGCGCAAGAAAAAGCGAAAACATAAGAAGACACCCCTTTCTCCTGATGGCAGACCAGCATCATTGCAGTCACTAAGAACAACGCCTGCAGCAACTACCGCTACTCCTCCCAAACAAAGCACTTTTACACCATCCGCAACTGGAGCAACAACAACAATTACTCCAGGCACAACAATAAATACTCCAGCTACAACAACAGCAACACCGAGCATTTCAACAACACAAGCTCCAACGACAACCGCAAGTCCAAACCCCTCCACAACTGGCACGAATCCTGTACCATGTATAGCGCCATGTGCAAATGGCGCACAGCAGGGGCCAATCCAGGTAATACAAAATGTTCCATCTTTACCAGCTGGAACGAAAGTTAAAAACAAAAAACCAAATATACAAATGATATTTGTAAATTGCAAGTTTGGATTCCCATGTGAGAAAAAGAAAGGTAAAAAGAACCACAAAAACAAAGGAAAGGGGAAAGGTCACCTGAAAGTTAGGCCAACCGTTCCAACAACAAAGCAGCCAGCAACAACACTTCAGATTGACCACTCACAGCCTACAAATTCCCCATTTACACAGACCCAACAACCTCCAGCAACGACCATGTTGCCAACAGTTTCAACAGAAACGCCAGTAACTCTTCCAAGCATTGGTTCACCATTTACAGCACCTCGACCATCCCATGTCAATAAAGAAGAGAGTTCTAATGGCGGGGCAGGCGTAGCCAAGCCGGCACGACCAATGCCACAGGCTAGGCCGATGCAGCCGCAGTCACCAAGTCCAAGTGGAAAACCAACAACTGGACAGGATCAAACAGGATACGGTGGCTCTCAACCACCAAAAATGCAACAAAATCTTCCGCCTTATTCAACAAAGCCACAAACTGGTTTATCTAACGCACAAGGAGCCACTCCTGGTAGACCAGCTACACCTGGATTAGGAAACGGTACACCTCCAAAACAGCAACCATTCGGACAAATGAATACGACAACGACGATGACAACTTCAGCGTGCAACTCATTCAAGAGCTGCCAAGGCATCAGCTGCGCACAGTGTCCATGCATTCACTGCATTCCTGTTGTCACAGTCATGTGTCAAGCTGTTAGTTGCACAACGTGTCCAGGACTTGGATGTACACCAGCAATACCAGTTGTTCCAGTAGTACCCGTAATACCTATTGGGCAGCAGCCTGCACCAGGAACTGTAGCTGCCAATAGGGTTAAACTGGTACCTGAAGCTGTTCCTGGGCCAGGAGTTTTACCAGAGCCATCTGAACCAATGGAAGAGCAAATGACCACAGAAGCACCACTCAGCGAGCCACAACCACCACAGCCAACATTACCACCTGTTCCAATATCGGAAAACGAGGTAGAGACTCCAAATGAAGAGGAAGATCAAGTGTTCGAGTCCCAGCCACAGCAGCAGGAGAAACCATCCCAAAGCAGCGTACAACAAACAAGGCCAACGCAGCAGCAACAACGACCAACAAATCAACAAGAAAGGCCAAGCACGCAAAGTGCGCAGCCAAAATTAGAAGAAGGAAATGTAGAGAATTCGAACGACGCGCAAGATGCGTCGGAAGATAAACAGGAGCAGCCAAATGCACAGCAAAAGCCATACGAGCACCAGAGACCGTATGGGCATCAGCGGCCCAACAGCCAGCAAGGCTATGAACAGCAGCAGCCTTCCCAGCATAAAAACCAACAGCAGGTTGCTGGGCAACAAAATCAACAACATCAACAGCAAATAAGCGATATCAAAGATGAAGATGACTTTGAAATGTCAAAGGAAGGGCAACCGAATGATGGGACGTACTCAAATCAGTACACTGGCCAGAGTCCTAACAACACAATTCCCAGCAATGGAAGCAATGCGGCTTCTAGTGAGGAAAAAGCAACTGGACAGGCACAATCTGCTCTACCAACAGGTGAGCACAATCAAACTGAGGCTAGTTCCTCGGTGGGACAAAGCAACTCGCAATACACAACAGCTTCGCAAATGCCAACGCAAGACAGGCCGAGAGCAAGCAGTGCAGCTCCCGCCCGCGGGAAACAAAAACATGGTAAACACAGAAAAAAGTATCCTTTCATTAAAAGTAAGAATAATAAACACCAGCCCGGTCCTAAAACTTCGAGTAATGCACCAGCTGTGGGGATAAACAGACCAGGAAAAGTCTATAATGTTAAAGAACAACAGTATGAAAGTGCCATCCCTTCAACCGCCGCACCAGCGACCACAACAGGAAACCTATTGTACACATCACAGTACCAATACTCAAAGTCACCAATAACGACAATAACACCTGAAGCAAAAAGCTATACACCCGCTTGGAGAGGAGGCAGCGTTAAAGGTCCTTTGACAAGGCCAGCCGTAGGCCAATTGATTTATCCATCAAGTCGTGTTGCAGAGCAGGACGAAGCAGATAATGGAGGAAATACCAAATCCCGTGGACCAACAACTGCTCCACCTCAGTCAATGGGTACCAACGAGGAAATGCCGATGTTGAATGAAGTTGAAAGTAAGCCAGATGAAATTTACAATATGACATGGGAGCCCAATAAGTCAAAACTTGGTTTATCTGAGCCCACAGAAATGCCAACTGCACCTACAATGAGACCAACATTTACAAGGATTCCAGACTTTCCAGTTGTTTTGACGACGCCTAAACTACCAAATGGTGGAGGAAATTCTGAGGAAAAAGAGCCAGAGCCAACGGAAGGACCTTATCAAGAAGGTTTCACGAGACCCCGTAATGTACCAACAACAACAACGACAGAGACTACCACAAGAAACGTGAAGGTTCCTGCATTGATGACAAAACCAACCACATTACCAAGGACAACGCAAGGAAGTCAAGTGTCAGCGAAATCAGTCCAGCCATTTACAGATGGAAAATTTTCGTCTGGGCAAAGAGTAACTCACCCTCTTCAAGAAAAATTTTCGCAAGCAATTTCTAGCAAAAGCACAAACAAAAACCCATTGAAAACAACAAGATATGGAGGGAAGGAAAAGCCAACAGCATCAGTAGGATCCAATGGCTATCCAACCAATGCACTATCTGGAGGCGTAGTTACAACTGGACGAGCTGCATCAATAGCAACAAGCACCTTATACAAAACAACAGAACGTCAAGGAAGCTTAGGAACGCAGTCGCAATACGAACAGGCTTATGAACAACTACAGCAAAGACCTAGCCAGTCAGGGAATCGTGTGGGGACAACAAGTAGATTTGAAACCAAGAATCCAACCTACAATACATATCCAACAACGGGTGCAAGGGAGAGAAACGAGACACAGAAAACAGCAGAAAGGCCAACAGTGAACTATGGTGCGACTGCAGCAAAGAACTACTCGGAGGGATCGGAGGAAAACAGGCCTACAAGTGGCTATAGAACAGAGAAAACAGGATCTAACAGGCCAACTGAGGGATACAGTATGGAAAACACAGGAACAATGTCAGTAGAACAATCCTACCCAAGCAGGCCAACCATAAAAGAAAATACAGCTGGAAATCAAGGTCAAAGACCAACATACAGTGCCACTACGCAGGCACAGAGTCAGTATAACGGGACAGAGGGAATGACGCAAGGACCAACATCAAAGCAAGGTAAGCGTGATATTGGAAGATTAACCTGACATGCAAATATATAACAAGCTTAAGATATCAGTGCAAAATTATTCTCCTAATTGCAACCTTGAAGTTATAAAAACAATCCCTCGTACTTCAACAGGCTATAGTTCGCAAAATCAAAACATTACAACAGGATACCGGCCGACGCAGAACCAAAGTCCAACATTCGGTAGTGAGAAGCAAAACTCGTATACGACAGGAGGAAGACCGACTGAAAAAGTAGGCAAACAAACGAAAACACAGCAAGGTAAATTTCCAAACCAAACTTTTGTGACATTGTTTATTTTGTAAGCCTATTACCAAAAATTACTGTTTACAATGCTATTGTTTAGCGCTTGACGCTGTTTAGAGAAAATTACAAAAAATGGTCGTGTAGTTTATAAACACCCTCGTACACCGTTGTACACCGTTAGTGTCCAGAACAAGACGGATCTGAGCTGCACCATGAAGCCTCATGCTACTACCTGGCAACTAGGAGTTGCATATCAAAACCGTCTTGTTCTTCACAACAAAGCGTAACTATAAAATAGATATTTTCTATAAAATCTTGGACTTTTCTGTTTGCATGTTCAATAAATAACCACATCTAAGAAACTGCTTTCTTATCAATAGCCTACGCAGCACAAAATCAAAACATTACAACAGGATACCAGCCGACGCAGAATCAAGGTCCAACATTCGGTAGTCAGAAGCAACAGTCGTATACGACAGGAGGAAGACCGACCGAAAAAGTAGGCAAACAGACGCATGCAACACAAAACGCGGCGTATGAAACACAGAAACCATCTCAAACATTGGCATATAAGCCAGAGGCGACGAAATCACAACAAGGTGAATTTCAAAACTATAATTCGAAATCAGAATCAAAATGTTATTTTTGCCTCTCTGCAACCTCGTCAACAAAATTATACTTCGTATTGTTATGTAGTTTAAACATTATGAAGTTTATCTTAAAATTAATTTTTTTCGTTCATCATTTATGCTATTGCTATGTATTGTAATATACTTTATACATCATATTGTAATTCAGAATTATAATAGCATTAGGGGCCTTATTGGCTTAATACCTATTCATTAAAAGACAAGTTACGTTTGCGCATTGCTTTTTTATCAAAAATGGACATCATTATAGAAACAAAATATCATGACTAGTACTTATAAAACTAGAATAAGCTGGTCTTTGATTAAAGAAAATGCTAAAAGTGTCTGTTTGTAAGAAGATTCAAGAAAAATGACTGATTTTTGAATGAAAGAATTAATATCTTGCGTAAAATCATTTCTGTTCAAAGTTCAATACACAACCAGCATATGACAAACTGCTTTCTTATCAACAGGCTACGCAGCACAAAATCAAAACATTACAACAGGATACCGGCCAACACAGAACCAAAGTCCAACATTCGGTAGTGAGAAGCAAAAGTCGTATACGACAGGAGGAAGACCGACCGAAAAAGTAGACAAGCCGACGTATGCAACACAAAACGCGGAGTATGAAACACAGAAACCATCTCGAACCTCAGCTGCGGAGTCTGAAGGAACCATTCCTGAAGAAGGTAAACTCTACGTTCTTTTTCTTGAATTTGTCTTTACGATTGAAAAGGAATAATTTAGATTTTGCCGATTTAATTTTGATTTCTCGACGTTATTATTCAAAACTGCTGTTAGAATCTTCGTTATTTGTTAGGTGTAGAAGGGCGCACCGTAAAGACAAGTTCGTTTCAAAAAGAGAGTTCGTATGAAATGAAAACAAGGAGCTGTGCTTAATCTGTTTTCTTCATGCTAATTTTACATGATTGCATAGAACATTGGCAATCAATGAATAGATTCATTGCCAGCGAATAGAATCGTTGAAATGTTCGAGAAAATATTTCATCTGCTTGAAAACGTGCCATTCTATCACATTATTGCCAAATTAGCTCAAACTTTGCAAAAATTTTGTAGAAAAAGATGAAGAAAAAAGTCGGCCAACTGGCTTGCCACGATTCAAAACTCTTGCGGCTACCATCCGGCCTAAACTGGACCAGGCCAACTTAGCACCAAATATCAATGATTCAAAAGTTTTGGACGTGAGTGAAAATTCCAGGAATTTTACAACTGCCCAGCCGACAAATCGGCCATATAGAACCCAAGCCCCGACAGCTGCACACGAGCAAAAGGTATTGTCGACTGTGTTCCCGACATCTTCGGAAGGCAGCTCAAACGGATCGATGCAAACGCCATCACCAATCGATGTCAATAAATTGCCAACAAAGAAACCTTCAACAACGAATAAAAACGAAACACCGTTGAAAGATTACCCAACAGTCTTCCCTGGCCTAGCATATCCAACATCAAAGCCTATTTTAAGTAGAAATGGCACTGTCCCAGCAACAACGCCTGCAAGATCAAACAGTCAAAACGAGGTTACTGCACCGCAGCCATCAGAAAAGCTGGAGAAGCAGGAAGATTCTGTCTTGGCTCCTACGAAAACAGCTTTTAGGACGACAAACCTACCTACCTTCATAACTACAAAGAGAATTCTACCAACGACGGCAAGGCCAAGTGTAAAATATGGAACACCGAATGAGACAACAGATAATGGAGAACAGAAGGCAGCTTTGCCTTATCAGTCGGATAACACGCAGGCAGCGGGTCAAACAAATGTCGTTGTGCCGCATCAGGTTTTCAACCCAGAACAGGAAAGGATGCAAGACCAAGAGGCAGAAGAGGAGCGCCAAAGGCTTCTTAGCGTGACAACACCAGCACCTGTAACGTATCATAGAGATAGCGATGAAGATGTGACAGCACCTGAAAATCAAAACAAAGACAATGAATGGCATGGCCTACAATACGGACCATTAGCTTTGCCACCTGCGTTCAAAGAGCCCGAGTCGACAAAAGGTATGTCGTATTAGACTTATTCAATAAAAAGTGTTGAGAACTGGTCAAATCTGAGACAAAAATTTTACTTACGCTGCAAAGAGTCATACTTTTGATACTGTTTGAACGTCTTATGTAACTTTTTATAAAGGGAATGACACAATCTATCTAGTATTGATTTCATTTTGTGTATTATGTCATGCTAGGTTACACTAAATACACTAAAAAAATGAAAAAATTATAAATTAACATAAAAAATGCACACTGTAACGCAGAAGACAAAGTTATTAGTTCAGCTGTAATTTCACGAGGTGACACTCGACAGCTAATTATGCAGATTTCCACTTGATTCTGACATTTAAAATGTACAATATACATCATCTGACTTGTTTCGGTGGACCATGATTTAATGAAGGCTTGGTACTTTACTAAATAGGAAACATACAAACAAGTGACAAGGGACTATCACATGAAGGAGATGGGATTGGTTATAGTAGATACCCAACAGCATCGGAAACCGGGGGGAAATTGGCATACAGTTCCTTGAGTTTTCCAACTGGAAATCAGGTTGAGCGGCAGATGAACCCGTTGTATGTTAATGATACAGAAAGTAGGCCAACGAAAAAACGACCGACAACGACCCAGGAGCCGACAAGGAAAACGAAAACTACAACGACCCAAGAGCCAACAAAGAAAGTGGAAGTTACAACGACTCAAGAACCAACAAGGAGAGTGGAAGGTACAACGACTCATGAACCAACAAGGAGAGTGGAAGTTACAACGACTCAAGAACCAACAAGAAGAGTGGATGTTACAACAACAAGAAAACCAACAAAAAAGGTAAATAAAACTTCATAAAGGCAAATGAAAATCAATATTAACGCAATAACCGTGATCTTTAAGCACAGTACTGGAAATTAACAAAGCCAATTCATTTAAATCAATGCATTTAAATGCACTGACAACGATTTAGAAGTGGATAAATTGAACTAATGATGAAACAGAAGAAATGCGATGAGATGATTCAAATGTTAGAAGGAGGCTAAATTTTCAATAAGGTATATAAGGACCTGTAATATTCTAGAGATTAATGCCCTTACCATTTACTGTTTACCCTTTAAGAAAATACAGAGAAATGGAAAATGTTAGAACTTGCTTAGTGTTCATCCACAATTTGAAAAATTACATTATAATCATAAAAATTTCAACCTTGCATCGAAATTTCAGTACCATCATTTGCCAAAAATGTATCATCTCAAAAATTTCGATTGAAAATGTAACATTAATTTGTCATTACTTCAACAGAGCACAAATGAGTTATATGAGTACAAAACAACAACTGAAAGTACAAGAGAAAAGCCAGTCAGGACTACAGCCAAAACAGCTTCAAGCAACGACAAGGAGAGTGCAGGATTGCAGACAACATCGCAACCTTCACAAAAAGAAAATACCTCGCAGGAAGGAACCGTTAAATCGACTAGCAAATCATATGACACACAAGAAAGTACGACAACTGCGCAGATAGAACAAACAGCAAAAACAACAGCTCGCCCAACAACCACCAGTAGTCGGTTAACGACCGGACAGCGACCATCAGAAGTGCCAACATCCAAGATAAAGGCGACGGGTACAAAGCAAAGCTCAAAGCCGAACTATTCAACCAGAACTGGCACCAAAGGTTCATCTTCAATGGAACAACCACCACCAGAGACCCCAACACATGGAGGCATGGCTCCTCCAGAGAGACCCGTTACGTCTGAGGTTGATGGCATAAAAACTACCGATACCCCAAGAACTGTTGCAAAAGAAACCGAAACATCACCTCCAACGAAACAACCGGAAACAACAATGAGCTCAACTACAGCATCAGAGTCAACGACAAAAAGTGACAAAAATGACCAAAAAACCTCAGAGAAACAAGACACGCTTGTTGACAAAATTTACAACATCTTCAACAAAATAGTAGGCATTGATGCGCGGCCGACCTTGAAAACAAACCCAACAACGGAACCGAAGTTTGAAACAACTACCTCCACAACAGCAGCAATAACAACTAAGATGGAAGAGCTGACAACAACAGAGGCAACAACAACTGCAACAAAAACAACAACATCTCCGCCAACCTATGAAATTACAACAGTAGAAAATACAAAGAGACCAGCTGGAACCGAGGCACCTTCTAAAAAGATTGAAACAACAGAGTCAAATGAGGGATTCGCGCAACAGCTACTGAATAGCGAAACAACGACGTCACAACAAAAGCGACCACAAAGACGTACGTTACAACAACAGAAAGGCCAGTAACAGATAGATATTCTCAAACAACGAAGGAAAATTCAGATAGTTTGCAGTACAAAACAACAACAGAAGGGTCTTGGTCCATAAACAAGATGACAACAGAGGATGCAGATCGAGTTACTCCGGAGCAAATATCAATCGACACAACAACCAAGGATTCGGAATCTAGTCAAAAAACAACGACCGAAAATGTCGACCGGCTTGCGTGGAAGACGACAACTCAGCTACCTTTGCCAGCACAAGAAACGACAACTGAAAACGTCGACCAACTTGTCTGGCGAACAACGACCGAAGAACCCTTACCAACTCAAAGAACAACAACTGAAAAAGTCGACCAACTTGTATGGCGAACAACGACCGAAGAACCCTCACCAACTCAAAGAACAACAACTGAAAAGGTCGACGAGTCTGTTTCAAGAACGACGACCGAACCACCTTTGCCAACTCAAACAACAACAACTGAAAAGGTCGACGAGTCTGTTTCAAGAACGACGACCGAACCACCTTTGCCAACTCAAACAACAACAACTGAAAAGGTCGACGAGTCTGTTTCAAGAACGACGACCGAACCACCTTTGCCAACTCAAACAACAACAACTGAAAAGGTCGACGAGTCTGTTTCAAGAACGACGACCGAACCACCTTTGCCAACTCAAAGGACAACAACTGAAAAGGTCGACGAGTCTGTTTCAAGAACGACGACCGAACCACCTTTGCCAACTCAAAAAACAACAACTGAAAAGGTCGACGAGGCTGTTTCAAGAACGACGACCGAACCACCTTTGCCAACTCAAACAACAACAACTGAAAATCTTGATCAGGTTACATTGAGTACAACGACCGAACAACCGGAGCCAACAAAGAGGACAACTACGCAGGACAGCAATCGACCGCTTTGGCAAACAACTACAGAAAGTCGGGAGCAAGGGCAACAAGCTTCAACGACAGAAAAACCCAAACAAAAGCAAAGTGAAGAAGAAAAGGATGTTGATAGAATAATAGCAAGTGTTATGGATATGCCAACAACATCCTCTCCACCCTTATCTACGACCACAGCACCATACTTTCAGGTTACTAGAGAGAAAACAATGGAAACAACTCCAGCGTACAACTACAAGACACAATCAACATCAACAGATAGATCAGACTACGAACAGCAAGGCGAAAAATCAAAAACAACAGTGGCAACAGAGAGACAGTCGTCTACGACAGAAAGGCCAACAACGAGCCAAAAGAAGACCACAACGGAAGAGATTGAATGGAAAGTACAAGATGTTTTCACCACTAGGAAGCCAGAATACGAAGAAAAGACAAGGGTTAGGCCATCGACAAGAGTAGATCGCATCACATGGGAAAATGAGTACGAGACTACAACAACAGAGAAGCCACAAACAACAGCAGCCAGCGCTAATGAGGGTCAGTTGGTTACTTATGCTACCAACAACGTTAAAGCTACTCAAACGCCACAGGTAGTATTCACTGCATCAAATGGAACAAAGACTGATGCGAGCAGTGAAAATGAAAACACGGAACGGACTACTACAAGAAAAAATATTTACACGACAGAAAATGAATCAGTGTATACCGGCAGTCTTAAAACAAGCAGCAATGCACCGGTAGTGAAAACTGACAAATTGCAGGAAAAGACACAAGCAATCACTTCCAACCCAGAGCAACGCACCACACATGATTATCGACAAACAGGAAGCAAAACAAGATCACTTCCTGGTACCACCAAACCAGGCAAACCTGTATCGCCTACGACCAAACCAATAACATCGAGCAATTTACAACCAGCATCTGGAAGCCCTACGGAAGAGATACAGGACTTCAGCGCTAGGCCATTTGGGTTCAACCTGCAGCCAGTCGAAAAAGTAAATACAACAGCTACAAAGCAAACGCCGACACAAACAGCAACAGAAATGCTAAAAAACCAGTCGTCTGTAACACAACAGCTTTTGAAGACTGAAGAGCCAATGATAACGAAAGCCAATACAGAAAAACCAGGAATCGTTATGACGGATTCATTAACCTACAAGTCAGCAGCAATTCCTGAAAACCCATCTTCCGCTGATAACGGCGAGGGCAATAGAGTGTTAAGTAAGGAGAAGCCTTACGAAGGAGCACAGGCTGTACCTTCAGCATACGAAAAGCAGAGCAAAGATATTAGCAAGCCGACAACGGAATCAACGACAACTACAACAACATCGGGTTTAACCGAAATAGCTTATGGCGGCGAAAATGCAGCAAGACCTACAAATAATGGCGGACAAAAAGAACTTAGTCGGAATGTGACAGGTCCAACGGAGAAAGCAAGTGGCGGGAGCACGCCTAGCTACGAAAATAAAGATCAAGGAGGAAGTGTTTCACCAGGGAACAGCTACATGTCACAGTATTTGTTGGGGATACAAAAATGGTACAATAAATATGTCAAAAGAATTGAAAACGAGAACATGACATTTTACCCAGCGGCATTGGTGAAGCAGGCTGATTATGATGCGCTTCAGGAAGAAATCAAGGTAAATCTCAGTGCTATTCTTTAAAATTCTTTAAATCTTGGCTCTGCAGTAAATTCAAACTGTTGCGAAAAGAATTGGGTAAATAAATGTTGATAATGGCTTATCTTGCTTTTCTCACCAAAATCGAAGTCGATTTGATAGATTATTTTGATAGAGTCGATAGATTATCAGTCCTTAAATTCTCATCTTTTGTTCTAACAAAGTGAAACTTTAAAGAGAAATAGACAGAAATTGTTTTCTAAATAAAACAAAAATTTCCAGGAAAGCTGGCTTAGCTTTCTTTAAACAATCTACAGGACATTGAGGGAACTAGATTCGAATAGTTAAAAAACCCTTTATTTCTTGCAACATTTTGTTGAGAAAATTTCAATAGAGGATAGCTAAAAAATCGAGTTCTAATTTCTACAAGAAGAAAAAGGTTAACGTTTTGACTATTGCAATATCTAGGAAGAGAAACAGGAAGATAAAGATGATGGCTATGACCCATGGCGAGCGGTGAAAGAATATTATGACGTATATCTCTCGGAAATAGAGAACTGGGAACTAAAGTATAGAAAGAAACCGCAGGGTGCACAGGAGGCTGTCAACAAGCCAAACGTAAATCCTGTGAATGCGACTACAGAAACCCCTGTGACCTGGAGAACGGCAGCACCGATTGCAGCAGGAAAAATAAACGATAATCAAGTTGACATTCCTGCAATGTATGGTCGTCCGGCAACACCATTGCCCGTAGAACCAACAACAAAAGAACAGGAACGAGCTACCTCAAAGCCTAAAACAACCGACCTGGATGGCATTTTTGCTCAACTTGCAACCTGGAAGAGGCCTACGTCAAGTCCCCAAGCACAAATGCCACCAAATATACCTTCGAAAGGAGATGACGGACAGGTTGTCTACACGCCTATCCTGCCAGATGCACCAACTAAAAGACCCGATAAAGGTAATTCTTTATTTTTCTAGAAACAAAGAAATCCTGAAATGTTGTTTTTTTAAAGGTAAAGGAAAATCTTGAAGTAAATGTCACAAACCTTTACTGTATATGCAGTGTTCACAGGAAGAATTGTGCTTAACTTTGCAATGAAAGTAATCACCGCCGCTTACCTCTGAAGGAAACAGAGATAAAATAGCAAAAATGGATGTAAAACGTAACTTTTCGCATTACTATTGTATATAGAATCAATTGAATCTAATATACGATCCAAAAGAGCTTGGCAGGTAAGAAAGGAAGTGAACTTGAATAAAGATATTAAAGCATGTGAACCAGAGTCTAAAACTCTAAGTAATGTTTCAGGTAAAGACAAAACAGAACCATCAGACGTTGACGCCATTTTTGCCAAAATTGCAACAATGCTTATGCCAACAACTAAACCAACTACAAAGCAAGCAACGAGCGAACAAAGCGCTGGCAGGCCTACGACTTCTTCAGAATCTTCAAGAACGTCCGGGGAGCAGAAACAGGGTGGCCGAGAGTCGCAGGGTGAGACAGTGCAAACAACAACAGAGAAACCAATGACCAATCAAGGAAACACAGGGAAAGTGACATACTACCCTGAGGCGGAATCGAACCAGACAACTAAGGCACCTGAGGCTGTGACACAAGTGGTAACAACAACAACACAAAACTCTGGTCAAGAGACAACTACTTCAAATGGTCAGAGCAAAGAAGAGACGACAAGTATGCGGTTTACAACGCCAACCCAGGCAATCACCATGCATACCGAAACAACACGACCACAAACAACAACAACGAGGAGACCGCCAGTCACGAAGCCAACGGAATACGAAATTGTCCCTGAGGTATTTGAGAAAATTAGATTTTTTATCAATCTTTAACTAATTTAAACCTGGAAAGTTCTCGAGAAAGAGAACTATGTTTAAACATATCCTCGTCTTGCAAATAAACAGCTTTCAGGAATTTAGTCTCATCAACATCAAAATGACAAGAAATAATCATGCATAAAATAGAAATGATATCGACGAAGTAACTGTGTTTTTATCTCGAACATGTCTTCATCGTAAATGAGTAAAGCCTGATTAAAGACTGAACCTGACTCATTTCTTTTCCGCCAATCAGGAATCGAGCAACGATTATTCTGCCAAGCAACCACCAAATAACAAAACAGCAACTTCACCACCTGAGCAGCCAGTCACCGAGAAGGTTGACACAGTTCCAACTAATCTAGAAAATCAGACCTTCACGACAACTGCAACGCCAGCTTTGACACAGAAACAAAATACAGGGCTTAATATGGAAGAAAACGGTACTCAATTGGAACAGCAGAAGCTTCCCGCAAATCCTGTGACGTCATACCCTTCACAAGCTGCAACAAACCCTGCTGCCGCTGCTACTATTAAGAATACCAGGGAACCAGTCAATGCCGAGGGCTATGGTCAGTCAAACACGACAGAGTCAGCAATGCAGACAACAATGACAACAAAACCAGCTCCTGAGGAAACAACCACCATTGCACCACCAGTTGCAACAACAACAAGACCAGAAACAACAACAGCAACAATAACAACAGAAACAACAACAAATAAAACACCAAACAAGTCGACAACCTCAAGTGATGCAAATGTTGTCCCGACAGATGAAATTGCCTCAACAGGGAAACAAAATGAGGAAGATGATCAAGCTATCAAAAATCCGTCATCCCCTAACTGGACCACAACAACAACAAACACTTCCGCACAGAGTAGTGGCGAAACGACTGCAATGAGATATCCGACAACGACACCCTTGACCACGCTATCAACAACAACTGCGTCATCTACAACATTGTCAACTAATGTAGAGACAACCTCAAAATACCCAGAAGCTACCAAAGCACCAAAACCAACAGCGCAGACCAATACTGGCTCAGGAGTGAAGGTGTTTACAAGTGAGAACAGCGCCAATTCGATCGAGACAACAACAGCACAAGTGTACGCAGAATCCATGACAACAACTGCAACACCCTATTCGTCAAGTACGAAACAAGTGGGCAATGGCCAATACACAACAACGCAAAAGGGAGAACAGAATAATCAGGACAGTGGGAAACAGAATACTGGCCCGAAAAGCCAAAGCCAGGATTCTCCACAAAGCCCAACGAATCCTCCTGGCGTTTCCGTGCAGGAGCCAAATGCAACGACAGTGTACCCGTTGAATGGACAAAGCCAGACCACTACTGAAGAGAAAAACAAACAGGTATATGATTCGCAGCAAAACATTACAATGAACAGCATAACAACTCCGCGGCCATACGAAGAAACGACTACGGCTAATCAGCCAGTATATGACCAGACAAGTAATACACAGCTACAGAAAAATCCGGTGATGACGCAAAACAACCAAGAAACGCCGTATGAGAAATATGTCAAACAATTCTATGCATATTACCAATCCCAATCGATGTCTTCAGCTTCATATCAATACAAAAGTAAGGCTGAACAACAAGGACAGGCCCAACCAGTGCCACAACAAAAACAAGAGAATCAAACAACAGTTTCATCTGGATTTCAAACAACAACAACAACAACAACTGCTTCACTTGTCAATCAAAATCAGGCATCATACCCTCAACCATCTTACCAACCACAAGATAACAGTTCGCAATATCTCGAAGGAAAAGAAATTGATGAAATCATTTACAAACCATACGAAGCACCAGCCACAGAACAATCCCAACAGCAGCAAACACAAGAAAACCAAACAACAGCATCACCTGGGCTTCAAACAATGACAACGACTGTTGCACCTGTCAATCAAAATCAGGCATCATACCCTCAACCATCTTACCAACCACAAGATAACAGTTCGCAATATCTCGAAGGAAAAGAAATTGATGAAATCATTTACAAACCATACGAAGCACCAGCCACAGAAAAAACTCAACAGCAGCAAACACAAGAAAACCAAACAACAGCATCACCTGGGCTTCAAACAATGACAACAACTGTTGCACCTGTCAATCAAAATCAGGCAGTTTATTCCGCACCATCTTATCAACCACAAGACAACAGCTCGCAATATCTCGAAGGAAAAGAAATTGATGAAACCGTTTATAAACCATACGAAGCACCAACCACAGAACAATCTCAACAGCAGCAAACACAAGAAAACCAAACAACAGCATCACCTGGGCTTCAAACAATGACAACAACTGTTGCACCTGTCAATCAAAATCAGGCAGTTTATTCCGCACCATCTTATCAACCACAAGACAACAGCTCGCAATATCTCGAAGGAAAAGAAATTGATGAAACCGTTTATAAACCATACGAAGCACCAGCCACAGAACAACCCCAACAGCAGCAAACACAAGAAAACCAAACAACAGCATCACCTGGGCTTCAAACAATGACAACGACTGTTGCACCTGTCAATCAAAATCAGGCAGTTTATTCCGCACCATCTTATCAACCACAAGACAACAGCTCGCAATATCTCGAAGGAAAAGAAATTGATGAAACCGTTTATAAACCATACGAAGCACCAACCACAGAACAATCTCAACAGCAGCAAACACAAGAAAACCAAACAACAGCATCACCTGGGCTTCAAACAATGACAACGACTGTTGCACCTGTCAATCAAAATCAGGCAGTTTATTCCGCACCATCTTATCAACCACAAGACAACAGCTCGCAATATCTCGAAGGAAAAGAGATGGATGAAGGTTTGTTTGCAGACTACCATTCTGAGCAAGAGGCAAAGGAAGGTCAAACAAATAACGTTGCCCAAGAGGGAAGTAAAGATACTGTCACAGAGGAATCTAGCATTGGACAGCTGAGTGGAGCTGGTGAGGGAAATGCTCCGACAGGCGGCGCAGTACCTTCCCAGGCAGTGCTAACGGGTACAGCAGATAGAGTGAATAAACAAAATAGCATGTTGCCTGGAAACAACCAATCAGGAAGCGAACAGCCAACACCGCCACCATATTATCCATCTGATACAACAACAATGGCCGGAAACAAACTTCAAACCACAGCAGCAATGCCTACAAGGCAGCCTGAATTAGCAATACTGACTGCGACAACAACTACAAAGCCAAATTATCAAAGTTACAATTACATGGAAGAAAAGGACGAGAAGGAGGTTTTATACCAAACAACCACAACAGCTCCGCCGACGCATAATGGAGAAGTTACAGGTTAGTTATAAATTCACATATTCAACAAATTTGTTAGAAATTTTTTCAGTTTATTTCTTAGAGAATGCGGGAAAAAAACCGACCCGAGCTAGGCAGAGCACTGGACGTACAAAGTCAGGTGTAATGAATTCGGGCCTCACTCGGGTTGGTTATTTTTCCGCATTCTCTACAAACTTTCTTCAGAAATCCTGTTGCCTATGACAGTTTATTTCTAGTTTTCAATTCATATGCACTATTTACTTTGATTGCGTGGGATAAACGCTTTCTCACGATTGCTGCACCAGCACAGTTGCAAACGCAGCTTCAATATGACTCTTTTTCTTCAGGGCAACCAACACAGCAGCCACCATACGAACCAAGCTACAATCCCAAAAATAGAGAACAAAATGACGTCACTGAAGAAGCTGCTTATCAAAACGAGGCAAAGACTGGGTCTGCTACAGCAACAACAACAAAACCGATGACGTCCAAAACAACAGCAAAACCTGGTGTTTCGGTGCAAGAGCCGCTCACTGGAAATAAGGATAGCAACAACAACAACTTGTCAATTAATAAGGTGAATACCGCATTTTAACCATGTCTACCATTTCTTTGAGACCAGAAGAACACTAAATTTAGCCTAAGGAGTGAATTGAAATATGGAACTTAAAAAGCCAAAACAAAAAATGGCTCTACTTGCAAAATACTTGTAGATATTACCAGTTGAACTAAGTTTAGCAAAATTGGTAATTATATATGATAAACCAAAATTTAATGTCATAGGAATATTTCACATAAAATCTTATAATGTTCAGTTTATGGTAATAAAAACTTTAGTATAGGAGACCACCTTTTGCAATACAATATGTTACAACTCACATTACTGAATTAATACAATAAATGCGATGCTATACAATGTACACTAATTTAGCATGCGTCACGCCATTATTGGTTAAAGAATTCACAAGATATATTGAGCAAGATACCTGAAGTAAAATAGAAAGAAGAATTTGAGGTCATTTTAAATGTAAAAATAATCGATGATGGTTTTTTCTAAATTTAAGGTATACAACCCAAACGAGTACGGAACACAAACAACAAATAAAATGCCACAACAGCCAACGACAATGGACAATGGCAACCAGCCAACAAGCTACAACGCTAATTCCCAGTCTTTATCTACCGACTCAGAGTTGATTTTGGCATCAGAAAGCGAGTCTTCGGAAATGCGCCGTCCTACGACAAGCATTGCTGGCAAGACCACAACAACAAGCAGCTTGAATCCGGCAGAAACTGTAACCGGAAACAGCAACATTGAAACCGGAAGCAATGCCCAGCAAGCCGGTTCAAATGCTACACAGTCAGGTAGCATCTATACTCAAAAGCAATCTGATTCGAAAGAGGCGAAGGAATCATCTGAAACTATAGCAGGCAGCAACAAAGGTGCATCGAGCATGGAGCAAGACAAAGAATCGGAAACAAGCCAACAGTCGTATTGGGGCAACATATATAATAACGGGTATCCATATAACGATCAGAAGAGCTACGAAGATTATTTGAAGAATTATTATGCATCAATGAACAGCAATAACAAGCCTATTGAGAATACGCAGCCACAAGGTTAGTTTAGATTTAGGATTAATACCTTAAATTTGCTTTGTCAACTTATGTGTACGGTAACACAACTAAGGTTCTAAGAATGCTGAATGCTGTAAACCGTGGCAGAAAACCACAAGCGTAATGGTGAAGAACAGGCTATCGCGAATAGTGATAAAGTTCTAAGTAGGCTGAAGGGCCATTTGCAACATATTTCTATTACCGTTATTACAATAGGTTTTAAACAGTTTTTTATAAGATACTTCTAAGTTTCCTTTTGTTTAACGCTTATTTCAAAACAACCTTAATTATTAGCTTATTACCTTGAAAATTGCCATACAAATACAAAAGCAATTATCAAGAAACTATATCAGGAATTATTCTAAAGTGCTTTGCTCCAAAACAGGTATACACACGTGACCACAACGCTTCAGAGATAGAAAAATGACGATGACACAAAATGCTCTTCTATTCATCAATTTTGGACATGGTTAAGTTATAAGCAAAACATTAGCGACAGCTACAGTATAAACTACAAAGTCTGCGTAGAGTAGCAGATTTACATAGATGTAGCGACGAAAAGACAAATTACCCAATGCTGGTAAGAGTGAGGAGTTAATGACCGTATGTGTAGCGTTCGTCGAATGCAAAAAATGTTGGAATGACCAACGAGACATAGGACATCCTGCAAGGGACGATGACGTAGCAACTGATAGTGACATTCTTAAGAAATATACAACTGACGTTTGAACGACAAACATCAACAATTCAGCGAGGTAACAACATAAACTTGTACCATATTCATCGTTAGGCTGATGTAAACAAATACTCAAAACTGCATGATAAGCGGAACAAAATCACAGCCTCTTAAAACACAGCCATGACTGGTATACTTTTAGATGGGCCACTTTTATGTAATTTGTAGCTAGAAAGGATTATAATGTAAACGAAGTTTGACATCAATCTCAAGAGAGCATCGAAACAGCCTATTTGTTTATGCTGCGTTTATAGACGTCATTTCACGCAGTAGAGACAAAAATTAGCGTCGTTAAATAGAGCTGGTGCGTGCCAACGAGACTGGAAAATATGCATGCCAACAAAACAATGTGCATGCATGACATTACTTTACGGAAATAAGATTGGAGAGCAGCTGACTGATACTCTCCGTGTTTGCATCATTTGAGATTTCATGTCTGATAGACAAGTCCATGTGACGGTTATAGTTTTAATTCGGATGTTAACTTTAGTTCGGGAGCCAACGTAATTCATTATCAACGAATTTGAATAGAACTAGCCTGATTGTTTCGTTGTCTGAGGTTTGTTCAAAAACGAGGCTGTTCGAACTTGTTCGTTTGTTTTCTCCCCAGTTAAGTTGCCAATAATACTTTTCAAATTCAATGAAGAAGAATACGTCACTTGGACTTCTCACTAAAACAAGGATAGCAAATTATACTACAATTACTAGTTATAAAATGCTGGTTCATGGTTTCTGGCGCTTGCCAAATCCTTAGTTTCATTATACGGTTGTGTTTCAACCAAATTGTCTAATGGCAGTTGCATTGCTAATTTCAAATGGTAAACAATTTGAAAAACTATTTTATAAAATTATAAAAATAAGAGTAAATTTTTTAAAAATGAAAAAACAAAAGATAGAATATGTTGTTGACAGTGAAATGAAAGCACATATAATGTAAATCTAATCTTTGTCATTGCTCTAACTCTAGCATCACAGGAGGAAATTGACAGCCAGCTAGTTCAAGAGATGGACATCAGTACAAAAGAGCCAAGTTCACAATACAGCCCTACAAAACAGCGGGAAACAAATCCTGAAACAAGGACCACCAAGAACCAACCAACGTCTACTGCCACATCCAACCGCAATGCAAGTGAAACTGCTACGGCTCAAAATCTGCCATTGTTTACTGGACGAATTCCAGGCGGCTACAATCCGTCAGTTTCTGAGTACGGCCAAAGCAATGGATTGGGAACGTCACTGAAAGAGCAATCTGAAATATACCCGTACAGAAATGAGCCCACTGCTTCAAATGTACAGTACAGCACAGGAAGTGACGTCACCGATGGAAGTACTACAACAACGCCCAGAGAAGAGCTGGAATCTGTGACTGGAAATGCGAATAAACCAACAACATCTAGCCGATCTGCAGGTCAAACAACACAAGAGGTGACAACCAATAGGACGACAACTTCTACTTCTGAAGCATCAAAAGTGACTGAAGCATTTGCAAGTGAAGCTGCTCAGGCAATAGGCAAATCACCAACCATGCAAATCTACACACCAACAAAAATGGAAAGCAACGAAAACAAATCACAAACAAATAACAAGATTGATTCATATTTGAACTCAGACAGTAGCCTTGGTATCGCTGTAGGACAGGATAATCAAAATAACATGTATTCCTCTGCGCCGGCAGCTGCTCCCATGAGACGAGGCGAAGCCTTAAAGCCATTAAATGAATCTGCAAAGGAGGCGTCTAATGTTATCCGAGTTATCATGTTACCTACAACAAGTGCAAATGCAAAAACTGATGCATTCAAGGACAGTGATTTAGGCACGTTTGCCAAAACGGGAAGTTTGTACGAAGAAAAGACAACTGAGAAAACCACAGCCGGTATGACTATCACAGAACCTGCTCCAGGAAGATCCAGTGCGGAAGCGAATCCATCAGAGTCATATTCCTATACCAACAACCAGGCCATTGGAAGAGAAGAAGTTTTACCAGAAACGGCAGAAAACCAGGATGCATTTGAGCCAAAGCAAGAGAACACTGCTGGCGAAGACACAGTCAAGGAGAGCAGCTACCAAGCAAGCCCTGATACACAATACGGTAGTTTGTTTGCTAGAGAACAGGGAAATAATGTTTCTGTAGAAATGAACGAAACGGTTTTACCAACCATGCCAACTGCAACTACTAAGGCCAGTGCTGTTACGATTGCACCAACGGAAAGGACGACAGTTGTCGCAACGTCGAAAGTAGTCTCAGAGTCAACAACAATAAACAGTAAGAATATATCCGAAGTTGATGTAGTAAACCCAATAACAGGTAGCGTTATTTTGACGGAGAGAGTGAGTTACGCTGATATCAACAAAGACCCTGACGTCTGGGATATTGATGATAATACCCAAGAAAATACAACAACTGCTGGAACAGAAAGCCCGTCAAGTAACGGTTCAAATAGAGCTGAAACAATGAAAGGAACAACGCAAGCTGACCCAACGATTGGTCAGTATTTACCAAGCGTAGCAATGACGTCAACAAGCTCTGTTAAAAGGAACGACGTAGGAGCTTCAACGACAAAGGATCGAAATGCCACCACAAGAAGCCAGTACAATACAGAAACACCGGTACCAAGTGAAAGGTCAACAAGTCGCAGTTCAACGGAAAATGCACAATATGTAGCATCAGACGAAAATGAGCAGCAAACAGATGGACAGGAATTCGAATTTGCAGGTGGGAATAACTCTCCTTTTGCACCAGAAACCGAAACCTTAAACCAGGGGCCCGATGAAGTAAGGTACAGTTACTGGCCAGATGAGGAGACGGCTGATGCAAACGTAGAAGAGCAAAATGACAACTTAGGTGAATCTGAGGTAGAACAAGTCAAGCCGTCGTTGGAAGTCAGCAATTTGAAAACACCTGCACAATATGAATCAGAACAGGAGCAGACCCGCGTAGTTAGAACATTACCATCAACTGTTGTACCACCACTAACGTCACAACTGAAGGAGAACCAGGCCAGTGACGTAACACAGCCAAAAACAGGTACACTTCCAACAACCAAAGCAACAAAACAGGATTTAAACACGGAACCATTGCCAGGTGATATGATGACATTGAACAATAAGCTGGGAATAGAACAAGTTGAGTCCGGGGATTATCTTGACAGCCCCCAGGAAACCGCTCAGCAACATCAGTTCACCCCAAGGATTCCACAAGTGGTAACGTCAAACAATGGCTCGACATCCGAAAACAAGTTGCATAAACTATTTAATGAACTGGTTGATTTAGAAGTGAATAATAATCAAAGTACGGCCACAGAAGGAAACACGACTAGCAATGCCGATTCAGAGGCCAATCAGCCTCCACGAAATGATGAAGCGATCAAGCAAGACAGTGATTTGAATGACAAGCAGAAAGAAGCAGATCAACAAGAAACTAGCAAAGAAGGCACAGACAACAACAGCAAATCACTTGATCAATCTTCTGAATCAAAAAATCAGGAAACTGAATCATCGCTTCAAATAGCCAAATCGATTGACCAAGAGAGTCTATTGAATAGCAGCAGGGCTGATGTCACTGAGCAACAGAATAACCTTACCTCAGAGCAAGATAAAACAATATCAGGAACACAAAGAGATGAAATAGAAAGGGGTGATTCTCGCGAAAAAAATACTGATGATGACGAGTTTCAAGTATTCCGCACAGACGAAGATAACGAGGATCCGGGACTAGTGCGTCTACTGCTGCACCCTGAAAATTTACCACCGCAAACAGTTGCAGAGGACATTGCAGATGTGGACTCGGATTATGTGTTGGCAAAGAACGTCGTAATACATGATGACATTGATCGATAAAGACACGATGACATGAATCGTCGTGAAGCTTGAATCACCTCGTTTCCATTAATGAATGGGAGCGAGGTAAAAAACGCAGATGTCAGGTGAAGGGCGCAAGAAAAAGAAGGAAAATTCAGATAGCAATGAATTAGACCAGTAAAAGAATGCAAATTTTAGGCAAAAATAAACGTTGTCGACCAATCAGGAACATATTCGAATTGATAAACCGCTCTGTATAAGGTTGAAGATCTCTGCTAGATTATTTGAGGTTCTAAATGTTTTGCCGGATACTTTTCCAGAACTTCTAGACAAGAGACCATTTATTATGGAGTGCTTCAATTTCAGGCCTTTTTGTCAAAACTGGTTTCCTGAAATAGCCCCAAAAATTAATCTGCAAAAGTTTGACTTAAAGCTCAGTTGACTAGGTTGATAAAGTTATTTGACAACAAAGTCGTTACCTATACGCTTTTACCGGTTTATGCAAGGTTGTAATCAATAAATTTGTTATTGCGAAAATCTCAGTGTATGTTAAAGTATGTTGTTCAGTTCTAAAAGATAAAATAATCCACTAAACCTTTGCTTATAGATCCCCTTTAGAATGTAAAGATAGAACTAACTGATAATTCGAGGGTAAGAAACATTAAATAGCTTTAAAATAAAGGTCTGTAATATACATAAACTATATTAGTTGTGAGAATAATTTCATTCATTTTTATACGCAAATGTTATATCAATGAAATAATTCATTATGTATTAAAAGATATCTATTTTTTATTTCTTCTGCAAGTTTTTTAAAACACTCATTTAGAAAGCAAATATTGGAGGTGTATCTACGATTTTCTTAATCAGGGTGTCACCAAAAATCGAATGCAGGCAATTTATTGGATTTCGTTTTCCTAAAAACAATTTTGAGCAAACATTTTAATCATTTTTGACTGTCCTAATCAAACCATAAGCGTGCATTGCCGGTAACCGCCCACCACAGGCGTTAACGAACGAATTTACACGCTAACTAAACTGGCAAAGTTTAAATCATGCAGCTGCAAGAAAAACTGCATAGAAGTCGTGGAAAATAATATTAATTTCAGAAGATCTTGCCTGGCTCAGAAAAGGAAAGTAGAAAACTAGTGCGAGAGAAAGGTTAACAACGAAATGTGATGAACTTGAGAGCAAGGAGTATTGCGAGGGAAATTGAACTTTCGATCAAAAAACCCAAAATATCGCACAAAAGAAACTGCTTGCTGCTTATAAATACTCCCCTAGGAAGATATAACTGAAACATCGTAAAATGATTCCATTCAAAAGTTTATCAAAACTGGTTGTATTTCAAACAGGTATATGCCAGGATAATATGAACAATAAGCATTTGCCTGTTGAGATGAAAAGAACTGTTGGTTTCCATACTCAGACACCATATCATCTCTTCAAAGAAAACTGGTAATTGTTCATCAAAGAAAGTGATAAAAACCGGAGCACAGTTTTATTTCTAATTAACCTAAAGCTGTGACAGAATTGCATATATTGGTAATTCAGGCATCAAAATTCCTTGTGCTAATAGAGGGCATTTATCGTTACCCAATCAAATACGAAGGCTCTCTGCTTAATAATCAGAACAACCTTTAGCATCTGGCTCAGAGCAAAGCTAACAGCGGGTGGTATTACAGCAACAACAGCGTCATTTACATTGTTGCTAATGAATTGAACAAGGGCAAGTTACAGTCAACGAGGCAAAGAGTTAAATCATCAATTGAGTGCGAAAGGGCATGGGTTAAATACCTTTGCTAAATCAATGATGATATGGTTTTTATTCACAATATCAGATTATGCTCATGGTTACAATTGATATAATTTCTTATTCAAAACATACCCTGCCTGAATTTTTTATATCATTATGCATTATTTGAAACCTATGGTCTAAATTGTATAAAATTTTGAAAAAATACTGACTTAAAAGATCTGTGATATTCCAAACAACAAAAACACAAATTCTAACTGATGGGATTCACAAAAATACTGGTCGAGCAATTGCCATGCTTCATAACAACGTTCAAAAACAGATTTTCTTTACAATCATACTGAAATAGGGAGTCCAAAGAATGAAAAGCTATTATAAAGAAAAATGTAAACAAAGTTTTTCTTTAATCTTGCACTTTTTTAAAGCTGTGCAAAAACGACATTAATTTTCGAGTCATGCTTTTTGATTAGCATTCCTTAGCAGATATCACTAGGAAAGAATCGAACTTCCATTTAAAGTTTTCACTTGGTCAGTTGTCAATCAAATAACATTGACACTATTGTTAATATGCCGAGAAATCGAGCACCGATTGGCATCGATATATCAAGTAGCAGAAGCACAATTTGGCATAAATCTTTGATACATCAAAAAATAAAGGTCATTCATTCGGAATAATTTTCTGACAGTTAGTAATCAAAATCAAAAGGCATTAGCCAATGCCAGAAAGTTTGTGCTTAAACTAGAAACAAATTTCTCCTTGAAGGAGTGGAGAACAGCCGATCTTTCACGCTTACTGTGCCTAGTATATATAAACAATTGTGACCCAGTGATCTTGTCAATCAACTCCATGGAAACATCAATCACGACACCAGTAGCCGTTGAATCCGGGCAATGTTGCGCGGACAGACCGTGCATTATATCATAGATTTGGTAATGCAAACTGCAAGTATAGAGATTTCAAGAAGGACATCTTTAATTCGCCGAAGGAGCAATCATTTCTAACTTTGAGAATGCAACTGGCAAAAGTGGAGCACTAGTGTCTATTTTGTGGCCTAACTTGAAAAAATATATCAGTTTCACGAAGCAATTTCAAAGGTGAGTACCTTAATGCATGGTTAAGCGTTCTATTTTGCTTGTAAGCGAACCAGTGAGCAGCTCACGCCAATTACCTAGAGACTGATCAGTTTGGAAACTTGCAGAGAGACAGCCTTAAAACCGATATGTTTGGTAATAATAAAACGAATGGAAAGTTTTGATACAGGGGAGATGGAATAGAGTGGACAGTTTCCAACTCGAGGTTTGAATTGAATTATTTGCAGATGTAAATGGATAAGAAAGGCATTATAAAGGTGTTATTGTAGTAGAGCTTTTTGCTTCGAAAGGAAGAGAATTATGCCAAAGAGCATTCGATACCTTAGGATATCTTTACAGCGAAACGCTATTCTTGCCGAATTGTGACATGTTACCGAGGCAAGACGGTAAAAGCAAAGCAAGCTTGAAAGATATTGCAGTTTGAAATATTATACCACTCTAGATTGAATATAACAAGCTGATAAAGGGGATTACGTTGCGATAGCTAATCTGCTTCGAAAGGCATCGTGTCCTTTGTCAAATGGCAATATCAAAATGATTCGTAAACATAGCTTGAGTGATGTAGAAATAATTTTTTTGCAAGCTAAAAAGCGTTTTTTAGCTTGCATTCTGAGGCTCAAACAGTTCTTTGTGTCAAATATGGCTTCCGCTATTTAATAAAACCATTTTTATTGCAGAATCCAAGATGAATTTCAAAATTGCATTTTGCATCTTAGTGTATGTTATAATATCGCTGGTCCAGTCAAAATCGTTATCAGCCAAACAGAAAAATAAACATGGTATGTCAGCATATAATTTATCACTTTATGACTTTTTTATTGGTATTCTGTAAGCATGACAGGCAACACTTTGATCATCTATATAAAGGTAGTATTCGATTCAAAGAGGTCGAGCAAAATAATCTCAAATTTAACTGAATATTCTGTGTAACGAGAGCAAGGAAGTGAAATTTGATTTTGATAATGTACCAATAACAACGAAAGAGTGTAGAGCAAATTGATTAAAAGATTCTTTCAAATTTAATGTAATCATCGAAAAATAATCAACTATATGGCATGTAGGCTGTGTAACAAAACGAGTTGCAATACTTTTCTACCCGTTGTCAAGACTATACAAACACGGCAAAAAGAACAGATTTGCGCGTTCTAAGGCAAAATGCTGCTATTCAAACAAAAACCAAACGCTGGTTTCTCTTGCGACGGAAAATAGATTTAGTGTGCGCAACGAAGGAGCAGGCTAACTATTGGTGTTGTTTAGCATTTTGTCAGCTGACAACGCATAATATTTGTCACCGCTGACCAGCTTTTGTCTTTATGCGCGCACACGCTAATGAACTACTACTTCTATTAATCTTTCTGTTCGTGACATGTAAATAATTAAATATATTATTTTCCCAGCTTCTAAAGAAATAAAAGAGCCCAAGAAACGGGTATCAACACAACAGAAGATAGGATCAGGCCATGCTAAAGGACCAATGGCAAATAATGTGCAAAGCTCGGTGCCGTTGCCAGTAGTGATGCCGTTTCCCATGATTCCATTCGACGACAGATATCCAATAATATTTAAACCGAACGGAAAGCCTAAAAAGGGTCGGGAAAAGAAAAAGGACCCGAAAGGGGAGACAGAAGATGAGACTGATAAGGATGTTGATGACGATAATGATGAAGGGGATAAGCAATACAAGGGACTGGGGAAGATAAATAAGGGGCCTTATCTAAAGGATGGGTCGGGGGAAATGAAGAACTCTGCAAAAGAACCCGCAGAAGAACCTGCAGAAGAACCGGGAGAAGATGAGGACAGCGTAGAAACTGCAAAGGATGATAATCCATCGAGTGATCAGGATAGTGATAAAGACGTTGATAATGAGGAAGAAAGTAAATTGACTGAAAAAAAGAAGAGGAAAACTTCACATTTAAAAGAAAATTCGAGTAAAAAAGAAATCTCGCGTGAACGAAGGGCGATATACAAACCTATTATCGGTAACCCGGAAGATATCATGCCTTACATCATGTGGGGCAGCGAGGAAGAAGAGTTTATGGATGCTGGTGATGCACATAAAATGGTAACAAGGAATGTGGAGGAGGAGCAGCTGGATAATACTTTACATGGAGACTATGACGAGCCTCTTGATATTCAAAGGCGTGATGTTGACGATACGCAGGAGGATGAAGAAGATGCACAGGAGGAGGACGAAAGTGATGAGGAGACGCACGTGATTAACACAAGGGACATTGCACAAGAAGAAGAAGAAGAAGAGGAAGAACAAGAAGAACAAGAAGACGAGGCCCGAGATATGAAGCCGAGGTCATTGCCTGATGGTAGGTCCCATGAAACTGTCATGTTTCATCGAAAACTCGAAGAAAATTTCAGAGCTCCTCAGAAATTTCTTCAATAAACTTAATCTTGAACTTATTTACTTACCTCGCTGAAATATTCTTAAACTACACTTCTAAAATTTATTTGCGTATGGAGCAAACTTAAAAAAAATGGATATCCCTTAATTTGGATGAATATCTGATACTTTATCGAATGAGGGATTTTTAATTTGGTTATTCTTGAATGAAAACAAATGTTTTTTCCAGAAATTATTTGAATGAATAAGTTAAATAAAGTTTACACCACTTAAATGTCAGATTAAACAGTCTTTTTCAAAATGACTAGAAAGCACAATTACTTGATTGAGAATTTGACCATTCAATGTCGAGACATCAAAATTTGACAAAAAGTGTCCTGATTGCTTTATGACAATCAAAGATAGTAAAACCCAGCATGGCCTTGAATGGACATAGATACTACGGATATTTTCTACGGACCAAATTATATCAAAAAAACTTTAAACTGAAGAACTGAGGTAACCGAGAGTAACCCGAGATAACAATGAGTTACCGTAGAATATTTAACATTAACCTCATGACTAAAGAATTGAAAGCTTCTTTACGGTCATTCTTCTTATTACAAACACCCGCTAAGAACAGCAGTGATATGGCGTTAATGATATTGATTTGCACTCAAAACCAATATTGAAAAATCATTGCACAATTCTTAGAAAAATATGACATTTTTGGCAGTGTTAAAATAAAAAGGGAAGTTCTTTATGATTGAAACTGTTAAGACATTCACCGATACCAAGGGTAAACATACCAGGCAAAGCACAATACATTAGTGTTAGGATATAAAGGCTTATGAGGAAAGTGAACTCTATAAATCTATATAAATAAATATTGGTAGTAAATAGATAGAGTTTAGTTGGTTTGAAAAAGAGTCTATTGGCTCGTGATGTGTGCTTGACTGCAATGGATTCAATGGCATCGTTACAAACTCTTGATGAATACCTGAAGATCAATGATGCGCTCTCTTGATCGAATGAAAAGGGGGAGTTATGTATCAAGTTACGATGGAAATGACGACACAGGGCAATCTTAAGAGGTATTCGAAGGCGGATAAAGAATGCAGAGGATCTCGTTCTCGAAGAAAGGAAAGATTGGTGATGTTTTGAAGAGCAGTTGTATTTATCGATGGCTGGAACAAGAATGGGAAGTAGCAACAAATCAGAAGATATCAGAATGTTCTGTGCACGCTGAATTGTTGGCAAAGAAGGCGACACAACATTGAACCAGATAAGTATGAATCTGTGGTCAAGAATCAAACTTAAAAATATGACATAATGACATATTACATTAGAAATTTTCTAAACTTATTTTTAAGATTTATCAACTTACTTATAATAGGGATAAAAAGTAGCGTAACCGGATGGCCTGGGTGGTTGTGATCGAGCCCCTTAATACTTCCATAGCTTCAATATGCCATCTTGTCAACCCCGTAAAATCTAATTTGGCTACAAACAGAAACTATTGAGTTTTAAACATTGAGACAAGACAATCAACCAACTCCTCGAAGATGATAGAAAAATCTATTTATAAACTATAAGCCATAATTATCGAAACAATTATGAAGATTCTTGATAAATTAATGCACCTTATATGACAAAAACAAAATGGCCATTGATATTATCTGATTTTTGTCAAAACTTTGCCACTGCAAAAAATATTAAAGTTGATTTTGCAATCATCCCCATTTAATTTTTTACGTGCTTTTGAAGAATTTAAAACTGAACGCAGTAGGGATGGAATGCTTATCAATAAAACAGAGCAACTTGAAATATTATTGATCCTTTTTTTGCTTTTTTGCTATGTTGTAAAGTTTTGTCTTTGTAAATATTTGTTTTGAAATGTAAATTAGAAGTAACTTTCAATCTTTCAATCACAGTTTCAAGAATCATTTTTACTTATTTTTCAAAATCGATCAGTTTCCATTTGAAAAAAACATTGTTCTCCTATTAATAGCTGGAAAGTCTCTTCTCTTAATAACTTGAAATTTTCTCTCGTTAATCTCATTAACCACTATCTTCCCTTAGTTCTACTAACTGCGTCACTACCACCATTGCTTTTAACATTAACCTATTTCTGTAAGGATTAACAGGGAAATTTAAAGGTTTAAGTGCATAGCTTAAAATTAATTGGATATTCATAATCAAGTTTTGGAAATGATAAAATAGTTTATTATTCTAATGACACTTAGAAACTACGAGATGAAGGAGCTTCAAAGGCGGCAATCTACTTTAAAATAATCATACGTTTAGTAATGTCAAATAGAAATAAACTAAAATACTTATATTGATATTAAAAAAGACAAAAAATTTCTACCAAAGGCTGATTAAATATTCTTCTACTAAAAACTGAAATAAAATTGAAAACTGCCCTCGATCTTAAACAACTAATTGTAACTCTCTTCTTTTTAACACTTTCATGCACCTCTCTCATAACCCAAAAGTTAAAAAGAATGAAACAAACAAAATGAAAAAAGAAAACATATTTTTCGTCGGGAAACTTTCTATTTAAACAATTATTTAGAAACCAGGAGAGTTCTCTCACAGATGACGTAAACATGACAGCAAACAAAACCAAATGAAAAAACTGTACGTGACATTGAAACAAGATAACTGTGATTGAAAGAATGACATTAGAGAAAGAATGCGTTGTAAAAATTGAGAATTGTTAAGAATTAATAAGACTGACTGAATAATGTGTATTTTTTGTGAGAAATCTGTGAGAGGGCTCTCTGGTTACCTCAGATTGATTCGACATAGAATTAGTACTGAATCAAAGTTTTCTTTTGCCCAAAACTTCAATAAGTCTCATTGCACATGATCCATTTATGGTATTACATTATCTGTAGATAGTTGGGTCTGCTCGTATCAGAATTCGGTTGGCACATTTTGACAGCAAATCAAGTGAACAGTAGTATTAACAAATTTAGTCATTGTAGAAAACAAATTCAAGGACACAAATCTACATAGAAAAGTAAAAACTCTCTTCAAATGAAAACTCTACTTACAGAAAAAAGCCAATTCTTTAATGGTATCTTTTCCCTTCTCTCTGCCTACAGAGGGTCCAGATATGGAAACGGCTGAAAGGAAAATGAAAGACATAAAGAAAGCAGCGGACGTTTTGACGCAAATTCAGAAAGCTCTTGGTGCAAATCCAGAGAATTCCGTAGAAGAAACACACGCCTTAGCGGACGTGCTGCGAAAAGATATGGAAACCTATGATGAAGAGATTGCTAAAGACATAATAGCAACGCAGAACGCTCAAACGCGGAGTAAGATTATCGTTAGCGATGACGGAGAAAAAGGAAATAATGAGCTTACCAATGCAAAGCGAAAACTACAAAACGACCGCGCGAAAGAGGAGGAAATTCGCAATGAACTAAAAGAAATAAAGGATATAGAATTAATGACAACACAGTTGGAGTTAGCAAAGTACTTGGCTACAGAAAACGCACGACACCAAGTGCAATTCGCAGAAGCCCTACATCGCACGCACGTTGAAAATACGCCCCAGACAACTCAATACCAAACGAGTTATGCTCCAACAACGTACCAACAACCAGCCGCGTACGTACAACAAGCCTCGTATGTGCAACCAGCCTCGAACAGCTATTCTTATACTCCAGCTATTCAAGAAATGTCAATGCCAGCGCCACCGCCATCGGCTGTCGTACAGCACGTTTTCCCGCAAGCAATCAATTACGCTTTCAGTCCAAATAATGCGGAAACTGGAAACTACCGATACGTGCTAGCCAATGTTGAAAAAGGAGGTAATCAATTTGGATCGAGGCAACAAACCCCTTCATACTACAGTAATCAGCGAGAGACCACCAGACTCCCTCAGACATCATATGCTCAGGGACCTCGATTCCAAGCAGCTATTGAGGCACCAAAACCATCAATGGCTTTGCATACTGATGCTCAATCTCGACATGTAACTAAACCAACGGTAACAAAACCAAAACAGGGGTGGAACAGGCGACCAAACATTCTTTCAAGGTTTTACCCTAGCAAAGTGAAGCCATACGGGCAAGCAAAGACAACAAGCATGAATCGAGAGAGTCCATCGGCTTCTCTCGTTGGAAGGAAACCATCTTTATCATTTCCCGGACCTACATATTCACCACCACCATTCACAACTCGGACTGATAGTCCTCGCTACCCGTATGTCAATCGGTACAGGGCTAAGTACGTAAAACCAAAGGCGACCAAAAGACCGAAGAATCCTGCCTTGGCTTCGTTCTTTAACTACCAACAACATGCAAATCCAATGGGGAATCTTTACCGTAGTCAAGGCTTGAACGCACAACAACATATACCTTTGTATACTCACGTAACGTACAAGGCACCAGTTGTTCAGCCTGAGCCATATCACATGGGTGAATTTCATTCTATCGAGAGAGAACAACCTCATTTCAATGTACATTCACCTTTCATTGGTGACGTACGTCATCCCTTTAGTAGTTACCAGGCTCCAGAATACACAGCGTCTGTTGTAGAGCAGCAAAAGCAACCTGCAGCAAAAACGCAGGTACCTGCATTCCATACGCAGTACACAGTGGCACCTGCTACGGATTACATACATTCAGGTGTTCCTTTCCACTATGCCCTCCCAAGACCACAAGGACCATCTTTTGGTGCCCCATCACCTGTAGTATACCAAGTCCCTGCCTCATTCTCAGAGTCATTTGCCGCTTCAAAGGGAGACATACCGTCCTTCTACGCACCCTACTATGCAACTCCGCCACCAGCTGCTCCACAACTTCAGAGTTACGCACAAACTGCACGACCTTTTGAGGCCATGAATACAGATTCTGATGTTTTCCATGGCTCGTCACCTCCACAGCAGAATATGAACCAAGCTGCTCCGCAGACAAAAGTTCAGAACCCAGAAAAAGTACCGCTTGGGTATGGTTTGTTCCCATTGCCAGACAATGCTGAGAAGAAAATGGATGAAGATGCACAAGGTAATCAAAAATACTTGTTAATATTGATATAAAGATTCTTAAAATATATACATATCATGATGCCAGATTGCATTTCTTTAGCAGAATAGGTTATGTTTTCGCCTTTATGTCATTTGTGTATTGTGAAATCAGATTTATCAATAATTGAATTTGAAGGCTGAAAAGACAGAAATGGCTAAAGAAACTGCACGTGTGTAAGTTAATTTCATCAACGTTCGCGAAATTTGACATTTATTATGCAGATTTCGAATCTTGAGTACGATAAAAATCAAAATTAACGTTTTTTAGTTCAAAAGCAAATTTTCGGGCAAATTCACTTATTCACAAAGGAGATGATAGCAAATTTCCTGGTATCTTGAAGCAAAGTACATGGATAGGTAATTTAACAAATGAAACTACATTTCGTCCGAAACTTCGACTATAAACGTCAAATAAAGACGAAAAGGTAAGCTTAAATGTATACCCATATGCGTATGATAATGAGTTGGAGAACGAAATGTATTTGATCGGTCTCTTGCTTTAGATAAATCTACAGCAACCGAACTTTCAGAGAGTTTGGGCATCGAAAAACGTAAACAAACTCTTTCATATGAAAGATCTTTTGCGTTCATAAACATAAATGAATCGCAAGAAGTGTTAAGAGTAGATGCCACCAACATAGAACTTAATTCAAAACTCTCCATTATAGAACAAAAACTTGATCACAACATAAAGGCAGATACGAAAGATTTGCAAGAAACAAAGGACGCAGCGCAAGCAGTTACAAAAATTGAGAATCAGGTTGGTTTTGATCCAGGATCGATTGCAAAGCTGGTTGATTTTGTGAAACAGGCAGCAGAAAAGGATGTCGAGCTATCTGATAGAGCAATGAAGCGCGACCAAACAACGATCAAGAAGATGGAGATTGAGCATGCAAATAGCAGAAAGTCGGAGATAGGTACCGAAAACAGCATAGCAATGAAGGAAGCACAACAAAAACTGAAAATAGATACAGAACTTTTGAATGAATCGAAAGATAGACTGGATAAAGTGAAGAGAATGGAACTTATTGTTACAGGGATAGAAGCAGCAAAGTATTCGGCATTAAGCAGAAAGCAGGGGAAATTGGCTAATGACGTCAATGCAATGAATCAGTATAAGGCATCAAAAAAGACAGTCGTAGGGAGGAAAGGGTTTGAAAGATTTGGCAAAAGATCATCGTAGATGTAAGGGAGATGTTCTTTATGGAATGCTTCTATCCTGTACTGCAGGATCACTTACAGGGCAGGTCTTCAGTAAGGCGAAAGAAAACAGAGATGAGGATTTTAAACAGAATGCATGAAAAGCAAACCTATCTAAAACCTTATTTACAAAAATGAAACAAAATGACGGTTCGTTGGAAAAAGACAGTTCAACAGAATTACAAAAATTACAGCATTATCTTTTATGCATCAAATGAATGATGCTGTAAAGAATTTGCAGACCAAAAGATAAGTCAGTCAACAGAAAAGCCTTCAGAAGAAAAAAGTCTCTTTCAGGACGAATCCTAGGATAGCAAAGCAAAGCGTTACAATGCAGAATAGATGAAAAGTGAAGCAAATTATCATCAGAGAGTTTTCTTGCCAGCTTATGAACATGAATGGCAGCTCGAGGTTTTTAGTTAGAGATTAAGAAATGACCATTTCTAAATCGTTAGGCATAAATTTGTTCTTTAGTGCTAAATGAATCTTCATACTTCGTCTTTAAAGGACCTAGTAATTAATTATTGAGAAATTCAGGCAGTAACACTGATATAAATATGTTCTAAAAGTTACTGCGACAAGACCTCTTTTTGTATACTTCCGTTAAAAAAAGAAGATGGCAACTGCACTTTCATATTCGTAAATGCATTAAAACAATTCAATACTCAAGCCCAACACTCATGATCTATATTACCCGTGTGAAACAAAATTCAAAAACCCGACCTTACAAAGCACAGTGACGCATGATCCATATAAAAACCCATTCAATATTTCACCTTCTTCATATTGTTTTGAGCCTAAATGCTATCTAATGCTAATCTAGTGGAATAGTCACCGAATAGAAAACCACAAGCTCCTCTTGCTGTTATCAACCATTATTCTACAACAGCAAAACGTTCGGAGTAACATGACGTTTTGGAGAAATTAGCTCATGCAACCACCTGAAAGTGAATTTCAGTCCTTTAAAGCTTAAGTCTAGATTTAAATGTTTTTAATCATTTTTGTATATATTCGTACGCTTTAAACGGAAAAAGTTTAGTACTAAAACAAGAAATATATAATATTACCTTTAGATATTTTTTTAAAATTAACTTGTGGTAAACATCTCATTTTCACAAGGTTAGGATTTTTTAATAAATGTAAGTATTTCAATAACTTGATCAGTGTTTTATATGTAATCGTGTACATAATGAAAGCAATATACAAGAATTATTTTTCTTTTACAATATTAACAATGCGAAATATTTTCTTTCTGAAATTTGACTGAGTCTAGTACAAAATCGAATTAATATTTGTGCTCTTTATCAATGTTTCTACAATTATATAAGATATTATACTTTTTGGTCAAGGTACGTGGTGCAAAAAAATTGCTGTTTTAAAAAAAGTGATGGAAAAATCAAAATATTGTCTCCTCGAGTGATGTCGTGATATTTTTCTTAAAAAACCAAAATGGTAGTAGAGAAATTGAAAGCACTAAAAAATCCACAGTTTTAGTGTAATTGTTTTAGAGCCTGAAAGCCTGATAGCGGCTTTGATCAGATGATTTTCAACCAAAGCTTCTCGAAAAAAAGGAGCAAGAGGCTAGGCAGATTGAAAGCTGGAATCAAGCCAGCAAACTTTGACAAAAAACAACCTTCTACAGCTCATACAACACCTGTAATACGGTTCCACGGCTGAGGGCTGAAGGAAGGTTAGTCTTGAGAACGGCCAATGCATAGCTTGACATTGGTATATAAAATGAGAGGAATTAACAAAGCATGAAGACCACACCATAGATGAGGCGAAACAATAACTGAAACCATAACCTGTAAAATTATGTTACTTTAAAGAGAAAAACTAAATGCAGGTACTATTTCCTATTCTTCTAATAAATCAGAAAAAACGATCATTTTGGTTCACAAAAACCTTGAAAAACCAATGTTGGTGTTCTCGAGTCTTAATTTGAAACCAAATCTGCGGGTTTTTGAAAGCCTATAAGTACACCTCTTTCCAATTAGATCTATATGTCTTCTGCTCCTTTCCAATTTGATAAGATATTCAACACCAATAACATAACGAAAACAGAGGGTTTCAAAAGCACAGGCGAAGCATCAGTCAGAGGCTAAGGAATAGTGACTGATCAAATATATTTGGCTTTTTATTCTTATTGCCTGGCATCAGTTTGTTTGTTATTATTTCTAGAAGACCACTTGATTGTGGTTTGTTCAGATGTCAGGTATCATTACGTCACGCTACGTATTATGACGTCACCCTAAGTGTCATTACGTCACGCTACGTATCATTATGTGTTGCTTGCTACATCCCCTGACATTAACTAAAGTTAAATTTGAGGCTAAAGTGACGCTGAATTACATTGTGTTTTTTTTGATAGATGGAATTTAGTATAAATGTTCTTGTCACCTTGCTTTTAAATTTACATCAAGATTAAGTAACATTTGCAAAATTTTATAATAACATACCTTCTATAATTGTGTTCGAATGTATTGCTACTTTAATATATAAACATTATTTTGGATATTTTAGTTATTCATTTATAGATATTGTATCATCGCAACGTTAGCTGATATGGTTCTGTCCATAATTATATTGATATGGATTTAAATGAAGCTCCCTTAAAAGTATCAACCCAATGAATGAAACATCGATGCATCGCAAATGAACCATCGCTGTTCGAAATATCCTTGAAAAAATGCAAGCTAAAATCTATGCTGGTTACCAAAGCAAATTGAATTTAAGTAATAACGAATACAGCCGAGAATTGCAAGAGCATTCACTTAAAAGGAAAGGAAAGTGTTCTGAATTTCTTCTGATTAATCCACTTAAAACTTTTCACTTTCTGTTATTCTTTTCACTTTTTTCCTTTTCACTAAAAAGCTTATCCGCTTCTCCGCGCCGCTCTTCCAATTGGCAATCCACTTCATGTGGCTTTGGTACCCAAGTTAGCCCAAGTCTAAGGCTGTTATCATACACCAATTTCAGCAAACAAATTACATAATCGTAATTGCAAATAAAATGGTAAGTTTTATCTTCGGCTCAAAAATAATACTAAATAACCAATAGAAGAGAGGAAATTAACAGCAGGTAGTTGGCATGCTTTTGCGTTTATGAACAATTGAGCTTGAACTGTTATTAACTTGCTCAATGGCAACGCTTCGGTGACCCGATAGTGTGGTGACCTAGCTGCCTGTCTCTAAGGCATACTTCCCTTGGCGTTACTTCATCATTGAGTGCTGACTTCAAGGCTACCTCAAGATGAAAATCCTATTTCTGTTGGGGCTTATTTTTATGATTTCTGCTTCTAAAGGTGAGTTGTGTTATGATGTTTTGTGATGACTGGATCGTTAACAGGTCACGGTGAATCAAATTTTCTTGGCAATTAAAAATGTAATCTTTGGATTTCGTTAGTTACGGCTGTGGAAATTGGCATCACGAAATCGAAAAAGCCATTGTTATTCGACCGAAGAGACCAAGTCTTTTGCTGTTTCTAAGATGTTTGAGACATTATGGGTATTTGCTTTAAAAGTGGTTGGCAATGGATTGAAAATGAGCGACATTCGATGTGATTGATAAAGAAATTCAGCAGCGTCTATGGCAAGTTTACAGTGCAAATTAAAACGGATCAGATAGACTAACTATCGATAGCAAAAGCTATAGATCATTATTTTACTAACGAGAAAACCACAAGGAAATCTAAGAAAGGTCCTGGCATAAATGAATAGGATTTGAATGTACTGACTGTCTGTTTATCGACTCTATATCTATTAAGCGTTATTAAGCATGTCAGAACCAATAACTGAGGTGGCCTTTTCATTACAGCTTTTCCACAACAAAGGAATGTTCAAGAGGCAGACGCTAAAGTAAGCATTATCCCATTTAGTCCAATTAGATCTTCATTAAATTTCAACAGAAATTGAATAAACGATTAACAATGTCAAAACATTAAATAATTTTATAATTGAAGTTAACTATAAAGTTGATGATTTTAATATAAAAATTTAACCCATGAATTTTTTTTCTATATAAATTATTGAGATTTTAATTGACTCACAATCATTTTATTTCCTCGAGAATCAAAACAAAACGGTATAATCAATCGACCCTTACGCTTCATTCAGCATTCAAACCACATAATCTTTTGATTTCATGAGACGATTTCGTTTCGAAATGTATGAGAAGCATTTCATTTGACAGCCTCTGACAGCCAAATTTTCATAGCTTAAATTGCATTAGTGAATCTTAGAAATAGAGAATTTTTTATCAGTTCTAGTATGATAATGAAACCAATTGATGAAAATTCATCGTATATTTTACCTTTTCACTCGTTTTCCGCTTTAGGTAACAGCTCCTGCTGCAGCTCCTCAGGTCCAGCCTCTTTCTCCGCCTGTACAGCAACAACAAGCTGAGCAAGAAGATAAGAAAGGTAGCTAGCTAGCGATCTACTTGTTAGTTTTCAAATTCTGACGTCAAAATTAGTTTCTTTTTTCTAACCGTCAGTTATTAAATACATAAATATCCCCTAAACAACACATACAAGAATTGAAATTCCCGCGATTCCTCCACCGTGAACCAGTGGCGAAGCCAGGTTTGGTGGGACGGTCAGGCTCAGATACAATACACCACGCCCTTTTGACCACGCCCAGTAATAAAACGCCTACTTCTAATTTGTCAAAATTTATTCATGGTGGAACAATTTTCACGGATTGTTCATGGTGGAACAAGGGAATTGGAACAATTTTCCAACAAATTCAGTTCATTTTGTGAGCTACCAGCAGTGAGCGATGGTCAAAGAACTCTGCAGAAAATTTCATTTTCATATGGTAATGTCAAAAGTCAACCAAAAGTGTGTAGAATTTACAGAATGACTGGCTTTTGATTATTGGCTAGTACAGCAATTTCATCATTTAGCTTGGAAAGAACTCTTTTCAGAATAAAAGCAACAAAATCATACAGAAATGATTTTCTTATTTTCATTACTCTTCCCCCCCCCCCCTGGCTCTCAACAAGTACAGTAGTACACAAAAGATGCCTTTTGTTTGTGATGATTCATTAGTCAACAACATACTATTCACACTGTTTAAGTTGATATTTCCACACATTAACTTAAATCAGCAAAATAAATGTTATTGTGAACTGCAGTGTAATAACACATTTTAGCTTCGCGTTAAACATGGTCAAGAAGGTCCAGACAACGTTAGAACATCGATGCAGTTCACTCTGATTGAGCGGTAAATTTCACCGTGATGAGCCTGACAGGTAGCGAATATATCAACAAAGTTCCTTTCCACACGACTGATGTTCTTTGAGGGCCACTAAAACACAGTCGTTCGTGGCATTATCGTAGCAGTCACCTTATAATACCTCACTCTGCGTCTTCTGAGTGCAACATGGGCCTATCCTCTCGTTCTGCTCGATTGATAGCCTAACACCAGAAGGTTTCACAGACAAATAAGCAAAATAAATTGCACTGGAAATGCTTTCATGCCTTGAGTTCCCTCTTTGCAAATTACAGTAAAAGTATAACAAAATTGAACCACGCTTCGCCTCAGATATGCGAGCCATAACAACTTTTTGACAAAATGTGCATTGAAGTGAATTCCAAACAAGGTAAGGCCATTTCAAATGAGCCTACCCAAATTTATATTTTTGACTAGGTATTATTTCTGCCAAACACACAAGATTGAAGTAAGACGCTTAATTGTTTTCAAGACAGTGGCAAGAATTATTACCCTCGAACTTATTGTTTCCTTAGCAATTGGTCAAGCCATTCCGAAATAGCCTGACCAGAATATCAAAAACAATGCGTTCACATGAAACTTCTGGCCAATCACCTAGCTCCATTCAGTGAAAACTATGACGTTGGTCAGGCGAATTTCTGGGAGCCTGACCTTGGTCATAATCATAATAAGTAGTGAACCACTGCTCCATAAAAAAACGCTCCACCGCAGAATAGTGAATTTCTGAAGATGATAGAGAGGGACGTAGAGAAGGAATATTTTTCTTTCTTAGAGTTTTTTTTTCTTTATGGGAAAACATATCACTGAAAATTGCTGGTCAGGCTCAGCCAACTTCTGGTTTTACCTCTGGCTTCGCCACTGCCGTTAACTGGAGACTACTCTCGCTCATAGTGAGTAGTTGTCAGATATTCACATTAAGGTTGAAACTCTGAACAGCAACTAAGAACTGTCTTGTTCTACACACCAAAGCGTGCACAGTTTCATTTATATGTCATAAAACTTTATGACAGACAGGTCAACAGCAATTCTCATTTTACCAATAATGTATATCATCTACTCCATAAATCGGTTTATAAAATGTTTGGTGACAATCATAAGATGACATGTATGTGACAATCATAAGATGACAAGTCCATAGGAGCTTTCAGAAGGGCAGAGCCGAATATCATAGGGTCATAGTTGAGCAAGATTTAACAAAAGTTTCACTGCAATTCTATAATCGTCTGAATTACTTTAAGAAATAGTTATCATAATGAGAAGTTCCATTTTTACAACAATCCATCTTCATTAAAATGATTTGTATAATGTATATTTCATAAAAAAACTTGTATATTTGCCAGGATATCTATTTGAAACAAACTTTGAACTTCTTTTTTTCCAGAAGAGAGCAATGATGACGAAACCAATGACGATGAAAGCGAAGAAGAATCACAAACACTAAGCAAGCAGAAAGGTGACGCTGGGAAGGCGACAGAATCAGCTGCAGAAACAGTTGCAACAGCCTCGCAGTCGCCACAAGAACAGAATCCAACCGAGGCTGGTGAGGAAGACAATAAAGAAGCAGATCCAAAAGAAGACAACAATCAGGGTATGACATTTCAATGTACAAAACTTGCTCGAACACAAAACGGCCTTTTTCTCATTTTAATTCCCCTTTCGTTACAGAATCGACAACAAAGCTTTGTTAAACTTAAATCATAACATGCTATAACGGGGTTTTACATTGAAAAACACAAATATATGTCAAAGAGGACATCAGGAGTGAAAAACAATTAATAGTCTTAGAACAGAAACTGAAGAGAATAGAAAAGCATTTTTTGCAGCAAGATATCCACATCTAGTTTATGTGGGAAGCTGGTTAGAATTTAAAGATTCAAGTTGAGTTTAAAATTGCTTGATATAAATTTCTAACAACAAAACTTAGCTATAGGTCCAAAGTTTTACATCCATATTTTCAGAAGAAGAAGAAAAGGAAGATGACAAGAAAGAAGAAGAAAAGACAGCTTATGACAAAAAGAAACAAAAAGGATGTAAGAATGGCAAAAAATTGAAACCGCAGGGGATTGTAATTCTCCCACCAATTGTTATCGGAAAACTTCCAATGCCAAACAAGGAAGACATGAAGAAAGATTGTGAAGAAGAAAAGGACGAAAAAGAAAAGGAAAAAGAAAAGGAAAAAGAAAAGGAAAAAGAAAAGGAGAGAGAAAAAGAGAATGAGGAAGAAGTGGAGAAAGAAGAAGAGGCAGAGGAAACAAAAATCAGGAAACCTACACAAAAGGGGCAGGAAGCTCCGGTAGCGGTGCCGGTTGAAAAGAAACCAGAAATAGACCAAAAAAAGCCAATGGATACAGATCAAGAAGAATCTGCTGACAAAGAAGAAAAAGAGAAGGAAGAAGAAACAGAGGAAACAGATCTAGAAACTGATCACAAGAAACCCACGCAAAACACCCAAGAAGCTCCAATAGCAGTTCCTGTACAGAAAAAACCGAAGATTGACGAAGATAAGCCGATGGATACAGACCAGGAAGAATCAGTTGATGAAGAAGAAGAAGTTGAAGATGAAAAGTCTGAGAATGAAGGGGCAGCAAAAAATCCGTCGCAGCAGGCAACGAATCAGCCAACCGTGCCAACAAACCCATCACCCGTCGCTGGTCCTGCTGAGCAAGGTAAGAAGAAGTCGAGTCCTATGAAAAATGTCCATTGCTTTAAGTATAAACAAAATTGTGAAGATCCGGCATGGATAAAAGAATAGGTACTCTCTGAAATGTCCTTATTAGATCTTCATAAAGATCTAATAACAGCAAATGGACATTCATCAAATACTTATTGTCATTAGCATCATCCTTGTGGGGATTTTGTAATTATGCTAAGTATCCTATGCACGTAGAAGGGGGCATTAAAAACAACAGAGAGGACTTGATTATGGTGAAGCGTAATATGAAAATGCCGCCTGTATTTGTGGATGTAAAAATCGAGCCCACATACATTTAAAGATCGTTTATTAGTTTTGGCACAACATCTAGGCTTTAAAATGAAGAGGTTGCTTGGTGCAAGTTCAGAACAAACCAATGCCTCCAGTACAAGATAAGCATGAATTAAGATCAATATTACTTCAAAATTTTCAAACGAAATCTGGTTACCAAATGATCTGTATTTATTTGTCAGGACAAAAACCCAACACACAAGAAAATGAAAATAACGAGTCAAAAGAAAAAGAACAGCAAAACACAGAGGACGAAGAAAAGCCTGGAGAGCAAGAAGGAGCAGAGGAGACACAAGGAGAAGAGACATCACCACCTAATGAGCCAACTGAAGGGCCAATGAAACGACCCGAACAGGACCAGCAAAACCCAACGGTAAGCTCGCAGACAGAAGAAGGCAGCGAGGAAGAAGTTTCGCAAGAGGATCAACAGAAGCAAGGAACGGAGACCAACAATGAAGAAGAGCAAAGTAATGAAGAAAACCCGGAGACACCTGCGACTGGACAACAAGAAACAGGACAGCAGTCGGGACCCGGCAGCGAATTAGAAGATCCAGAAGAAGACTTAAAGAAACCACAATCATCACCACAATTGCCAACAGTAAAGCCAGAAGGCAAAACAACTCCATCGCTCTCAGCACCAGCAAATGGAGGCGAACAAGGAAAGGAAGAAACCGAAGAGGAAGAACCTGGAAAACCGGAGCCATTGGGAGACGGGAAGAAACAAACAGACGGGGAGCAGCAACCAGAGCAACAAAAAATAGGTGAAGAAGGAGAAGGAGAGGAAAACGACGGCCAGACACAATTGGGTGATCAACCAGCAAAACCAACAACAAAAGTGCCATCAGAGGTTGCAAAACCAACGTTTGAACAACAAAAAGTTCCTGTTGCTGTCCCAACACCTAAAAAACCGACAGAAGAATCTGAAAACGAGAAGGAATCAGATGAGAAACCGGAACAACCAAAGCCGGCAGAAGAGAAACTGTCAGAACACAAACCAACTACCCCAGTGAAACCAGATAACATTCAAAACAAACCACCGACGGCTGTGCCTGTTACTCAAAAGCCAACACCAACGACAAAATCTCCATCAAAGCCTTCCGGACAAGTAGCTGCAAATGAAAATGGACCGACCTCGAAACCGAACGAAATTGAACCGGAACAACCAATTGTGTTGCCTACAAATAAAATAGCTGTGCAGATAACAACACCAACCACTGGGACGACAGCAACGACAAGACGACAGGAACCTACTACCGAAGCAACGACGACTCCTAAGCTACCGGGGAATTGGCCACCGACCAAACCAGTATCTATTGGAACCAAGAAACAGAAAAAACGACCCTCAAGGAAAGGGAAGAAGCATGGAAAAAGTCACAAGAAGAAGGGTAAATCAAAAAATAAGGGGAACAAGCCATGGCTTAACAGAATCCCAGTTGGCTTACCAAAGAAAAAAGAAAGACCTAATGAGCACAAACAGGCACACAAACGTCATCAGAAGAAGAAGGGGAAAAAGAAGAAGCACCATAAGAAAAGACATCACAAAGCAGCATCCAGGGGGACGGTTATCACAAAAAATATAAACAGGATTTCGCAAAGTCCAAATGCACCATACATTCAGCATGGAGTTTCACATACATCTTCAAAGGCAAACGTTAAAACGGGCGGCTTTGGCAAATGAAGACGATAATCGATGATCATGATAGCAACATACAACAATTACAACTTACATACGCTTTAAATTATATAATTGACGACGCAAATTATTGGTGGCGTCTGTAAATTAAACGCTTAATTGAGCAAATAAATCTTCTTGGTTCATTATTTGAACCGTATAAAAATAAACATCATAAAAGAATAATCTACATTGATTGCTCACTTTGCTTCACTGCAAATTTACATTTTAAATTATTTTTCTAACATTTTGGGCTTGTTACAGGATCATGTGATGTTTTGAAAAAACGCTTCACTGAAAATCGTTTTTATAAGTGATGACATCATAAATTCTTTTGAAGTTGTTCAGTTTTGAGCAGATCAACTGACAACGCATTACAAAAAAACACTGAATTTGCAAAATCAGTTCAATGTGTTGTCTGAGAAATGGCAAGATTACCACAGGTTTTTTCCCCTTTCAAGTCACTGTAATTTCTTTTTGGCTCTAAACCGTATGAGACAAACAACAATCTGTTGGCATACTAGCAATCATTCATTGGCCATATTTAATCTTTCTCGACGTTCATAAAGTTCTTTCAAGAATCAAATCTTTTGAAAATGGTTTTTCCATGACCTCACACGCTCGTACGCTATTCAACACATCATTAAAATCAAACGATTCTATCGTCAATGCATACAAAGCAGATAATTGAAAATCAATATTGAAAGGCTCCAAAATATAATCTTTAGAAAATTAAATCTTTTTTCAATATCCTTTAAAAAAAATAAACACTGCATTCCATTCCTCCTCCGCATAATTATCCAGCTTTGAGTGGGCTAAACATCACCCACAAACATTTTGGAAGAAAAGAAAATCTAAAGATTTTATTCAGATTTTCTCTCAGCCGATATCATTAGTAACAAGTTAAGTTAATACATAGCTCGGTTGGGGAAGTTAATAATATTTAAAAACTTTTAATGTCTCTGAAAAAAAGATGGCAACTGCCTCTTCTAGGACATAGATTTCTATGAAAGTTTTCTGCAAAAACAAGGTAGCCAGCAACTTAACCAGGAAAGCAGCTCTATCTACCAGTCCAAAGAAGCCGACTCCTGACCACCTTTTCACCTTTTTGGAAAGACTTCCGCTGGCCATAAATCGTGTGACAATGGTTTTTGCGTCGGTAGAAATTGAAATTGGGGTTTTAGAATCTAATTTCGGTCGGTTAAAGCTCTCTTATATCAATCTTTTATCTTGCTTATATCAAGTGACAAAAATCTGCTAGATGTTAGAATTTTTTTAAAGGGGTGTTTTTGCAAAATTTAGGCTTATTTTGCTATTTTTACGCTCAAAATGGATGATCGTCTGCACAAAAATGTCTGAATGGACGTTGTGTAAAAAATTCAAATTGAAATGGCAGTTACAATGTGATTTCACAGCCTACACTTTCCACATAATGGTAACAATCATAATGGTAACAATCATAATGGTAACAATCATAATGGTAACAATCAGACTACCCTTTTCAGATTAACTTCAATGAGAAAGGCAAATTCGAGTATTTCTGCGTTTTTTTAGCTTGAATTAAGGCCAAAAGAATGTTGTTTAAAGGCCACTGCCATATTCCTCGCCATTATTGTCATATTTTAATCGACATCGACCATTGGAAATGAAAAAGCAATGGTTTGATATTTTATGATAAGATCTTTGAATTTCGAATTCGTGTGGTGAAAATGGTGATGGCAACCTTTGACGCTCAGTTCAGCGGCTGGGGCGCAATGTAGGCGCAGCGCCTTCGCGGGAGTTATGTATGACTTCTTCAGAAAAAGTGTTAAGAAAACTCATTGAAAATTTGTATGGAAAACATGCGGTCGAGACATCAGACACCAGTGTTTCGCCAAAGGTCGGTTGCAATCCAGCACAGACAGATCATGGTCATAGAAATGAAGAGAAACCCGCCTTAAGAAATACACCCTGAAGACTTGCTACAGTTGACATGGCAGCGCCACAGTGTCACCGTGGGAAACATCATCTCGCCACCAAGACCAGATAATCATCCATTTTACATATTCCTCGGGGTTCACTTGCTATATAAACATATTTACAGTTAGCTATCAGAATGAATTGTTTCTTAAAAATAGAAGTAGTATTTACATGTTCTATTTACGCAGAAACCAGGTATTGTTTACAATGAAAAATGGGACTTTTTATCAGTCGATTTCTGATAAGACTTCTTCAACCAGTCAAAATATGGGATCACAAACTCTAAACAAATCTGGACCAGTTAAATAATTACATATAGCGACCTATAGATAAGCATCTACTAACACAGCTGCATGTAAAGGAGACTCTGTGTAGCTTTCTCCTTGAGAGATGTGACACGTAAAGTAGTCTAAAGGCTGAATAACAAAACACTAGAGCCAAACAAGTCCTGTTATCTAACGGCATTCAAGCGCTAAAGTAATTATTACGCGTTGTTGTTATCAGAATCAGGATTTCTTCCGCGGTGCACGGTTTTTGTTTCGTGGATTTCATTTCACAGATACTAGTCCATGTAGAATTGAGATAAGCTCTGGCCAGTTATTTCAAATTTAACACATTTTCAAATTTAACAAAGAAGATGAGTCGCATCGATACATTGTATATTGCTAGTTCGAGGGGGTGGTAAGCTGAGGCTCGGACATTGCCTGCAAAACGGATGGCAGACCTGTATTTGGACTGAGACAGCAACAAATAAAGAAGGTATGCAGCTTTTTGCCTAGTAAGAATAGCAATCATATCTAACATCTTATCACATTAGGATTACTTATTTAAAATCTTATCATCTGTGGATTATGAAAATTGTGTAGCGATCTTTACCATTGCATAGTGAATATCAGCAATGTTTGTAGAACACATGATCCCACCAAGATACATTGGTAAGGTCCAAAGTATGAGTCAGAGGAACAGTGCCAGAAGGGAGTCAAGGGGCAATGACCCCCACACCTTTCAGTAAGATATATCTTTGAGAATTGATAACCAAACTGTTTCCACTTCACGAACCCTGAGTCACATTTTCCGTGCGGCATATGACGCGTTCATAACGTCAATGATCAAACAACATTGCAGATCTATTCTTTATACAATTGTTTTACGCAGTCAGTCCACGATCCTATCAATTGAGATTACAGCACAAAACTGATATTCAAAAATGCTATTTACGGCATTGCCAACCTGAAAGATAAGGCCAGCATCGCAACAATCTGACAGCGAGACAAAAATTGGCAGCAAAACAGGTCTACTCAGTGCATTTCAAATATTCAAAGTTTGCTAAAAAAATTTTCGTTCTTTTCCGCTAACACGGATGAAAAATCTTAGTGACATTTTCAGCATTTTAGTTTTTTTCCCTATTTACTTTGAAGATTACCCGGGTGAAAATATTTCATAGCAACAGACAACAGTCCAACCGCGAACGAATAATCAAAAACGAGCAACAGATCCTGGTCTTTTCTTTAAAAACTCACACAGTTTCTTCGGGGTTTTTTTCTCCGTGCTGCAAAACCATTTCCTTTATCACACGATAAACCATTTTCCTGAAAACGATGCATAGTTTTTTTCATTTTACTTCATTATTTTCAAACACCTTTCTCCATGAGTAGTTTCAACACGAAATAAATCACTGATATAAGGTAAAAATTTACAATTCAGTAAAAAATGAATTATCTTCAAGAACCCTACTGCTTTTTCACAAGATTCTAATCGTCCTAATTGTTATCTCATTGGTTTAAAAATTCTAATTTGCTTTTTAAAAACTTTAATAGATTCTGTTGTTTCGCAAATCACTCCAAGCAACTTCAACACGAGAAGGATTATTTTATCATCTCTTTCCAAAGTTTATTTATTTGCAGGTTGTTCATTCTCTTTATTTCATATTCTTGAGATCGCTTTGCTCATTTTGAATTTGATTTACAATCAACGCATGGTCAAACTTAATAAATTGTTTTGGTATTAATACTGCAGATATATTGCATTGTTTCCTTAATGGGGGCAGACTGGAAAGCCTTATCTCTAACTTGTTTTAGGGGCCCTTGTTTTAGGGGCCCTTGTTTTAGGGGCCCTTGTTACAGTGTTAAGAAATGTTTAGAGATTCAAAATACACGGTTTCACTCACTGACACTTCACCTGATGCCGGCAAAATATAAAACGCACGGTTGAAAACAATAGTGGCGCCTCATATCACAGAACAGAAACAAACGTCTATTCTGTGCTCATATACGGCAGAGGGATGGCCATTGCGCATAAGAAATATCCCTTAAAACTAAAGAACGTCTATTTATTTATTACTGTTTTGAGCTCTTTATTGAAAAAGCGCCTTACTTTACGCATTTATCCAACGTTATAAAGGGTTGTTTGCTAATGGAGATCAAGTTAATAAAAGACGTATTAGAAAACAGTTTTTATTTAAATCTTAAGCAAAATAAACCATTCACCCAAAAACCATAATTGTTTCTGCCCCATTTATAAAAATGAAAACGATTTGTCTCAGTTGCTGATTTAACATAAAGTTTACTGACTTAATCATGCAAGTATTTTTTACTTAAAAACACTAAGACTTTGGTCATATCCTTTCTGAATAGAGAAAATCCTCGAAATTAGTGTTATGTTATATTATTCTTTGATGTAAACAAGCATGAGAATTGCAAAAAAAATCAGAGATTATGAGATGCTACACCCCCTTCATACAACCCCTTCATACACCCCTCCGTACACCCCCCTTATCTACGTGCCTGCTTACATAAAAAAACAGCTCCTTCCATTTGCATTTGCATCTAATTTAAACTTCTATCATCTATGTGTTCACTTCGATCAATTAATCATAACATCGCCATATGGAATAATATTTTCCTAAAATTTCACCTATTGACGGTACAGAACTTTTATGTCTTTTAATAATCAAAATTAATTGCAATCTTTTAGGTACCTGTAAAAAGATTTGAAAATGTCGCATGATGCCGGTTTGACAACAAAAGAGGAAATTCTCCTTGCAGTTTCGATATCTTTCGCGGCGTTGTTCATTGCGACGGTCATAACACTCCTGATCGCGCGGTACTGGGCGCCAATCAAAGAATGGTGTATGAAACATTTGCCGTGCTTTCAAGGAATGCAAGAGAAGAAGGATGCGAATGAAAATGTACCGATGACAAACAGCAAAGTGCCACTGGTGGTGCTTGGGCAGGATGAAAACCCGTTCGTAATACCCGGTTCAATCGTAAGCGAACGGGTCCAGCCTGACATGAAGAGTACTCGAAGCGGATCAGTTGTCAAAACGGCTAGCGAACCATCTAAAAAACCGCCCAAAACAAAGAAGAAGATAAGTAGAGCGCTTGATACAAGACACTCTATATTTGCTGTGTCCGAGAGTGACCAACAGCGGAAAATGAAAAAGCAACAAAAAATGATGAAAAGCAAGTCAGTATACCTTAGTGACCTGAATCCCCAATTACTGCGTCGAAATGCACTTTCGAAATCAGAGACAACACTTAACGACAAGAGCATCCTAGAGCAAATCTCGCCAGAATTATACATGACATCATCCAGAAGTGAGGAATCAATAAGTGACGTCGACAAGGAAGATTCCCTCTACAGCAGCTTCTTGCCAGTGAGAGGATTCTTGTCATCGCCGGGCAGCTCCCCTGTGACGTCAGACGACGAGAATGGGGGTGGAGGATCGAAAAGTTCACTTTTGGAATTGCGACCTGAGCTGTATGACACTTCAAGGAAGAGGTCAGTTGGCTTTGGAACTCTCGGCAAGATAAAGATGTCTTTGCAATACTTGAATCATGACAAAACAAAACTGGAACTTTTTTTTCAATACATGGACCAGTTGCAACTAAGGCCAGGAGTTATTGGCATACAAGTTGGCATTACGCTGCTGCCTGAAAGAGAGAATATGTATCATTCAAAAATGCACCAAGCGACGGATCATCCAATCTTCGAGCAGTCATTTGTTTTTAAACGCACTCTACCAAATGACTCATTCAACACAAAGACGATTCGTTTCCACGTTTACATTTTGCAAGGGCAAGAAAAAAGGCGCTACGGGGAAAGTAATATGCCTTTAGCACGAAGCGAAATATTTGGTCAAATCAAAACGGACAACGTACTCAATATCAACCCACCATCACAGACAGTAAGTACCATTTATCATAATTAACTTCACAAAGCATCTCCGAGTGATTGCCTGATCATACCAGTGATTCATTTATTAGATGCATCAGTAACTACTTGACTATAACTTGTGATTAATCATTTTCAGCTTCTAATTGATCAATCTTTTTATAATTGATATCATTTTCAGCTTCTAACTGATCAATCTTTTTATAATTGATTGATTGGACCAAGTGCAATTTATAGTAGTTACAATCAAGATCTTCTACTGAAAATACATCTGTCAAGAACCTCACTCATTTCTTAAAACAATGTCTGTTCAAAAAGAATCTTTGAATAATTCTTTAATTGTTTCAAAAAGTTTTTCCTTGACTGCTTTGTTTCTTTTGTAGACGGAGGTCGGCGATGTCCTTATCGAGATATTCTACACGAAAACCGATGAGTTCCACGCTTTAATCCGTACCGTCAGACTCGCCTCAACGACATCCGTTGACCAGTTAAGTGGTGAGTAGAAGATGGACTACTATGCATTATACAAAGCTTTTATATTAAGCAATAATTGTGACGTAGCTACAAGGAGGGTATGATTTTGTGTCCCACTTGCATGAAATAGGGCAAGAGAATAAGATATAAGAAAAAGAAAGAAAAAAGAGAAAAAAGGGGTGAAAAGAAGAGAAGAAAAGCGAAGAGGGGAGCATAAAGAGAAGAGGGAAAAAGAAAGAGTGAAGAAAAGAAGTCTGGTTTATGTTTTCTACGGGCCATGTTTCAAATGATATCTGCAACCATAACTTTATTTTCAAAGAGTTGCACGTAGTTAAACGGTAACTGATTTTTCTCATTTTACAGCATTGCAAGTGAAGGCATACTTAAAGAAGAAGCGACGGAAAGTCGGAGAATCACAAACGAAGATGATTTCTTTGACGAATGAGAGGGAAGAATACATACAATTAAATCTGGATTTAAAGCACAAAATTCCATGGGCAACGTTCATGGAGCATTCCTTGCACGTGACGGTCTCGGGCAAGCACCGGATTCTAGGCAGGGTAATGAAAATAGGAAAAGTTATCCTTGGTGAAAACGCAGTCACAATGGCGGATAATATACATTGGAAAAGCATTATGAATTCGCCTGGTGCACCGTATAATTTATGGCATATTTTGCACGGGTATTAGTAATTGACAGACTGTAGTCGTTTTATACACAGAGAAACAATAGGTATTTGAGATGTGTAAGAGGTTTCAAATAAACAAACACAGCCCCACAACAATTGACACTTTCATAAAAACATCAAAACAGCTTGAAACCCTGAGCCATAAGTATCCACTCAAGCAAGTATCCACTAAATCCGTAAATTATGAGAATACTTCAAATTCGAAGATTTAGGAAAATCAAGGAAATAGGAAATTAGACCGTTTTTAGGTATGTAAGCCATTCAAATTCTTGGAGAAAATTGTTGATTTAAAGTGAACCCATTTATCAACCCCTCTTTTGGACAATCATGCTATGTTGAAATTGATTCCGAAAAAACTAGCAATAACGAAAATGCCTTTTTCAGACATTCAGACAAACTACCCTCTGCAGTTTGGTGGGTGCAATGCACAAGCGCATTAAAGGATTCTTAGAAAATGTTTAAGTCATATTGATTGTCGTAGGTCATAAAAAAGGCAGATACCTCTTGTTTGTCTTTAAGTTTAGATTCTTATGGGTATAGAAGATATATTTTGGTTTTTCTTTCCGTGTAAACTTTTATCAATGCTTCTCTTTCTATTTTTAACCTAAAAGATCTAAAAAAACTGCAGAAATGAAAGTTGGAAAGATTACTTCATATTTTTTTACAGTTTATCTTAAAAGTGTTTGTATTTGCGTCATTGGGACAGAAATCAAACACGCTGACTAAGCACAACTATTAATTGTGCACGTGGAAAGAAAAAGAAATGAAATTCCTACTAATGAGGATACAGAAAATATCTTTTGCACGAGTTTATTGCTGGATATCTACTAATAGTTTGGCAAAAGTGCAACCTATTTGTCTTTTGCGGTTATTTGCATTCGCGTAAATTTGCGATGCGTTAACAGGAACCCACGCTATTATCGTGTAAGTCAAGCGGGGTTGCTTATAGAGCGAAAGTTTGATACAACGAGTAGATAACTCAATCGTCCTACGAAAATCGTCGTGCAAATTAAAAATGACGGTAGCTGGAATTATTCAGTTTCGGCCTTTCAAGATCAGTTAAGCCAGATGCAAATGTTATTTTGTACCAATGCCCTTTTAAAACCGGGTAAGTTTCACTCTCGATTCCCTGTTTAAGATGGGTTCTCCAGAAACCTTCACTGCTCCCTGAAACTGGCATCTTGGAGAAGGTGAAGTGAAGAGATTGGCAAGAAGCGGAAATAAATTATCCACAGTGGGACATCTAAACGGAAAGCAGTGTTACATTTGTCCCTCTTTATGTCCCTTTTAAATTTCTGCTTTTTGGGATTTCATTAAGTTTAAAAAATAAGTCGCACAGCATCACTTGAACATAAAGATGACTGATACAGCCTTAGCTTGTTATTCAATCGAAATGTGTAAAAATATTGAAAGGAAAATCACACGCATTTTATCTAATGTGAGTTTATGGAAGGGGGAAGATTACACGCAGTCAAAATGGTATATTTTGCTTGGTTTAGTAAACACAACTTAGAGAGCAGGCTATGACGTGTTGCCCAGCGCGTTTAAATATACATTGATGCATAAGAAACCACTCGAGCATTCGAAACGCTAAACAAAACTGGTTGTTGAATGGTTATGTCACTTATCGTGTAATGTTTGATGTTATGTTTTACAAACAGGCAGTCCGTTGCGTTACTAACAAATCGTAATCTTAAAAGCGGATTCTTTACAAGAAAAGGCATTAGTTGATCACTTGCGACGATTTTTATCGAACGGTGTAAAATATATAACATATAGATTATTTAAAGGATTCAGTAGGAACTCGAATAAATTTCTATTGTTTCTTTATGACAAAGTTATTAAGGGGAACGATGATACAAAAAATGCAAACAAAACCAAAATCTCGATGAAAATATCTTTAGCTAAAATTCTCGAAAAATTTTTCATGACAAAAGAAAAAATGATTTCAAAAATCATACGAAATTTCACTCCCTTGAGGTGAAAGATACCAGGTTTTGAACGTGCGAAAAGCTTACGTTTTATCATATTCAGTCAATTAAGTTTGTTTCAGATAAGATGTTGTTTCCTATATTTACCTACTAACAATAAACTTGTTGTTAATGATCTTGAGCAATGAACTTTTACGCTTTTCCTTTGGGGTAACCACCAATTTAATGTATGGACGGTGAGACGCATTGCTCTGTCCCTTTTAAAACCATGATGGCGATGGGGTAGCAACTTTCTTGGGAATGCCGTGGGGGAAAGGATCAAAAATTGGCTGGAAATATCACACCACGATTGCAGCAAGAAATCTCGCAGGTAAACATCTTTCAAACATTGTTAATAGTTTACTCACAATACCAGTAATTTGTATAGAAATCATGACCTTTGCTCGACGCAGTCAACCCGATGGATGATTGATCAGTGAACATGAAAGAAGGACCTGCTTGGAACTGCCAAACCTGTTTATACGTTATTCAAATGGTACGCTGCTTTCATTGGTCGAAGGATTAAACAAAGTTCATACGAGCTCAAGCAAGCTACTGCAGCACTACTTGATTTCAAGGAAATATCAATATTAGACCGCTAGTCGGCGGATAGAGACAAAATGCGTATTTTAACGTATTTACTGATTGCCTGCCTTATTATGGGCCTAATCACGGGTAAGTTTCATCTATTTCTAACTTCATTATGAACGTGGAACGTCGTGACAGTCGGACAAGGCAATTGACAGGAGCCCAACCTGCTAGCATCAATGTCTTACAGTTCTGTACATGGCAAAGATAGATATTGGTTTGTGCTTGTAAAAGATCAATGGTAAACTATTGAAAATCAAAAATAGGAATGTAAGGCACTTGGTTATCAATGACGTAAAAATAGTATTTTTACATCAATGTGTCTTGAAATCAAGATTTTAAACAACAAATGTCGCGCATTTTTTTTAAATTATATTGGCCTTTTTATAGTTATATTCAAACAAATATTCATCATGGAAAGTTTCGTTGCGTCACTTAAGTTCGCTCTGCGTTAGTTGCATCGTAGGAACCAGGTGAAAAGCTTTTCGCGGCAACAAAAAAATCATTATTTTTTATCTAAATGTGCTATAATTTTGTTTCCTAATAAAGCAAAAAAGCACAAGAAATCGCACAAGAAAGCTAAACAGCAGAAAGTCGCAAAAGAGCAAGACGTTCAGCCTGCGCAACCGGTAAGTAGAGCTATCATCATCTTTCATTTTTAAACTGTCTATCAATCTCGTCCTATTATTTTTCAACACGGTAAATAAACCAAAGCAAGAGCCACTTTTTCAAAATTACGAAGTGACAAAGGCAATTTTCGTAAAAAAGCAATTAAAATATACAGATATATCTAACGCATAACTCAAATCTTCTAGGACCAAGAGAACAAGGAAGACCAAGACGCTGCAGCCCCAGCTCCAGCCCCAGCCCCAGCCCCAGCCCCTGACGCACAGCCCCCACCAGCCCCTGCACCTGCAGCACCAGCTCCAGATGCACCACCACCCCCAGGACCTCCACCAGCTATTCCACCCCCAGCACCATTCCCACCTGCACCAGTTCCAATTCCAGGAGTACCACCTCCTGTTTTCCCACCCCCTGGCCCCCTCCCACCACCTGCACCACTCCCAGTAGATGGTAAATACGATGATGGAAAGATGGACATGGCTGCCTCTGGATCTGGACTTCCACCACCAGGTAAAGCTAATAAATTTTAGAAGTATCTAAGTGCTAACTAACCAACTTGTAGGCACGGATTTGAATATTGTCAAGCAAACAGCATACAAGCAGAATTCTGACCCCGGGTTAGATCGGGTTGGATTGGTATCATAATTAGGAAAGACCGTCGATACTTGATAGACGTTCAATCCTAGATTGACATTAGATAATAGATAAACGTTCCGGTTCTTGTGATAGGCAGAATGACATTTAAGCGTTCGCTTGGCAGTTTGGTGATAAAACTAAAAACACGAGTATCTTGGCACTAAAGCCTTGATGCTCATTAACGATTACTTTACTCTTGCTCTTTTATCTAATCACATTAATAATGCAATTCTCTATGGGCATATCTTTTCTATATTAACATAAATTAACTACTAATTTCTTTTCCTCCTACGCAGTTTACGCAGCACCATTACTTGTTCCTCCTCCGGTCTACCCACGTAAGCTAACACACAACTTTACTAACACTAACTTGTATTACTTCGTACCAAACTAATTCCTGTTTATTTCAAAATCTTATGATCAACAATAAAAACGTCACTACAAGTCATAACCTTGTGTTGATTCATACTGCAATCTATACTCTATTTATAATTCTTTTTGAAAATTATGATACATCACATATTTTCAGTTTATAAGAACTTTATCATTGAAAATAGATTAATGAAGAATCGGAGTTATAATGATCGCGTGCAAAGAGTTGCTTAAAATCAACTAAGTTATGTTCAGATGAAAATAAAAATTTTATTATATTTAAATTTCATGATTTTAACGTTTTTATGATAAATATTCTAAACATTAAAGTATTTCCAAGACTAATCATTTCGCTGACCTTGGTGCAAATACTGTACGTAGCATTTCCTAATATCAATGGATACATAGAACTTTTCACCATAACAAGATGACTATGCTGCCTCACGATACCAGAGCAAAACCTGTTTACATAATGCTTCATTTACAGCTGCACCATTCCCTCCAGTTGGACCACCACCACCAGTCCCACCTCCACAGGTACCACCACCACCCCCAGGTGCACCTCCACCAGATGCACCACCTCCACCACCAGGACCTGCTCCACCACCACCAGCTGATGGCGGTGCACCACCCCCAGCTGGCGGAGCCCCACCACCACAACCAGACCAGGACAACAACGATGATGACGAAGACAACAAAGATGACGATGATGATGAACAAAAACAACCACAGCAGCCACAAGACCAACAGGATCAACAACAACCACCAGCACAGCAAAAGCAAAAGCAGTACAAGGTTTGTGTTGAATGGAATTTTCGATAAGTGATATTGAGGGTGGGGGATAACCTGCAAGTTACAGTTCGTCTAAGAAACAATCAGCAATTGAAATCGTATAGTATTTTTGAATAGGATGAAACACTATTATTTGAGGTAGAAGACCCTATTCCCTCAATGCAATTAATTACTAAAGGATAGAGTGTGCTTGTACAACAGGTTTTCAAACCAGGTAACTCACGTTGCACGTCTGGCAAAGTGTCAAAATGTATCAAACCGCAAACACTTTTCAATGACAATAACCATTTGTCATTTCAGATAAAAAACTGACATAGACCTGTTCCGTTGTAGCAAAGAATCATCGCACAATTCAACCAGTTACATTTAACTGCTTTTTAACTGCAAGACTGATGAAACCCTGAGCTTTGTCAAATCTCCTTTACTGAGATGCTCATTAAGGCAATGAAAAGATGCTCTTACTTGAAGAAAATAGCAAGAAATCAAACCGAGCCTTATAAAAATTTGCCTGCTCAATGATGGCGTGTGAGTAGCCAAAAATTACGGTAGCTGTCGGACATTTAAGGCCAATATGAAATTCTATAAATCCTAAAACTTGTCACTGAACAGATTTTTTCGTCTCTAATAGGATGATGAAGACGATGAAGAAGTAGAGGCAGCCAGATACGACAATGATGATGAGGATGATGACAAAACTGTCCAAGTTAAGGCCAAGAAACCAAAGAAGGCCAAAAAGAACAAGAAAGTCCAGAAGAAGTCTAAATCAAACAAGAAGGACGGTAGGTTGATGGCCTTATGCATTGCCTTCTTTCCTCGGATCTCTACCGATACCAGAATTTCTAACGTCCTGTGATTAAATGTGATTTGTATTTGCAAAAATTCTATCAAGGAATTGCAAAAATAAATCAAGGAATAAACTAGCGAGATGGCGGGAGCAATTACAAAGAAGCGACTGGTGGCAAATATTTCAATACTCTAAATATCCATCGAAAAATTTTATTGATAATCGAAGTGCGGGACAGAACAACTAATGGTAGCTACAGAGCAGGACGAAAATGCGACCTTCGCAAGATTTGTGAACATACCATCCTTAGTCTGCATGTTTCGCAGTGTTTGTGTTTAGTCCTGGTAGATAAATATAAAATGCACATAAAATAACCATATAATTAACAAATTATATGTTCACACTTTGGCGCATAGAACAGGACGGTTTTAAAATGCAACTCTGAGCTCCACACTGTTCTGAATAGTTGATTGACGATTGCATTAAGCGTGAAATTTGTGTTCTATACACTGTTCTATATAAATACTGTTCTATACATCAAAGCGTGTTCTCCTTTGCCCTCGGCATTGACCCTTATATGACAAACTGGTAAAAAAGAAGCTTCATTAAATATATGCTCATACCATGTTGCTTTTCTCAAGTGACTTGAATTATCCAGCCACCAACCTGCACATAACATCCTGCGACAAAAAAAATCAGCTTGAGCTAGTTACTAACGACTAACTTATAAATCAGACACTACCATCAATATTTACCAGAAACATAATTCTTGCACGCAAACAAAACAAAGCTAAAAACAAAACATGACTGACAGCTTGAATAAAAAGACTTGCAGTTAAAATGTAAGATCATTCAACAAAGTGCATTCAGCACTATTTGAAAGGTTGAGAATGCTTGAATATTTTAGCAGTAAATAAAAAATGAAATAAGTAAACAAAATAAATAGTGAAAGTACCATACATGATTCAGTTTTAATGCAGGAATGCCCAAGGCATAAGATACTGATGGCCTTGAAAACAAAACAACAAAAGTCAAAGCCAAATAATTAAAATAATGACAATGACAATTAACATTAAGTTTATTAAAATTAACATTTAATGACCTGACAAGAGTGACTTAATGACTGTCTTTCTAATCCATAGGTCAGACACGTGGGACAGTCGTTAGCCACTCTATTAACAGAATATCTCAATCCCCTAATGCTCCACATCTCCAACATGCATTGTCTCATACTTCTTCTCACTCTCATATCAAATCAGGCAGGAGAAAGCGAAGAAGCCTCTCCGATATCCTTCTGAGAGCTGAGGATGAGGACAGCAACCAGGCTGAAGAAGAACAACAGCAGGATGCTGCTGCCCGTGATGAAATTGCTCCCCCAAAGGAGCAGGAAGATTCTGAGGATGAAGAGAAGGAGGAAGAGGGTGGCAGCCGCAAGGATGGTGGTGAAGCAGATGATGAAGATGCAGAAGAAGAAGACGAGGATGAGGAAGAAGATGACGAGGATGATGACAAAAAGAAGAAGAAGGAAACCAAAATCATTAAGATTATAAAGGAAGTGCCAGTTCCAGCTGGTCCCCCTCCACCAGCACCACCCCCATACCCATACCCACCACCACCAGAGGCACCAACACCACCACCACCCCCACCATATGATCCATATGCAACACCACCACCCCCACCTCCACCTCCACCACCCCCTCCACCACCACCACCACCTCCACCACCACCACCACCTCCCCCTCCATACAAAAAGAAGGCAAGCAAGAAATCCAGCAAGGGACACAAGACCAGCAAATTGCACCGCCTTTCTCGTCATGGAAAGAAACACAGAAACTAGATTTGCTGTTGGAGATTGAAAATGGACACAGTTCGAATCTGACATTGCTCAAGTTATCAATATAAAAATTTACTGCTAAAAAGACAAAATTTACCTTTTGTTTTCATATGTAAACAACCAACAGTCCCACTGCTATGTAGCCAATTAGCTGATATAGAAAATCATTGTTAACCTAGGGAAAATTGAAACAATTAATAAGGGCCTTAAAGCAGTTATAAAACATCCTATACTGTCTATTAAAGCAAATATTTTAAATTTCTAAAAAAAGAAAACAATTCTAAGATGATTTCATTAAGCAATCAAAAGTAGAAATGAAAAAAATCAATTAAAAACATTGAAATGAAGGTTTTGAATATTCATGTGTGGAAGCAAAATAAAGTCTACAACATTGGTATCCTAGATCAAAGGCAGGCTAAATTGATTGCTTAGTAGGCTCATAAAAAGAAAATAGCTATATTGTGGAAGTAAATATCTACAACATTGTACAAACAGTGTAAAATATGCTTAGATTGCTTTAGAAAATTAGAAAGCTCTCTTTAAAAGTGATTTTTGATTTAACTAAATGAATAAAACAAGTTTTGAATTTATTTGGTTGCATTCTAAGTATGTTTAATAAAGATTATGTGAAACAGTCTTAATGGCTAGAATAACAACATTAGAACTCATTAAAATACCATGATATTTTCTAAACTAAATTTTAAGGATAAAATAAACAAGTTTTCAATAGTATCTGATGATTTAGCTTCAGTTTCATGTGATTAACATTCCACCCAGGGCCGTCGTTAGCGGAGGGAGGGGGTGTGGGGGCAAATTTTCTAAAAGTAGAGTTTTGTTGGGTTTTTCGAAGTTCTCAATGCGATAGCTTTAGCAAAAAGTTTTGATAAGATGAGGATAAGACCGAAAAAGTATCACCCAAAAACCCTCAGCAATTCAAAATAGGTACAGATGGCGCTATGGGTGTCACGGAGTGGCAAATGTCCACCAAAAATTTCAAATGACTCCCTGTCGGCAGCCGGAGTCTAGAATCTAATGTCCAATATCCAGGGCGATCTAATATCTACCTAAAGTTTGGGGCTTAGGGAAGGGTCAATTTATTTTTTTGCGACCACGCGCAAAAAGAAAGCCTCGTCTTGAAGGAAGCCTCGTCTTTCGGGCTTCCTTCAAGGCCTTCGAAACCTCTTGGCGGTCTTATTAGTAAGATCTATTCATGCCAACTAAGTACCCACAGTCACTCGAAAATTGAAGCTATGATTGGCTAACGAGAACATACTTTTTGATAACCAAAATCAATTGCGTCAAAATACCACACCCAAAAGTTGAAATACCTTAGACCACGCCCTATTTTGTCGGCAAATTTGTGACTGGCACCCCCCTAAGTGAAAGTGATTAGCGACGGCCCTGATTCCACCCTAGATACAATTCTAAATAACTTACAATACAATTAAAAACAATACTAAATTTAACCACATCAAATAGTTACACAACTACAAACTAAAGCATTTACATTACATTGCATTTTATTGCATTGCATTGCATAATTATATATAGAATAGACTTATTAAGGAGGAGCTCTCTAAATAGGTAAACTATTCAAAATAAAGCCATCCCTTTCCGCTGTAAAAACAAAGAAATTAAACATTTTGTAAATAAAACAGAAGAAAATAAGGGTTCAATAGAAAAATCAAACTGATCCTGCCTAATGGTTTCTTAAATTTTACAAGCATATTATCTACAAAAAAGTCCTGAATTGATTGAATAAATAAGGAAGGAATATTCTTTTGTTTGTTGTAAGACAGACTTCAAAGCACAGTTTTAAGCCCTTCTTATATCCCAGTTCATTCAAAAGTTACACCAGGACAAAATCAATCATGAAAATTTCCAAGGAACACTCATGATAAGAGTTACTATTAGAAACGAGTGCTGGCGTTAAAAAGAGAATTAAGAGGATGGTTATTCAAATTTCACTGTTTTCTAACATCACCTTGGTTGATGGAAAAGAAACAACAAATTAAAATTACTTGGGGATATCCGGCACATTTCAAATTTCATGAATGAAGCGTAGGCCTATATAGGACTCTGGTACCCAGGGTAGATTGTTGACCAAAGCTCCTATAAAGCAAAACAAAAAGCTTTTTGAGGTAAGGGGACACATTTACTTTTTCTTTGGAACTTAGGAGCATTTATTGGGTTGGGATAGATCAATGTAAGTCCGAAAACGGCGCGTATTTAAAAGTCAAAACAGCAGCGCAAGAATGAGTTTCGGACGACAAGCTATCTAAAACCAACTTGTATCATTCAATACTGCAAACGGTGGAATAGAAATGCAGAGAGACATGCAGAAGAAGTTGTTTTACCTGTGTGTTTGGTGTGTAGCTCAATCCTCGTACAAAATCACCTGATATTTTTCCCGCCGAAGTTTGAACAACCGCAGCAACTTCAGATCCCATTTTATAGAGGGTTACCCAACATGCTTTTCGGGGAAGCCTAAAAACATAGCGGGTATTCGGGAAACAGGGGACCAGCTGGGAGCTTTTTTGGCAAATCTTCGTTCTTATTTCATATTCAAAAAACAGGAAGCAATCAAACATAAGCGTTACCTTTAAGAAGCATTTCGGGGAGTTGGGGGGGGGGGACCTTAACATGTTTGAAGTATAGGGACGTGTCATTATTGGCTTTGTTATTAGTTGCATTGTGTGGTTGTTTTTTCTCAATGTTATTATTATCAGTATTTTGTTAATGATTATTACTGTAGTAGAATTGGAGCATTAAATCAAATCAATCAATCAGCTATTTAGGGGTACCATTTGTGCAACTATGGATACCATTTGAGGAAACATGCAGAACTGTTGGGTGCCATTTTGGGAAAATATTGCAAAATTATTAGAAGGGAGATTTATCATTAACAAAATGAATGTCAAATTAAAAATAAAACTATGAAATCTGTGTAATATCATGATTTTGGGGCGAAAGACATACAAAATTTTGTTTCATGTTTTTTTGTGCTTTTAAAATGTTGTATGCTTTGCGGAATTACGGGTATAGTTTTCATAATGTTTGCGGAATTATGGTTCCGTCCAAAACCAAGCTTATTCTCTCCCCCCCCCCCCCCCCCCTGCGAGAGAATCATATTCTGTGAAGCCAGATCAGAGGCATTTTGATACATTTTAAACACTTGTACAGACAGATGTAGCAAGGAGTAAAGTTGCTCAAACTTCGCAAGATTTTTATGTTACTATTCATAAACCTTTAGCAATTTATTTACAGGGGATACAGGTTAATAATACAAATTATTATAATTTTGTTATGCTATAACATTAAATTTATTCGTTAATTTGACTAATGGACCTAGAAAAAACTTTTTAACTTTGACCAATTCATAAACGCTGATTTTCACTCATTTTTGGGTGCTTGGTGAAGAAGTTTATACACTAAATTTATCAAACCGCATTTGTGTACCTTTTAAAATATAGTTGATACAAGTCACCTTGGGGGATGGGGGCTGGTAATTCACTGACTTTTAATAAGTATTTCACAAGTTTTGGACCTAGAATATCAAGCGTAGTCAATATTTGAGGGCAGATAAATACAAAACTTTAGATAGATGCCCAAAATTGTATGAAATTTGTAATAGATGTAAATATTTTTTTGGTCTCAAAAATATGTCTAAAAATATTTGAGGTTCCTTTATTGTGAGCCTATGTTAAAGAATCAGCATAGAAACAATGATAACATTTGCAGAGTACCTACAAATGCAAAGTGCACAGCTAAAGTAACATATATTTTACAATGGAAATCTGTTATCTTGAAAATGCTTTTCATTCAATGCAGTAATTTAAACTACAATTTGGGTTAGGGTAAGGGTTAGAGTGAAGTTCATATCTTGGTGTTTATGTCACTGAAATGTACAGCTGGGGAAAAAACTGCATCTGGGTCACTTTAAAAAAGTATTTGAATTTTGCATGGGTCTGAATATGAAGACATCTAACACAAGTTTGATTTTTGTAAAAGAAGTTATCGTTGTGTCTACGAGAAGTCTGAATATTCTACCAGAAAGTTACAGGTTAATTCTATCTATAGATAGTTTGGATGGTTTTCGAGTTCCTTTCCAAAGAGACCAACTGCAACCTCTTCTATTAAAGTCATCAAGAGGTTTCACTCTCTCAACTGAGTGCTTTTGAATTTACTGCATTATGTTTTTCTCATATTTTCATATATTCATTACGTTTATACGTTCTTAGGATTCAGAGAATTTAGTCTTTTTCATGAATAGAAGTTAATTCTTCTTGAATCTCTATCTCGAATCTTCAATTTTGTTGATATGACCTCGTGCTTAAGTTTAGCTTTCGTCAGCAGAAATTTAAGTGTCATTTGAAGGTGTTTTCTTAGAGAAAGTTTCTCGATATAACTTTTTCAACTTTGCCAAGTTTTACAACCTCCATTTACTCAAAGATATTGTTTCAGGGTAGCAAATTATATTTCATTCATGTTTTCAATGCGACGAGATTCGTTCAAATTTACGACGTGACTCAGCAAATCAAATCTGCACATCCTGAAGTTTTCATACCAAAATGCCTCATTTGTTGGCATTTCACTTGATATATTTTACCTTTGAACTTTCAACTTGACCTCACTTTGGCCTTTGTATTTTAGCTCAGTGCCCTTTTGAGACCCTCAAAAATGATAATCGCCATTCTCTCATATCCGCGGGGCTTTAAATGGAGTCCTCCTTCGAAAAACTGTCCCATCATGTCTCTCCCGACGTTGGACCTCTGCAGCATATCGGCCAGGTCAACCAATACAACTCTGTCGTGATTCTGGTACGCATAACTACGGATATTGCCATTCACTCGTTCTCTTAACTGTTTTGCATCTTGACAAGTGTCCAGTGTCTCACAATATACTTCAGGTATTGTAACAGCCACTGATTTTGACTTGTGTTGTCGTGCAATTTCATGCATTGATATAATGTTTTGAGTTATTTCTTGTTCCGATGCCTTCTTGCTTTTCTTTTTGTTATAAATGTCATTTGTGCCACCGAGGATTACTATCCACTCATAATTTGTACCTCCTAAAAGTTGAGAGAAAGTTACATAAGCTTAATTAATGCTAGCAAGGCCTAATGACAAAATATTGCAGCCGAAAACATCTAAAACAGCTTGGTGTCGTTTTGTTTCACACTAAACAGCAAGCACTTCTGAGTTTCAGCGTACTGTCTGCAATATACTGGAAATAAAAACAATTTGATGCAAGCCCATCAAAATTTCTTATGTAAAACCAGTAAATTTTTAATGACTGCTACTCTTCTCATTTAGCAATTTTTTTGTCTTAGAACTTAGCCTTAGAATTTAACATAACGTAGCTGGGTGTACCGATCCCAACTTACCATCTTTTAGTATGGACTCCAGCCGTTTTGGCATCTCTTCATAAGCTAGTTCTCCATCTTTCCCTTCATTATCAACAATGTAGCATTTCTTCGTGTCCAGCTTGTTCAAAAGGAACTGTAGTTTGTTTGTATAAGGGTGGTGGCTTTTTCCTTTATTGTAGTAACCTCGTGTAAGGCTGTCACCAAAACACAGAAAATGCACGACTTCGTTTGTTCCTAGGCAATAAAAAATAATTTTGAGAATACGAAAAACAGCAATAAAAAATAATTTTGAGAATACGTAAAACACCTTTTCAGACAATTGCAACGGCCTAATACGGAGGTTGAGCAATAATGGTTTCTTCCTATATGACCCTTGGCTCTGTTTCATCTAAAAAAGTCTTTACCTTTCTGTTGCTTGCAGATTTGTTCTTTTTCTTCAGTAGAATCTGAAAGAAATGGAAATGTGTATTTTTTAAATTTTAGTGAAAAACAATTTATTGCTAATTTTTGTTTTATCCCAAGGCACAGGCTCGCCAGAAAGCCAAGGCACTGGAACAAAATCATTATTTCAGAATGGCAGATAAAAGGGTAAGAACAGAGTGTATTGTCCAAACTTTGAGCAGACTTTGGCTTCTTGTGTTAAGTTGCAGGTTACATTTTCAGCTTGAACTAAATAGTAACTTTAACATGTTTAAACTTGGTTGGTTTCAAAAGCTCGTTATAGTATGAGTAACAATCTTTAAAAGCCCGGCACTGGGTTAAATTAAGCTTTCAAAAAGTCATCTGCAATGAGTATTCCTTGTTTAAAGTGAGCTGTTTTAGTAGTTGGGGTAAAATAATGAAATGAATGAAATGAAGATTATTGCAAATGAGGATGTGTTTCTTTGAAAAACGATTCTTAACTCGTTTCTTTATTTAACAAAGTTCAGTTTATATTAAACAATGCACATTTACCTGTCCAATACAGGTCCTCCATGTTAAGCTGGTCACCAAATTTAGACAAATAGGCATCCGATAAAGAATCAGCAGCTTTCGCTTCGGCATTCTGTGTACCTGGAACATTCCAGCCAGCAGTATTCCCAGAAGGAGCGTACGGATTCGCTTGTACAATTGGCGGTTGAGGAGCATATGACGGTATCCCGCTTGGATAAGCATTTTGGTAAGAATACGCGGTTGCAGCCGACGGCCCTACGATAAGAGGCCTTTGAGCCGTACCAGGAGTTGTTCGCATTGTTGCTGTATCTGTTTGATACTTTCCTTCTACCACTGTAATCGGTGTGTTGTTATGCTGCGTAGAGCTTTGGGGCTGGTTGGCCGCTTCATTACCTTTGTTACCAGCTGAGGACTGCAATTCTGGCAAATAATTTCCAGTCCGCTCAGTCGTTGTAAACGCCTTGGCCCAGTCTGTTGTTTTGTATCCAATTGAGCTTGGTGTTGTGGTACTTTCTGTCTTAGTCTCTCCACTTTGATACCGGACCTCTTCGTTTTGCTGCAAGGATGAGAAGTTAGATACGGTAGGCGGAGAGTATGAGACGTTTTGCGTGGCCGTTGGCGGTTTCATGTCATTGCGCCCTGTCTTCTCTGTTCCGGAGTCTTTGTTCATGCCGACTGTTGCTTTCGAAAGCGTTTTTGATAAAATGTTAAAAGGAAAAAGTGGCTTTGGTGTAGGATGGTGTATTTCTTCACTCACAAATGGTGTTTTCCTGGGAGTTGCAACGGTTGTCTTTGGGCTTGCCGTGGGGCTTGGTCTTGGTTGGTTGATTCTCGGGGTCTTTCCTGATCCCGGTGATGGCTGCGAGGCTGCAGATCCACTTAAGCTGTTGCCTTGGCTACTACCGCCCTGGGTGATCATAAACGGACTTTTCTGTTCTTTAACTCCAGTTGCTTCGGTATGATAGTCGGGCAGGCGGATTTGTTGCTGCATATCATTTCCTGTTGCTGTTTTAAAAATATTGTATTTTGATTTAGTTGTGTGTTTAGAAGTAATAAAATGCTTTTGATAAGAAGCTGACAAAAGGCAAAAGAAAGGATTTTGCTTCCTAAACTCATCAAAACGGTTAAATTACCACAACATAAAAGGAAGGTAAGAAAATAATCCCTGACATACTTTTCTTTTTCTAAAAATTCTTAGATTAAACTTCTTAGATAATGATTTTCACTACATACCAGCTACATCCCCTGCGTAGGCGATATTAGTACCATTGCCAGCGAAGACCTGCTGCCGCTGTTCAGCCTTCTGCGAAGCACTTGCTCTCTGGCGAATCAAATTGATCGACTCAGCCTGCATATTAATCGGAGTGTCGCTGACTTTTGCGCGGTTTTCTGCCTTTTCACTTTCTTCTTTCTGCAGGAGCTTGCTCTCAAATGAAAACGAGTCTTGGGATTCTTCCTCTGCTGTTTCAGCTTAAATGAAAAGCGTTTGTTTAAAGTTCAGCTTTTTGCGGTGTAGAAGATATTTTTGCCTTTGGGAAAATCACCATAATAATCTTAAAATTCTGAGAAAAGGGAAGATATACTATCAGAAAGCTGGTTATAGGTTTAGAATAAGCATTAATGGTATTGGCTCGTTGAAAGATGTGTTTTATCTTAGATCTCATTAGACTTTTAGGGGAAGAGGATTTTAAAGGACTTTTTTGAATTTCATTTGAGAAAACATTTTGTCTAGCTCTTGCAAAATTTTGGAGCAATAATTTAATCAACATGTATTTTCAAGTAAGACGCTCACCTCCAGGAAGCTTTTCCTCTTGTTTCACGCTCTCATCTGATGGAAGCTTTTTTGTACTCTCTTCAACAAGAATTTTGTTCAGCTGCGCATCCACATTTTTATCTAACTCGTATGCAGGTGCAGAGCCTTTAACATTAGCGTCAACTTTATTAACCCTAGTACCTGCATTTGGAAAGGATTTTCTTAGTTCCTTGATGTAGCCCCCGCTCCAAGGTGGGAACTCTAAATAATTTTTATCATTCTGTAAGTTTTGATATGTTGTTGACGGGGGTTTTAATCCTGGCAAGAAATTTTGCACACTCTTAGTTGTAGGCTCGCTTAGCATTGGCAAACCTTCTGGTGGCTTTGTGAATGACGTCACATTTCCAAACTGACTTCCTTCATTGTAGCCGGTTCGACTATAGGCCTTCAATGTATCCAGTTGCCGCACGGTCGTATTACTATGAGTCATAGATTCATTCAAAACGCCATCAAATTTAGTACCTTCGCTCCACCTTCCTTCTGCTACTCGATGACTGCTCTCTTTATCTTCACTCTTTTTTGGAGCGTTTCCATCAGGCATCGTGGTGGTGCTCTCATTAGAACTACCTTGATCCTGCGTGGCAATTTTGCCTAAACTATCCTTACTATTTTCATCTGTTTCTTTTGAAAGGGCCTCTTTTTCATCCATCTCGTGACCTTTGTCACCTTTAATGCCCTGTTCATTCTCGTTGTCAACGGTAGTCTGACCTTTGCTCTCTTCTTGACCTTTAACCTCTTGTGGTTGACTTCCTTGCTCCTGACTTTCTTTCTCTGTTTTCTCTTTCATCTGCTCCTGTGCAGCTTCATTCTGTTGCTCCTCGGCATTTGTTGTATTGTTGACATCTTTAGCACTGTCTGCTTCTCCTTGATTGGAAGTTGTCACCGTTGGCCTAGTGACAATGAACTGTTGTACTGCCGTGGTTGGTTTCTTCGTCGTCACCACCAATGTCTGGACAGTTGGTCTGCCATGGAAGTGGAGATTGGTTCCATGATAGCGTCCTTCTTTTGGTCTCCTGTTGTGCCACTGCCATGGGAATTGAAGGCCGAAAGAGGGGGTGGTAGCTGGGTTTGGTTGTTGCTGCATTAGAGGTTGTTGTTGTTGCTGTTGCATTTTCATTTGTTTTGGAACTTCATCGTCATCTTCATCCTCTTCATCGTCATCGTTTGGGAAGCCATGCATTGGAACGCCAGTTGGCGCGGCCATGGTGGGCAAAGTTGGCATGGTAACGCCGGTTCCGAACTGGATAGGCGGAAGCGTAACTGGTTTATTTCCACTTGGATTCACCTGTATCCTATTATTAAACACAAAGGGTGTTCCGTTCTTGTTAGTCCATGCAGTCCGAATCTGATCCCAATTTGAAGCATTTTGGTCATCAAGAAAATAGTCCCGTATGCGCCAGCCAGTTGTCTGATTTTTGGGTAAAGGAGGAGTGACTGAGCCGGCCTCTGGCGGAGTGGCAACCGGAGGCGGTTTCTGCGACTCCGGTGTTTCATCATTAAACCAATCCGCAAAATCTTCACCAGTTTGTTGATTCGACAATTTTGCTGTAGAGAATGTTGAAACTGCAAATTTTGTATTGAATATTTTGCTAAGTTCTATATCTTTATAAGTTTGAGCTTAAGTCCATTGATAAAAGCATGAAATCAAATTTCAAATTTTTTATAGATTGGTATTATGGATGAATTGTGGGTAGCATGACACCAAATCTTCGCCCATTCCGGTCAAACTTTTCGCCAATTCCCACCCATTCCTATTTCCTTCTAAATTTTTTATACGAGGCAGGCAACATTTCAACAGAAATTCGACATTTAAAACAACAACGTTAGCATATGGATCCTTACCTGATAAAAAATTACTTTATGCGCTTAAGTTTTATTTATTTTATAGATTTTATGCAGCTTTGCAGTTCTTTTGATACAGGTAGATGATATTTTTCAAAGGAAATTATTTTCTTGAATATTCATGAAATTAAAGCGATTAATATTTTCACAGAATATTTTGACTCATTCAAGCTCTACATACCAGGCTCCGATGGTCCGGCTTTTGGTGTCTTCTCATCTCCACCAGACTCAGTCCTAGTCTGGTTTTTCGCATCATCAGCAACCTTTGGTTCCTCTGCTGGGCTCGCCTCATCAGCGTTTGAGGTATTGGCTGGTTTTTCGCTCGGGCTTTCTGAATCGCTTGAAGCAGCTGTTTTGTTCTCCTTTGCGTCCTCGTCTCTTTTATTACCGGCCATTTCCTTGTAAGCTGCCGGCTCAGAACTGTCACCGCCAACAGTAAAGTCGTTGGGGTTGCGCTCAGAAACAACTTTTGCGCTGTCTTCATTTATTGTCAACCACCTGCCTGCCTTTGAGTCTGTAGCTGACGATGGTAAGACTTCGTATCCAGCCTGCCTTTCGCTTTCCCTGCTGAAACTAGCACTATGGTTATATTCTACACGTTTGGGAACATTTTCTTTTATGATCTCTTTGATCATATGTGGCATATTTCCAACACCATTCTTAGAAAACCCACTCGTGATTGTTTTCCTACTTCCTTGAGTGTCTATTTGCAATTCGGTTTCGTGCAATTTTGCTTTATTTGTAGACGTCTTTTCATTTGAACTGTCCTCTTCTTGGTCAACCTGTTTCATTGACTCCATAAGCAGGTTATCATTTGCAGGAGAAACATTTTCTACAATAACATAGTGTCCATTACCTGGCGGCTTGAGCTTCTCAAATGGAAATGACTTCTGAAGCTTCTGATTTTTCTTTTCAGAAATAACTTTCCTACCCTTGCCTTTGGCTGCTCGCATTTTCGCCTTTTGTTTGGTTATCACTACTTTTCCTGGCGTTTTTGATGCATGCTTTGTTGTTTTGGATGATTTCATCTTCTTGTCAAATTTTGGTTGTCGACTGAGAAAATCTTGCAGCTTGTCTTTATTTTCCTTTTCTGCCTTTTCATGATCCGAATGACCGGTATTAAACACCTCGCTGGTATCGCCTATCATCACCGTACTCTGGGGCTTCACCTTCTCAAACTCAGTGCTGGATTTCGCTTTGTTTTTCTTTTGCTGTTTTTCAATTACTTTCTCTACTATTGACAATAACTTCTCCTCATTATCAGCCAAGCCATTTGAAGTAGTTCGTCCAACAGAAGGCTTGCTGGTTGTCCTGTGATTTAAATATTGCATTTCATCTGTAGGGTTACCGACACTGGCATCTTTTTCAAAATAAAGCTCTCCTGGAGTGTCCGTTGGCGTGTAAACCTCGAGATCACTCGGGGAACCCGCAAAAGAAGCGAGCTCGCTGCCAATATTATCATTCAACCTAGTAGTTTCGTGGCCAGTTGAAAGAAGTGAGTCAAACAAGTTAGCCTCACTCTGATCCAAATTTTGCACAGCTGATACAATTGGCGAATAAGCAGTTTGTTTGAAACCTTTTTCTGGAAAAAACGTATCTTTCTTGGCACCACGCACTGCCACGGTGGCAAATTCAGGTTTTGGTATCACGTCTTTTCTCTCTTGAGCATAATAATCATCATAATCATTTTCTGGATCATATGCAACATCTCCATAATACACCCTACTGCGTCCACTTCTAGTATAATCCGGAATTCTTCCGTTATACGGAGAGGCAAGACTAAAAAGTGGAATTCGGACAAGGTGGTAATTTCTAAAAGGTATTCTAGTAGGCTGCCTGAAAGCCATTTCAGACCCTCTACTAACGAATCTGTGTTTACTTTTCCTTGACTTGGTTCGTCTTCTATTTGAATCATTTGCCAAATCGTTTCTTGCTTTTAACAATTTGTTTTTATTCTTTGTCCTGTGTGCATGATGATTTTTCAATTTGGTTTCTTTTAATTTCGATTTTTGTTCCATTTGCAAACTTGAAACATTAATGTTTCTCCTTCTTTCAGACAAATTATCATTCTTTGCATTGTATTGGCTCTTATCAATTTTTATAGATTTATTAGTTCTTAATTTCTTCTTTTTTCTCATTTTATTAACTCGATGCTTTGCAATTACTTCTCCGCCTGTCATTGAGTTGGTCTTTCCATTTATAGAACTAAGATTGACTTTTTTAGTAGTCTTTCTACTTTTTGTTTTCTTGTTAACGGTAGTTGTCTTATCAAAAGAAACACTATTGTTTGAAGACGAAACGGATTTTGTTAGCTGAACATCAGCAGTTCTTTTGTCGATTTTTTTTCTATCTAATTGTAGCAGTAAATCTGACATCTTGATTAAGCCTCGTCTCTGTCTGGCTTGGAAACTCTCTTTCTGTAGACTGCCTCCTACAATGAAAAACAACTATTAGAGCTTAAAAGATAGTTTCCGCTTAGGCAAGTAAACCAGGACGGTTCTAAGCCGCTTTTCCGAGTTATAAACATGTGCAGTCATCAGCTCAATGCATAAGCAAATAACAATAGAACAGTTAACAGTAATCTTAATCACTTTGTTTCTATAAGTTGTCAGTAAGTTATTAAGGTAAATACCTCTAAAACCACCAGTATTTTTAAATAAAAATATAGAAATAAAAACATAAACGTATTTGCTATTCTGTTGAATTCTTTCGAACTCAAGATAGAAAGTATTGAGCGGTACAGATTTTATGGGTAGCAAAGTAGTAAGAAAAGAGAATCTGCCCTAGGTTAGAGGAACATTTTCTAATTTCTAAAATGTACTTGAAGACTCTTTTAAATAATTAATTTTCTTTTCTTTTGTCTTGTTTCTCTCTTTTGAAACACAATTTTCTTAAAAAGGCATTTTGATTGGGATATCACCTCCAAGAGCGTTGGTTAAAATAATGTAAAAATGGTATCAAGGAATACCGTCAGTTTTATCAGAAAGGGATAGACAAAGATTTAATACTTGAACAAATTGTAATCAAAAGTATTGGAGGAGATGTGATATAAATTTGATTTTGGCATCAGCATAATCTTGCGAGAAAAGTAACATGAAATGTCGATGAAACAAAGAACATAACATGTGGCTTTAAGAATCTCTGAATTCACGGCACATTATAGTTTATCATTTAGTTATTGACGGCAAGCTCAATATCTTTAAATAATTATTACTGAACTCATGCTCTTGATTAATGAAACTTATTTCTATTGCAGATCAATCCTGTTTGAAGTTTCAATATGTTTACAATCGTAACATGAATCAAAATTAATCCTGTGCATGCAATTCTGCTTGTGCAAAAAGTTAATTTTGAATATTGTAGAGTCATGTTTATTGCTGCTGCTCATTCATGGCTGTGTATTGATAATAACGAAAATAATTACCTTTCTCGTAATTGCGAGAGAAAGCATTTTCAATAAATCATTTAACCTAGTGTTGGTGTTGTTATTGGCTTGATAATATCAAAATATAAAAGTTGCTTTGCAACATGCAAACATTTTAAGACATACTGAAGCTTTTCGTCTGACATTAATAACCACTTGTACATTAATATCTCTAGAGTTCTTGATTACGCTGAGCTTTTCATTCCTCTTAAGCTCAAGGTCAAAAGTTAGATCGAAACAACAATACGTTCACTAAAAACATTTTAATCAAGAAAGATTGCACGTTGCCCAACAAGCTAAAAGTTGGTCTCTTTTGAAAATCAATCAGAAGATTAACCTGGAGATTTATTTACGATTTATATCATCTCAAGAGCAAAAGATCAAGAGTGGAGAGGTTTATTCAAAGGAAAATCGGCGACTTTATCATCTGCTTTCCAATCAGCAGGTAATAGTTCGAATGCAAATTTCAACAAAACCATCTGCGTTTACGAAATCTTCTGACCCTTTCACACAAAACTCGCTTGGTGCAAGTGGCATTATTTAAACAAAAAGCCTTTGCTTACCGGCTACAGCATTCGAAAAGATCACTTGAAAAGCGACAACTGAAGACAGCAGCACAAAATACAAATTTGTAAAAGCAGCATCCATATTGCGACCCATACTGGTTAGGTTTGAAGGCTACATTTCAATCCAGCTTATCTGAAAAATTCATGGTAACAAATGTATCTCCAATGACATCAATATAATAATAGCAGTTAAAAGATTTGACGATATCAAGAAGGAACTTAGGCTTTTAACAAGCAACCATTTTCGTTTCTAATACAGTTATGGCGGTTTTACTCAGTTGATTTTCAATGCCTGTCTTTCGCTGCGTCTTCAAATCGCCCACGCTCTGTTGGTTCAAACTTATGTTGACCATTGGTTCGTTATGAAACACCAGTCGCTGCTCAGCTAAGCTAGGTTGTGCAATGAGTTCTTATTTGCATCGTACTTCAAATTGGCTGAAACCGTTACTTATTTTAATAGCAAACGTAATAAGGAGTTGGCCCACAAGTGGCTACTGAATCACCCTTGGGAACTCCCATGGTGAGGGTGGTCTGGGTTCCCCAACATTCTTCCTTTCGAAGACCACTTGAGAAGGTTTACCTGAAAATGATACGGCACTCGAAGGGAAGGCAAACGTCACAAGAAACCTTTTTTAAATCCAGACAAATACTAAAATCCTACCGTTGAACGTATTCTCTCAACGTATTTACCTAAGTTTCGGCGATAGCCTGAAAACGAAACTGTTTTATATTTTTAATGGCATAAAATTTCAGTATTACAGAGGTTTTAATTTGCTTTTCTGTTGCTGCAGCGATATTTGATTTCAATGGATCCCACATTCAACATTGGCGTGGCTGGATGAGAACAGATCCTATGTTTCGGTTTTAATACCGGGCATTCAAGCATTTTGCATCACTTCCTAGAATTTACTTAAACTTTGTTTCAAGTACTAGAATCATGTTTGGCAAGGTCACTAAAGAATAGATCTAATTTTTTTGAAGAAAAATACATAATTATCTCATAGTACAGTAATGTGTCTACTGTTGTAAGAAGAAGATATCTGTGTTGTAATGAAACAAATATTTCGTCATGATTTTTAGGATGAAGAATTCTAAAAGTAGGAGAACAAAGACGCCCTCTGTTCTGGAGTGGACGATCAAATTTAGATAGAAATACAAAACATGTGCAGAAGTATGCATTTAAGTACAATTTAAACTACACTTACAAAATTGAATAATATATTATTAAAGTGTGTACTTTGAACAATCATTATGTTTATCTTCAAAATATTTTCAAGAAAATGATAGAAGTTCGATTAATCAACGTTATTTTGAACATATGCAAATATTTTGGTTTTTGATATAAAATAAAATACTGGGTTAGCAGCAAGAATCGTAATGTTTGGTTTTTAAATGTACATAAATTAAGACGTTTAACTATTAACATTAGTATTTTAACGGAATATAAGGTATATGGAGCCTTCCAAAGGGAAGAAGCTACTGAATGTATATGCGGACAAGGTGTGCACACCTAAACAGCATTCTGCCTATACCCCCACTGGAGATGGCGCAAATACCCCCGAAGGAAAGGATGCAGGTGACGATGAAAGACACACATGGCAACTGGGGAAGCATGCGCACTCCTTGTTAAAGTTTTACATCGTGACTTTACACAAACGAGTTATTGAAGAGAAAAGCTCTTATAGAATATGGCAACGACAATCGATAGCTAGTCTTTCTTCTCTCTTCAATTACTCCAATTTTGGCTTTTTAGCACGCTTATTAGCAAGAATCTCCGCAAATAAAATCCGTAAATGTCTCCGTTATCTTCTTCAACTCGTCTTCCGCTGACTTTTTTGGTGATTTGGATCGCTTTTTTGCGTCTTCTATCTTCTCCCTTTTCTTAGAACCAGCGTTTGGCCCCTTTAGCTTTTCATTCAGAGCCACACCTTGATCTGTGTACGACAACAAGGCTGAGTCGACGCCCGTCACCAAGTCATGAAAATCCTTCAGACTCGCTTTTGTATCAGCCTCGCTTCTGACCTTATCCTTTTTGTCATCTAATGTCCTCTTCTCATTATTGATGCTAGGATATTGTGACCACTGTTGGTATTGTTGAGGCGTAAAACCTGGGATAACGGACCGCTGGAAAGCTGTATTCCCGTTATTATACTGATTCATGTTCCAGTTGTAAGAATTTGCGTAATTATTTCCATTGGCTACAGGATAACCAATGACTGATCTTACATTCGCATTGTATAAGTTGTTAGCTGGCATAGGGTAAATGGCGGACTGTTTATGTGGCAGAGCAGATCGCTTGGTGCTGCGTTTTCTCAAAAACGGCTTTAATACGGCTATTCCAGATTTTTGAGTATTTGGGATTAGATACTTTATTGCCTTTTGACCAAATAATTTCGCGGTTTTTGCTGTTTCCTCTAGAAACTGTGGAATATCTCGTTGTGAGAGTCGTCCGAAATCTGAAAAAGGATAAAAAAAAATTAAAAAAATAATCAAGAAATCAATTAGGTATCAAACAACTGCAAAATTTAAAATTAATACAAACAGAGCTTGGGTTTGAATTTAAAATAGAAGATTTACGTTTGCTGAAGATTCACTGATGTTGTTGCAGCAATTTTTTAAAGAAAATTTTTATAAAAATTTGAGCAAAGAGCCAATAACATGCAAGTCTTAAAATATTGTCCCCTTGACATTTTTAGTGGGGCTTAGAAAAATACATCTTAAAAAACATGTTCCGTTTCAGTGCATTTTCATTATATGTCTAAAAGGTTGATTTGCAGATCAAATGTGTACGCTATTTCTAATTAACAAACGAAAATTGGTTCTTGTCGAGGCAGCTAGAGGCAATACACAAATCTGTTTCTTCCAAGGTTCTTTAAATTCATGAAAATCTGGAAATCGTCTTGTATATTTTGCATACACAAAAACTCTTGTTACACAAAATTAATTTTGCATAAAACAAGCATTTCCAGGCAAACGTATACAGCTTGAAATATGGAACACAATGCATACCTCTATCAGCAGGAGCTGCCAATGAGCTCAAAGTAATAGCAGATAACGAGAGAAAAAACAATCGAAAATCCATGTCGAAAAACACCGCTTGTTACTACTTCTCGAAGTAACGAAGCCGCAGCTTTAGCGAAACGCGCCAGTGAATGTGTCAAGCGAAAAACTGGTTGCTCAATTGTGCAGTCTTTGTTTTCATGCTGACAGGTGACCCAAAACCGATTGATCATAATAAGGAACTAGCAAGCAAGATAACCTATCTCAAACATGCAGTGGGGTGGTAAATCAATTTAGATCGAATTAACCAGAGCGATGTACGATCACAATGGCAAAGAGCATGCCATTGGAATTTTGTATAATTACGCTTATTATAATTGGGAAGGTGCTAAATTGAAAATTACAAAGATTTCTGTAGAGCAATGGGGAAAGACGTGATGCTTGCTGAGCACCATAAAACGCGCAAAGTATAAAAGGAGATACATGCCATGTACTGAAAGAGAACTGCACAAATTATAAATAAACAAAATACAATACCAGTTAGTAGCTATGATTTCGTGCTCTTTAATTTCTTTCAAAATATGAACACTTTTTAATTTTTGTCCAGAATTGCATATCAGAAATTGGTTTTTCATCTGTTGGATAATTTGCCCGGGCATATAAATTTCTCCTTTGAACGGACAAGGACGCGGCAAATCTAACTGGCAGTTTGTCTTCCTGTGATCAATTTCGAAGAAATGCTGTTTTCCTTTAATACACACCACGATGGAACAGCCATCGCGGTGGAGCACGAGACCATCGTTCTCCTCCGTGCATTCATCCAATTGCACTCTTTGCCATACCGTCAAAATCGTGAAAAATGAGGTTATAACCAGTAGAGTTAACAAATGTTTCCAGTAGTTACCAAAAATCTACGAAAGTAAAACATTTTTTGATAAAACTGCATCAATGAGAAAAGGAAAACGGCAAGATTCTTACGACGTATGGAAATGTAAGATCAAATCTAATTATCAAAGAATATTTCAAAGGAATATTGGCCTGTTGTTTTGATAAGCCGATTACCTCTAAGGGAAACAACAGCAATAAATCAAGCAGAAGTAAACATGTAAACGTAATGCATGAAAGCAATTATGATCAAACCGAAAATCAAACCACATTGAACGTAGGGATGGCGATCCTAAGCCCTCATATAAACACCTTTAGACCCCGTTTACACTGTCCCGTGCAAGTTTGGAACCGTGACAAAACTGTCGCGGTTCGCCCTTGCGTTTACACTAGCACTGTGGAACCGTGACGATTTTGCTCTGCTATCCGGAACAGTTTTGACCCTGCTTTGAAAGCGAACGAATTTTGTACCGTCACGGTTCCGTTTTTGAACGGGACAGTGTAAACACCTATCCGAGACGATTTTGTCACGGATTCACAAAGAGGTCTTTTGTATGGCTGTTTCAGGAAATCGAGGCTTTGATTGTGGCGTAACTACGTTCTCAAATTCTGAAGAAAAGGAAATTCTGAAGAAAAGACGACCACAGAAAAGGCTTGTAGTGTTTCCCAGTCCAAGCCTTGATTGGACTTTGCAGTTTTGTAGTCTAAAATAACACTGAAAATTAAAGCCACCTTGTCTTTCGTCCAAGTAAAGTTTTAATCGGCCTTCCGCTCCATTTTAACTCACAATAAAAATTCGATTGTTGACTTCAGCGGCAAAATAAAAGCCTTGGTTGACTAAATACAGCTTCTTCTAAACAATGTTCTACCATTAAATTAAGGTCGTACCGGTACAGTGTAAACGGAACGGCTAAACAAAACAATTTGGAACCGCGACAGTGTAAACACTTGCGAACCGTAACGGTACAAAATTGTCCCGGGACAGTGTAAACGGGGTCTTAGTCTTTTAAATTCTTTTCATATTTTACTTAGAAGGGAGTTTTCGATTTAAAGCTCAGCTGAAATATAATCACCAGGTCGAACTATTTTCTATTAAAATGTTTTTCCAGAAGAATAAGAGTAATCATAATTACTATTGGTTTCTGCAACTGAATTTATAAAAACAAGTTTTCCTTTGATTAGATTCAAAAACAGGTGTTCAGAGACTTCTGATCAAAACACAAATAAACCAATATTATTCAAAACATAAGGAAAGCTTTCGAAGCCCTAGCGCTGTTAAGGCTAAAGCCATTGAAAAACGTAGCTACAATATTTTGCCGTTTAATAACGATGGCTTTGATATTCGAAGATTGTACATTAATTTACCAGGCTTAAATTGATCGGGCCTAAGTAGCCGTTTATAAACATATGGTTCAAGAGATAAATTTGATACAGGCCTATGCTCAATAATTGTATAGCAAAATTCCCATTCTCTTGGTAGAGATTACGAAATTAACTGTATAATGAACTCACATCTCTTTCCAGAGACATTCTTCAGCACCAGATGTTTTTCAATTTCTTTTAGATTCCGACGTGAAGATGATGTTTGGCGCAGGCAGGTGCCTTTCAGAAAAATTGGCAGGCGACCTGTCATTTTGTCTTTCGTCTTCAGCAATTTAAAAACACGTGACGTTTCTCCTTAAGGTCCTTTCTCCTTTCAACGAAACTGCAATTTTATCTAATTAAATTCGAAATGGAAGATATTTTCAACTGGTCTTGAAATTGCGAGGTGAAAAAATATCTTTGACTTATTGTACTCAAAATTGAAACATACCATATCCTTTTATGAGAAGAGTGGTTTAAAAGTCTGTTGCACGAAAAAGGCATTGTGAACTACAGTTTCCATTTTATCCTTAGGCTTCTGAGAAGGTACTGAAAATCCAAATGATTTTAGATATGATAAAACATGTGAAAAAACATTTTCATAAAAGTTTTATAGATACTTAGAATAGAATGATAGAAAATGTTACTGCTTTCTCTTCTCCTCTGCATGATGAAAATGATCACTGTTTTAGTATTGAAGAAAATTGGCATAATTTGACTTACTTGCAGAAGAAACTGTATGAGCCCAAAAAAATGACAGCAATCTTTCTCATTATAAATTAAGATTTGATTTTGAAAAGCAGCTTAATGATAAAACAGATAACTGATACAGCAACAAAAGAAAACATCTTGTTAGTAATATTTCCACATTTCTTCTATTTAAGTTGACAACTAATCAAGATAATTCCAGTTTAGACAATCCGTATGGCAAAAATTAATGTAACATATACATTATGGGTAAGACAAAATTAAATGTCTCTTACTGCAATGTCTTTCCTGTATGGACTCATATGAATTGTCTTACCTGTAACGTCTATATCTTGATTAATCATCAATTGAAATAGACTTGCTAGTTGTTATGTGTGTGAAATATTGCCAACAGCTTGGTTGAAACTTGTTAATTCTTTGATGATAAATGTACTAACAAGTTATAGAAAACATGGTAGAAATAGAAAACCGAGCTGTCCCCATACTTGATAATATCTGCCTGCATTCTGTTTGATAACATGAATGAAATGGGATATAACCAAATTAGGCACACTTAAGTCAACTCAAAAAGTCCTTGAAACACTGTTAAAACACTTTAGTAAAGTCCTAAAAGTTGCTTCCCACATGTCACCTTCCAAATCTGTTCAAATATTTGTATTCTTGTGAAAAGTTCAAATTGATTAAAAAAGTCAACAACTGGCTTCTAGATCTATGTCTAAAGAATGGCAAGAAATCACGAAGGACTGATAAAAAGGCTTGGTCAATGCAAGGTTATATCAGAAATGTTAAAAATGATTTACAACAGGTCCATATATCATTAATTAATTGAAAACAAACAGAAGATGCCTGAAAATTACTTGACCTAATGATGTAAGTTCAAAAAAGCTTCTTAAGAAGATTATAAATTCCAATGCAAGCCCCGAGTATCCATCCAAAATTGTTTGGAAAATGTGTTTAGTTTTAATAGCTCTTGTTTACATGTAGCTCTAGTTTATTTCAAATTGTTTTAGATCCAAAGAAATATCAGTTTAACTTTCCACTGAATGTTGCTACTCAAAGACTTATGGTTAATCTGACCACTTGCTTAATGCATATTTTTTTCTTTTCATTTTCAAATATACTGTGTACCATTCAGTTTTATACACAAAATATGTACAGCTCTGCCCATACAATATTAATCGCTTTATGACAGACAGGTAAACAGTGACTTTCATCTTTCTTAATTTATGCAGAGATCCACAAGTAACACACTGAATAAACATTTGGCTTTATGAAAAACATATGTACAAACTTTAGTTAACAGTTAAAATGGTAGCAAAATATTAACAAATATCATAGCATTTCCATTACAAAATATTTTCTGGTCTAGTTCAAACAAGGAGTTTCTGTTTTACTCTGTCCACAAATTTTTCAATATATTTCTTTGAAATATTTGTAGTAAACCATACTCTGTTATTTTTAAAATTGCTATTGAAATACTCTTTGAGATTCAAGTCTGTTTTACCTAGTAGAATGAAATAATTAATTTTACAGAAGAAATTGTTGGTTCCTTAAAATTCATCAACTTGAAAAATGTTCCAGTATAAACTAACACAGATCCTTAAAGAAAATTACAAGAAGTTTTCATAGTTAAACTAAAACAGCATAAATAATAAACACAAATTTGAGAGTATCTCTTTAAAGTAACATGGTGAAGTGTATAGTGTTGTGTGTCTCCATCTACGTCAAGTTCACTTTTCGTCGCTGTCATTTCCAGTCTGTTTTTCTAACATGGCGAGGTACAAAATTTTGTAATTTTCTGCTTCATTTAAAGCTTTTTCTAAGTAAGCGTATCTTTCTTTCAGACTGTCTAGTTCATCATAA